CTAGCTAGAGCTTGTGTTATGGGTACTAGATAACTGATACATATACATAGATATTTTTTTTTTTTGTAAATACAAACATATTATACATAGAAAACACCCAGACCGATACAAACAATCATACTCATGAATACAAATGTTTGTGCCGTGCGAGGAATCGAACCCGCGACCATCGATCGTAAAGCGGTGTGCTTGACCGCTAGACTACCGAGGTCGTCAAATATTGTTACTCAACTAATTGTATTCAAAATAATATTATAAATGCGAAAGTAAGACTACCTGTCTTTGTGTTTTTTTTTTATTTATGATAATGGAACGCTAGTAGAAGATTAGTGGAGAATGATAAGATGAGTATGAGTTCAGGCAGATCATCATGCTATTTACCCATCATGATTAGATGACCAGGAATTAACCATCCAGGGGTGACCGCGTGGAAGTCGACCTAACATAGTAGGTAGCAATGGGGTACTAGATCCTATTACCATAGCTATTATTAACAATCCCTTTCTCTCTTGCATCTTATTATTACAATTAGAATCTTTATTGTTTTATACCCCATATATTTGACTGTATAAAACGTTTAACATCTTTGTAACATAATCATAAATTAACAAGATTATTATGTCTGTCCATACTTTTCTACACAGGCTATATCACGTCTAAATTATTGCGACGCCTATGCTCTGACTCGATTAGGTCCGAGCACATAATTCTATGTAAAATTGATAGAGAACGCTCTCCCGCGAGCTATACTAGATTACCCGCCATATTTGGTTTTCATAACTCAACGCTAATGTTGATGTGTAAACGAGTAAAAAGCTTAAGCCGTCTATGTAGGCAGGCATAGACAAACCCCCTCATTCATAGAAACCTGTTTTAGCTATTGAAGTTCGTTTCTTATTAATATTTTTTATTTTCAAAGTGAAAACATAGATAGATAAAACTTGTATTTGCGTTAAAGTACAAACACATGGGCACAGTAATGTAAAAAAGTAGATTTTATACACAATTACATTGGTCAATAAAAAAATATGATGTAGGTACAAAAAAACATATGAGTAACATAGTGTGTAAGAACAAAACGCTGCAATAAATGAAAAAGGTTTGTAGGAGGTAATTGTTTTTATATATCCTTATTTAATACTCATATGCCAAACTCTTTTATAGTAAATAAAGGTGTTTTTATTTTATTTATTTTATTACTTCGACCTCCATAGGTTCCAGTATGAGTTACTTATTATTATAAGTTAAAAACTAACTCATGAAATTATATTAAAGTTAGGTATAAAAAATTAATAAAAATTTGTTTGCATAAAATACATTAAGATTTATTAAACACTAACCGTGCCCGCGGTTTCACTTGATTTAAATTTCAATATAAAATATAGCCTATGTGTAATTCTGATGCATAAACTATATTACTGTAAAGTTTCATTATTATCCTAGTAGTTTTTGCGTAACAGAGTAACAAATATCACTAACAAACTTTCGCGTTTTTAATATTATTAAGATATTGATTATTTATAAATCTAGTCAATATTAAAAACTTGCTCTTCAATTCAGCGTTAAAATATAGTTACCTACTGAACCAATTTCATTATTATTCATTGTAAAATTTACAAAAGAAATTACCCGTGAAAATACATCAGTGACGGCTCATTGTTCCGCGGTCAGATCGCGTGGAGGCTTGCCGAGATGGTAGTTTACCTCTCGTTAGTGCAACAGCCTCTATTTATCTGGCTAACACCTATCAAAGTGCCATTAGCGTGAAATGATACCATTATTCCTGGCCACACTAGAAAACTACCACGGTAATATGGTAGTAAATATTATAATGCAGTTATTAGCAAACTTTCCATTTCTCAATTATAGTGAATTTTTAGTATTTTTTAAACCAAGATTTTATTTTAAAAATAACAGTTTTGATCTGATTTTACGAATTACTTACTTTAACATCTTGTGCACATTAAAACATGGTGTTAATACTTAGACTATGTAATATCATGTTATCTGTGCTTATACTTAGTATTAACCACAGATAAGATAATATATGAATATCGTATACATCTATAACGCATCTGCGCATCGGGCAATATTGTGTATCTGTAGCGCATTACGTTTTACGCGGGAAAATAAAAAATACTGCATCATAATTATTAATTGACAATTTTTATATAGTATAAAATGAAGTAGCTTCCTCTATCGAAACTAACTATTATGACTCATAATAATAGATAGATGATAGTAGTTTGTCATATAGTTATCTATATTATATACTCTGTACGGTGCTATTTAATATTCTGTAGTTACGTTAACTTTTTGTAATAGAGTACAAAGTAATTTCCCTTATGTGTAGACCGGTGCGCTCGACTGCACTCACGTTGTATCACGGCACCGTGAGAACCGAACCTGCGGCCAGTGGATACGTAATCATATCATACCATGATAGGTAACAGTAATCCAATCACTGTTGCTCAATCATCAGGGCTCTCGTGATTGGAACCTTATGAGTTTTGTTGCAGACTTTTGAATCATTCATATGTGTCAGTATTAGCTGTGACCGCATGAAATTTTTAACCTATTTGTTATTCTGATGTATAAGCTTTTTCACGCAAAAACTACTGAACGGATGTTGATGAAACTTAACAGTAATATAGCTTCATTCATTCATAATTTAAGAGCTGTGCTCTTGTCGGTGGAGCTCCCGCCACCTTCCACGATCTTCTATCAGTCCCTTTAGCTGTTGATACGACACGACTCCAACTTTTTCTTTAACTTGCTTGATATAGCTGTGTCTTGGTCTTCCCTTCCTCTCTTTCCATCTATTTTTCCTTCTATAATGTTGTTAATTAGTTCGTCGTGTCGTATCAAGTGCCCCAACATTTTTCCCCGCCTATTCTCAATAATATCTATGATCTGTCTCTTTTCTTTAATCCTCTCAAGCACTTCTTCATTCCTTATTTTATCTTTCCAGCTAATTCTTTCCATTCTTCTGCAACACCACATTTCAAAGGCTTCCAGTTTGTCTCTTTCCTTTTGTGTCAATGTCCACGTCTCACAGGCATACAAGGCTATACTCCAGATGTAGGTCTTGATAAGTTGTTGTATAATATAGCTTATACATCAGAAATAACATCTAGGCTGCAAATTTCACGCAGATGAAACCGCGGGCACACCTAGTATAATATAACTTTAAATTCTGGTTATAAACATGTTAAACAGAATAAAACAAACTTTTTTTTTAATGGGTGCAAGGCGTGGTTATATATATATGGAGTTCTTTGCAAGGATCCGATAGGAACACCATGAGTTCTGTTTACGACTCGGAGTACCTACGACTTTCGGTTTTACCTTTAAATTATTATTAGATACATTTGGACACTTTTTTTTTAATTTGAATTATATGATATTTAAAACTTTTTTTATCTTTGCTACTTTTTTAGGCAATTGTTAATCTTAATGTTATTTTTGTAATAAATTTGATTATTTTATTCTTATTAAAACCGTGTTAGTATAAAACATTAAAATGGACAATTTATATTATATTGAGATTTATTCCGTTTCATTTTAACAAATTAAATTCTTACCTGAACTGAACTGAACGTACGGACTGAAATGAATGAGTTATCCAACGAGTATTGTAAATATACAAAATAATCATTACTTTATTAGTTGCCCTGAATCTAAAATTATGTGGAAACAAAAAATATATATATATTGGCTTGACCGATTCTTATGAAATTTTTATATCTTGTACGCATATTCAGTAGATCTGAGAATAGAAGGTAAATAATTTTTCACGTCCCTAAATAATAAGGGATCTTCATCTTTTACATATTCAAAAATGTAAAGGATGGGTTGCACCATCATCATCATCATCATCTTTTACATTTTTGAATTATGTTTTTATTTTTAATTTTTATTTCGATTCGACATTATACAATCCTAAATTTTCAGCCTTCTACAAAACGTTTGCAGAGTCAGCCAGTCAGTATAAAATTTTAAAGCAAAAACTAACTACAAATTACATACATTTGTGTGGTCGACGTATTGATTAACTTAATAAAGTTTAACAATAGATTGCATTTCAATTTACTCAATTTTAAACTATAATCACTCTTTTAATCCTTGTTTAGAATTCATCTATGTTTTATATTAGTCTAGTGTCGACGGAATGAGTAACTTAATACACTTTAACAATAGATTACATTTTTATTTACTCATCCCTTTAATTCCCAGTTTGCTTTTAAATAACATGAGTCCTTATTTACCATTAGATTAATGTGTTTAGTGTATTAATAATCAGTCTTGAGTAGTCTAGTCAGTATTGGCGAAGCTTATTAATTGTCATTGGACAACTTAATATGACTGGAAACATGTAAAAATTACACCGTTAATTTTCCTAAAATAAAATAGATAATGTGTGGTCATAGTACAGACGGTGCAGTGGCCGCTCCGTGTGCCATAGGCCATGTAGATAATGTGTGGTCATAGTACAGACGGTGCAGTGGCCGCTCCGTGTGCCATAGGCCATGTAGATAATGTGTGGTCATAGTACAGACGGTGCAGTGGCCGCTCCGTGTGCCATAGGCCATGTAGATAATGTGTGGTCATAGTACAGACGGTGCAGTGGCCGCTCCGTGTGCCATAGGCCATGTAGATAATGTGTGGTCATAGTACAGACGGTGCAGTGGCCGCTCCGTGCGCCACTGCACCGTACTCTTCCATGTTTATACTCGTATACTCGTATAAAATTGTATATATATTTATACGACCTCGGAAGTCTAGCGGTGTAGCACACCGCTTTACGTCCGATGGTCGCGGGTTCGATTCCTCGCACGGCACAAACATTTGTATTCATGAGTATGATTGTTTTTTTTGTATAATATATGTATATTATTTGTAGTTAATTTATTTTACTTTTTAATGTTTATTTTTATTCATTATCCATGCAATAAAGTTTAAAAAAATCATTAATTTTTTTATGTTTATATATTTTGTAGCACGGTGCGCGAGTGTGGAGGTACCGCCACGCTGGTCTCGGTTGAAGTTCGTGAGGGCACATGGGGTGCAGTGCCCCGGGGCTCCGGCGTTGTCGTCGAATGGGCCGGAGACAACGCCCCGTTAAGAGCCGGTGACAGGTAAACATACAGTTCAAATATATATCAATAAAATTCAAATTTAAAATATCTTTATTCATGTAGGTCTATTACAGACCCTTATGATATGTCAAATCTACCGTCAGTTCGGAATGATTTCGGAGTGAGAAGAACTGACACGGGTATTGGAATCGACTTTCACGCAGGAAAGAATAGAATTGAATAGAACTATAATAGAAAGATGTTCCAATACACGCACCATATACATACATTCAAAATTCAAAATATCTTTATTCATGTAGGTCTATTACAGACCCTTATGGTATGTCAATCTACCGTCAGTTCGGAATGATTTCGAGATGAGAACTGACAAAAGACTCAGCTAGTATTCTTTTCATTATATTAATGTATATAATTATTGAAGAATGTCAATTTAATTGTATGCTTTTTCGTGTGTCGCATAGTCGAGAAGACTGATAAAAAGGTAGGGAACATATTATAATATAAATAAATTTGACGTTCATAAGTGTTCTAAAATGTCCTACATGAATAAATGATTTTTGAATTTGAAAATATATCCTACGTACTGTTACCGTACCGTATATGTTAGTATCTAGTTCAAAGACAAAAATTTATTAACTTGATTTTATTACAATGAGTGCGTAGCGATTTCTACGTTGATTATCGCATGCCTCTTACTTGTTATACTGTAATTATTTATATAAAAAAACATCTATTAAAAAGAGCAACACACAAATTTCTTGCTCATTCTTCTTGTAATGAATCTGCATTCCGAATGAGTGGTATAATCAAAATATGACTATTCAAAAGTGCTTGTAATGAGTTTATTTGAATAAAGATTATTTCTATTTCTATTACAAACATTAAAAAAATTGTATATTTATACATATTTATTTAATAAACTGCAGTTGGGAAATGCGACAATAATTCATGCCATAAAAAGTTCTCGTGAGAAACTTGCGTTGAATCAATTATTGTTACGATACAAAAACGCTGCCAGCGAACAATCGAAGCAATAAAACTTGTATATTAATGCACTTCTACATTAATAGTTTAGCATAAATATTATGTTATCTGTGGTGTAAGGGTTGAAAATAAAACATATAGCGTAGTTTAAACTAGGACGTGCGACAAGCAGCGTTCGCGTTGGTTGGTGGTAAGCTACTAAACAATTTTTTTTTGTGGATGATAATGGAATGGTGCACCCGCCTGCGCTAACGGTTTACGCTGGCCGGGCACCAGAGAAGGATGATAAGATGAGCATGAGGTCAGGTTAGTTACCCCATTGTGACAAATTCACCAGGAATAAAACCAGGTTTCCAGGGGGAACCGAGGTCGACCTGACATGGTACATTGCTAGCAACGGGGTTGTCAATCCACTTTACTAACAATTCCCTTCCCCCCGCTACTAAGCAATTAGGTGTGGTGGCTTCCATATGGACAATCCTGCGGGTCATTGCACATAATAATAATAATAATAATAAAGACATTTATTATGTACCTTTAATAAAAATCATACGTAGGTACGTAATATAGGTATACATACAGTTCTAAACAATAGAGTAAAATAAGAATATCTTAAAAGTAACAATACATAAAAGTATATATTAAACTACCTGACCCAGCAAACGTTGTTTTCCTATATAAATAAAATCGCTGTTAAAAAAACAGGTTGGCGATATAAGGGTGCAGGGAAAATTTAGAGTTGTATATGTATAGGTACTATAAATGATTTTCTATTAATTAAAATTCATTTTCTACATCTATTTTTGTTATTTATCACGTAATTTGTACTCAAATAGAAAGATAAATATTCAAACTCTTCTGATTATGTATGTTTTATACACTTTGCCCCGGTTTCGACGGAATAATCCCGTTTTTGGCACTCAAAAAGTTTCAAAATCTCTAATCGATAAAAAAAATCTGGCAATTCTGATTTATATCTACAGATTCTACGATATAAACTGTGGGCACACTACACGCAATAAGAGTTGAGAAAAATGACTCACAGCGAATATATTACTACCAGTATTTGTGCTAAGTATTTTTTTACAATAATATCTGTGCTTTCCTTTCCGGCGACATCCTGTATGTCTTATTCTTATTATTATGATCCTGTATATGTATTCCTAAGTTTTTCCATCACATTCGTATGCGCGCTGAAGTATGATGCATGTGATAGTTACTACATTTAACAATTGATAAATTTAAGTTACTACTGTTAGGTATAACGACTTCCTTATCGAATAAGAATTTAATATATAGTTTTAATGGCAAATACATACTGATTGACGTAATTGTAAAAAAATATTCATCATCATCATCGTCATCATCATCGCAGCCCGGAAGACGTCCACTGCTATACATAGGCCTCCCCCAAAGATCTCCATGATGATCGGTCCTGCGCTGCTCGCATCCAATGCCTTCCAGCGATCTTGACCAGATCGTCGGTCCACCTTGCTGGAGGTCTTCCCACGCCACTCGAGGACTTTGATAAAAACATATTAAGATAATACAATTCCCCTTCTTCAAACGAACGTATTATTTATCGGTCATAACATATCATCTCAGATTAAAAGAACCCAACCACAGTAACTACAGTTATTAATGATATAATATATTACGAATGTAATGTGGTACAGCTGAAATACTAAGTCATAATTTGTAAATCGCGCCAACTTTCAAGAGTATACAACATGTAAACAAACATGTCATCCGCATATCAAAAGATATAGATAGATAGTCATAAGACAATCTTAATAAGATAATAATAATAATCTCAGGACAATTCACACAGCGCCACCTAGACCCAAGTTTAGCTAGCTAAAGTTTGTGTTATGGGTACTAGATAACTAATACATACACATAGATATTTTTTTTTTGTAAATACATACATATTATACATAAAAAACACCCAGACCGATACAAACAATCATACTCATGAAATGTTTGTGCCGTGCGAGGAATCGAACCCGCGACCATCAGTCGTAAAGCGGTGTGCTAGACCACCGAGGTCGATTAAATATCTATTAGGGCAATTACTCGCGTGTATATTATAATGAGACATATATATACATGGACAAGGCTCGCTGGAGTCTCGTCTAGACTTTCTCACACATCGCTTCATTAACATAATTATAGTATTTACAACAAGATTAATGTATCCACTATAAAATCGTGTAAAAACTACGGGTTGACTAATTGTTGTTATTTGTAATAGAAGACTGAATTATGTGTCTGTATGACACTTATATTGAACAGAGATTAAGTGCGTAGCGGTTTCTATGTTGATTGTCGCATGCCTAATCCTTGTTGTTAATTAAATATAAGTAAATCAATATTTATTTAAAAGAGCAACAGATAAGTTTCTTGCTTATTCTTCTTGTGATGAATCTGCATTCCGAATAAGCGGTAGAATAAAAAAACTTGACTATTCAAAAGTGCTTATATTAAGTTTATTTGAATAAAGATTATTTCTATTTCTATATATATATTATATATATTTATATATATTCGTGATACCAGTCGTGCATATACCATGCACGACTGGTATCACGAAATACAAAGTGACACCTATAATAACACATCCAATGCAGCCCTGGTCCCTAAAGACTAAATTATAATCTAAATTTTCTTTAATTTTACAACGTTATGGTCAAATCGAACCCACGACCATCGTCGTACATCGAAATTTAATGCAAGTGAAACTGCGGTTACAGATAGTGATATTGTAATTTCAAAACAACTGAACGGATTTTTCGCGGTTTTCGTCTATTAATAGAGACATTTCTGAAGAAGGTTTAGATGTATAGTTCATTAAAGGGTAATATAAATTAGGTGAAATAATCGCGCGAAGCCAGGTCGAGTCATATACTTTCGATGTACGACGGTGTGCTATACCGCTGGACCACCAAGGATAATAATACAAATAACTTTAAATACATTTTCAGATTAGTGGAAGTGAACGGCACGTGGACGGTGTCGTGTCGTAGTGTGGAGGAGGTGCAGCGGGCGGCGACCAGCTCCAACCCGGCGCGACTGGTGGTCATCCGAGGGTACCCCACGCAACAGCACCAGCCAATACACTCCAATACTTTTACTCATGTAATTACCATTCAAGTATATCTAGCATATCAAAAGAACATAAGTTTTCTTCGTTCATCATTCTTCTTGACTGAATACATATCAAATTTGGTGGCAGAATATAAAAATTATCATTTAGTGCTTCAATCATTTTATTCAAATGAAGATTTCTTTTCTATTGTGTCCCTGATTTTATTCTTTCAATTTTACTATTAGTATTTATTTCATACATAAGTTTATTTCATATGTAAATTTTTATTAGTATCGAATGAAATAAAATAAAAATTTTATAAAAATTTCGCATAAAAATAATGAATTAATTTAATTTCTCCTTTTTTCTCTTATCTTTTTTCTGGGTATCAACATAGAATTTTGAACCACTTGAAGGATGTACTACTTTTTTTTATATGAAAACCGAAGCTGACAGGTTACTTGATAAATGGTGACTATCGCCTTTACACATGATAAACAAACATGCTTTCGCATTCTTTGTAACGAAAGAAAAACTCATAATGAGTTGTATAATAATCAGTGTTAAACTTAGTATTAACATGCATACAGCTTATAACGCGCTCGTCTGGCTACCGGCAACATTGTGTATCTGTTTCGAATTATGTTTGCTCTAGAAAATAAAAAAACAAAGAATTTGTCTGACTTCGTTCTTAATTGTTAATTATTTTACTTTATTCTATGTACCTTTTTATGTCTACTCCAATACTGTATACACATAACAACCCGAGTATAAATACTGCCCCTACTCACAATACAACATACGCTGAACCGGGTCCTATTGCCGCCTTTAATTAAATATCCTTTAAATGTCATTTCATTGGCAGCAATATATGATTCTTACTCTTATTCTCGTTTTCGTTTTCGCTCTCATTCTCGTTCTCGTTCTCACTCTCACACTCACACTCACACTCACACTCACTCTCACACTCACATTCATTCTCATTCTCACTCTTATTCTGTTCTTATTCAAGACTGATGTAAAATGGTCGTATTCCGTAGAACGAAGCTAGTTCTCTGCGCGCGGAGCTGAACGCGCTGCGCACAGCATCTGAGGAGACGGAGCGCGCCAAAGAGAGCCTGCGGACTGACAACACGCGCCTCACGCACCGCATCTCGTACCTCGAGGAGCAGGTCGCCGAGATGCTGGCCAGGCATGCACAGGTATGTTAATACTATTGAGAATCACAACGCCATCTAGCCCCAAACTAAAAGCCTGAATTAATCTATACTCAACTAGGGAAGAAAGGTTATTAAGAGGTTGCGTCTGCGCTTCTGCGAGGAACTTCGCTGGCTACATTAGTAGTCTTGGCCATCTTGGCCAAAACATTAGGACAGAAGGGGATCGTTAGTAATATGACCAAATAATCACATTGCTGGCAATGTTCGATTCGGTTTCCCCTGGAAACCACCATACGTTCAGGAACTTATGGTGGTTTCCAGTTTCAGTTAGCACACTAGCTACAAAGTGCTAACTGAAACGACCTCATGGTCATCCTAATATCGTCCAGTGTTGCACCGCACAGTGGGAACTTTGACTCATTTTCGTCTCATAAATCTATAACTTCTGTATTAATAAAGATATGTACATGATTTTTTTTCCTGATAATCTTAAATATATATACTTTTAAATAATGTATGCTTTGTGAGTAAAAAAATATTTCTAATAGTTATAAATAATTTAGGAATACAAGAAATATAGAATTTGTAGACTTACATTTATGTCCTAAGAAGTTTATACAGAAATAAGTAAAAGTATCAGCGTAAAAAACCAAAATTCTTATAAAGATAGCTTACAAGTCACTCAAGAGCTCCTTTTCTTCATCAAAAAGTACTAAATATTTTTTATTGGAAGGTATTCTTAAACTTGTTATATATGGGTCAGAGGTATATAAAAATGCGTGTAGAACATCTTTGTTAGAGGCTACCCTCGAACATTGTCTTGCATGATGAAGCCTGAACTGTTTATAGTCTTTGTTCCGTGACTCTTGAGCATCTTCTGAAAGTTGCCCAAAAGGCAAGACAGAAAAGTAACGTATCACACGTTCACATTTCATTTCGTAACATAAAACAGTTTTATTAATTCCTCATATATACTAGTAATTTCTGATGTACAATGATAATTTTGGAAAAATCTTGTGGCTGTATTGCCGTCATTAGTGTTGTCACTAACTTGCATCGCTATATCTATATTTAATCCAAGTTCTTCTCTGAACCTTCTTTGTACATAAGCCTTCTTTTGCTTTTTTAAATCTTTATTTTCTGTTGTTGTGGCAGTCCATTTGTATTGTTTTGTATTTTGATGGTAAGATAATTAATGTAGAATAAGTTCCACGAATGCAATGTTGAAGGGCCATATTGATAGGAAGTTTCATCGACATGTTTATTTTGTACTTTTTCTAAATTGTTCATCTCTGTGAGTTTTACACTGCAAATGGTACATACATTTGATTTCTGCTTTAACTTTAGTAATTTCTATACATAATTTTGGCGAATAGCACGATTCTTTAGCTTCACGAATCAACCTGTATGATGGAAACAATAAGTAATTCTTTGCTATCAAACAACTCCTCATATTTTCGTACTGTGCCTTGTTCAGATCCAATTTTATGAAAATGCTAAGAGCTTAATGTTTTGAATATGCTGTTATATTTGCCTGTTCATTAATAAGATTATTCATTAAGATAGCTCATTTCATTCTAGTTTTCTGCCGGCAATGCTCGTAAAATATCAATGATGATCAACCCTTAAACCCTGTACATATGAGTTCAGTATGAAGTCCACAGGTATCAAGCAAGCCTTGTTTTTCCGTTTCTTTGTCCGAACTGTCTTCGTACGTTTTAGAATGTCTTCCTCTTTACTCTGTCGAAGTAGGCGGTTCAGGTTCGCATGTAGTTTTTTCTAGATTTACAGTGAAAATACCATCCTATCAATTGCTATTTTATTTAAAAACTGTTCTTTCTTTCGACCACATTTCGTATAGCGGTGACGAAAATGAGTTATGAAGGACTTCTGAATACTTGCGATAATTTTTGCTATATTCGCATCTGAAGATTCGGTAAAATTATTTCGTAGTTTGAGATAGAATCAACATAATTTGTATCACTTTAAATCAATAAGACACTTAAGTCGCGTCTGGTACACGAGAATTCACTCATTGGGGTGAGATGAGTAATTAACAATTGTTTAGTAATAACAAATGCTTATGAAGAACTGTAATATTTCATATGCAAATACATACACTATTTTATACTTAATAATGATCATATACGTGTGCAAAATTACTTGATAAAAAATATTTATCATTATGTGGTATAGAATAGGTCTGTATAGGAATGGGAACTATATACTGTGTGAAATAGTTGATAAAAGTAAGGCAAAAGATAAAATATATAGTAATAATTGAGCAAAAAGTATTTTTTTGAATATTCAGACAGAGATTCTCAAATAAAGAAAAAAATCTTAATATACGTACTTAGAAAAAACAAATCTCACCATGATATTATACTCGATTTAAATATTTTACGCAGTGAAACTGCAAAAAAAAAATGTTATGCCATCAAATTACATTATATTTCCTAATAAATAAAACCAAATTTAGAACTTCGGCAAGCTTCGGCAACTGTCAAATCTCCTAGTGAAAGTCTGAGAAAAGAAAATAGTACATATAACGATATATGGATTTTTAGTTAAATAATATTCGACTAAACTAAATATATTTTTATTTTATAGTAAAGTACACATTCTAAGCATTCTAAAATGGTATCACACTATATCACTTGATATTGTTTTGATACTATAAACTTATACTAAACAAATTTAAGTTACAAAATTATTTTTGTATTTTTTTCATTACTTGACTTTAGAGGCTCTATTCTATGAAGTATGAATAGTCAGAGATTTGAATCATATTTATAATGATAGAGTAACTCTTTGGCTACAATTTGAGGTATATACAAGCATATCCACGGAGTTTTAGAAAAAGTATTTATGAGATGGCTTTCTTAGGCGAGTTCCCACTGTGCACCGCCAGAGTAAACCGTTAGCATAGGCGGATGCAGCGTTCCATTATCAACCATTAATAAAAAAACTGTTTCAGAAGACTTCCTATAGTATCACTTATTAAGCGTAAATATTTGCATTCGAAGTACTGTTTTGCACTTTCAATTATATATTCAAAATATCTTTATTCATGTAGGTCTATTACAGACTCTTATGATATGTCAAATTTACCGTCATTTCGGAATGATTTCGAGATGAGAAGAACTGACAAGAAACTCAGCTCGTATTTTTTTAGTAAATATTGTACATGTTTGCAATACATCCTGCATAAGTATGTAGTTATTTAAAAAAACCAGCTGGTATTTAATGGCCAACAGTGTGGATACAACTATAAAGTTACTTATTAGTTATTTTTAGGTCTGCACATAATGTTCTCCAGCAGATTTCATTTATATTTATTTTGATTCCAGGTACAACCCACAAGCAGCAACGACAGTTGCATAACTGTTAATAAATCAAAGAAAAATGTGACCAATATTAACATCACTACGGAACCCCAATCAAAGAGTAAACATAGTCCGAAATCAGAAGTTCAGGTGTTCCAAAAGGGTCCGGACATCACGGCCATCGTCGCCAAATTACCTGGACTGGACGGAGCTGAAGCTAACCTGCCCCTCATGAGGCCAAGGTCCAACGCTTCTGGAGCGTCGTCCAGAGCCGCAGTATCTCCTCGAGCCTCGCCACAACCAAACTACAGATCCCACAGCTCGCACAGTTTGGAACACAAAGCTGGGCGCATGCGGCATTCTCTCTCACACCACTGCATACACGGTGCTATGGATTACAGCGCGGAAACAGATGCCGCAATACGTATGATCGAACGAAACCAAAGACACATGGAGAAACAACGCATGAAATCAGAAAAACTAAACAGAACCAAGACAGAAGAATACTTCCGATCAGACAGCGACTTGGACGTAAAAGATTCTCGCATAAACATGAGCGCTTGCGACCCCAAACATTATGAGATCAAAAAAGCAGCCGACCGTATAGAAGAGAGCATCAAGAAAACCAATTGGGCTGAGAGGAAAACGCTGTCAATAATTGAACAGTTGAAACGGTCGCAGCGGTTAAGGAAGATGAAGAAGAATGATAGCTCAGAAGATATTCAGGTAGAATCTGAGAAGCATTACATGTACCATAGGATAGATGGCAAAGTGTTGGAGAATGCCCACAAGTCGAGTCGAAGAACATCGAAACTACACAGCAGAAGCGCCAAGTCTTCAGAATTCGAATCGGAGTGTTCCGACTACCCTAACGGTGACATGTACAGCAGTTCTCCGAGGATAGACTACGGGTCTGAAAGCTGCTCAAGGTTGAGTCACTATCGGAAAAACGAGGATAGGAGAGATAGTGACGTGAAGTCAAGACCCACTCCACCGCGAAAACCACTTCGTCTATCTTTACATAAGGCGCGTAGTGCCCACTCATTAGTAAATGGGAGCGAATCAGAAACACCTAGTAGACCATTATCGGAACTGCAGAATGGCGACCTTCAAGATTGTCAGAAGAGACCAGTGAAAAGAACTCACGGAGCCGATAAGTGGGCAAGGGAAAGAATAAGGGATCCAGGACGAGCTACTCCAAGACCGACGCGGAAACTCTTGAACGGGCTGAGCGCGTGCGAGACTCCAGCAGCCGATGCTCTGTACCCTGAGAATACTCATAAACCGATGAAAGCGAATGGTGTCATGCATTCAGCAGGCAAGTGGTGCTAAAGTCGAAAAGAACAGTCCAGTACGTACAATTAGGAAAAATCAAGGATCTTACAACGTTTTACTGCAGATGACAACGTCTCGCCATGCGATAAGGATTCTAGGAAGTTGCAAGAACGTGCACGGTGGCACGTGTAGAGAGTGTGTTGCTACAGTTTATTTTTACTGAGTTCCCGATATTGTTTCAATTATATGATATTTGTGTACCTTCACTCCTCTACAAATATTGGGAACTCCCGTGATTACACCCGTGATTATACCTAATTTGTACACATAAATAATGATAGCGTCAAAAAAACCGTATAACACTCCAATAGATCAATGAACGTAATATGTACAGAGGCTATACTAAATGATAGACAATAAGTTATTGTATTTTAACTGTAAATAAATAACGTAAATAATAAGCACCCACCGCGTGAATACTCACCTTATTCTGTAATATTAATTTAGGGCATTTCAATATGTTTACAATTTTATATACACAGTATATGCATAAATAAAAGTATAAATTAAAAACCATTGTTTTATTCATGAACCTTCTGTATAGTTTATACTAATTTACAGCTCGAATGCTCAGTGAGATTGAGATTGAGACTAAGAGTGAGACTGAGTGAAACTGATAGTGAGACTGAGATTGTGACTGAGAGTGAGACTGTGAATGACCTTTAATAAAGTATCCTTTAAATGTTAGCGATGAGCTAACTGATCTGATCTCATACTCATCTTATCATCATGCACTAGTGCCCCGCCAGCATAAACTTTAATGCAAGCGAGTGAACCATACCATTATCAATCATCATGAGACTGAGATTGAGACTGAGAGTGAGACTGAGTAAAACTGATAGTGAGACTGAGATTGAGACTGAGAGTGAGACTGAGAGTGAGACTGAGAGTGAGACTGATAGTGAGACTGAGAGTGATACTGAGAGTGAGACTGAGAGTGATGCTGAGAGTGAGACTGAGAGTGATACTGAGAGTGAGACTGAGAGTGAGACTGATAGAGAGCCTGGGAGTGAGACTGTAAGTGAGACTGGGAGTGAGACTGAGAGTGAGACTGTAAGTGAGACTGATAGTGAGACTGATAGTGAGACTGAGATTGAGACTAAGAGTGAGATTATGAATGAGACAGAGTGAGACTAAGAGTGAGACTGATAGTGAGACTGAGATTTAGACTGAGAGCGAGAATGAAAATGAGAGTGACAATAAGAGCGAGAATGAGAGTGAGAATGAGAATAAGAGTAAGAATTATTTAAAGAATACTTAATTAATGGCGAGCTAGCGCTGTGCTAACTGATCTGACCTCATACTCATCAAGTAAACCATACCATTATCATCCATTAAAAATAGGACTTTATTTTTATATGAATGTACAAAAATATATATTCCTTATACTCTTTACTTAGGTACCACTATCTAAGTAAAGAGAATAAGGAATATATATTTTTGTACATATTTATAAAGAAAAAATTAAGAGAACCTATTTTGTGCAGATATTTATTCTCTACAACTTTGATTTAAAACATTTTTACATGTTTCATACCGTTGTAGAGTTAATTTGAGAAATAGCGTTTTTCAACCCTTTTTTTCATTTCTTCATGCCTTTCGAGTCAACTTAAATTAAAATTTCTTTCTGAATATTTGCGTTCAGAAAGTGAGACTGAGAGTGAGACTGAGAGTGAGACTGAGAGTGAGACTGTTAGTGAGACTGAGAGTGAGACTGAGAGTGAGACTGTGAGTGAGACTGTGAGTGAGCCTGTGAGTGAGACTGTTAGTGAGACTGTGAGTGAGACTGAGAGTGAGACTGAGAGTGAGACTGTTAGTGAGACTGAGAGTGAGACTGAGAGTGAGACTGAGAGTGAGACTGATAGTGATACTGAAACTGATGAGTGAAACTGATAGTGAGACTGAGAATGAGACTGAGAGTGAGACTGATAGTGAGACTGGGAGTGAGACAGATAGTGAGACTGGGAGTGAGACTGAGTGTGAGACTGAGAGTGAGACTGATAGGGAGCCTGGGAGTGAGACTGATAGTGAGACTGAGAGTGAGACTGAGAGTGAGACTGAGAGTGAGACTGAGAGTGAGACTGATAGTGAGACTGAGAGTGAGACAGAGAGTGAGACTGAGAGTAAGACTTAGCGTGAGACTGACAGTGAGACTGATAGTGAGACTGAGAGTGAGACTGAGAGTGAGACTGATAGTGAAACTGAGAGTGAGACTGAGAGTGAGACTGAGAGTGAGACTGAGAGTGAGACTGATAGTGATACTGAAACTGATGAGTGAAACTGATAGTGAGACTGAGAATGAGACTGAGAGTGAGACTGATAGTGAGACTGGGAGTGAGACTGAGTGAGACTGTAAGTGAGACTAATAGTGAGACTGAGAGAGAGACTGTAAGTGAGACTGAGAGTGAGACTGATAGTGAGACTAATAGGGAGCCTGGGAGTGAGACTGTAAGTGAGACTGATAGTGAGACTGAGAGTGAGACTGATAGTGAGACTGATAGTGAGACTGATAGTGAGACGGAGAGTGAGACTGATAGTGAGACTGAAAGTGAGACTGATAGTGAGATTGAAAATGAGAGTGACAATAAGACGAGAATGAGAGTGAGAATGAGAATAAGAGTAAGAATTATTTAAAGAATACTTAATTAAAGACGAGCTAGCGCTGTGCTAACTGATCTGACCTCATACTCATCAAGCGAGTAAACCATACCATTATCATCCATTAGAAATAGGACTTTATTTTTATGCGAAAATGAGTGAGACTGTAAGTGAGACTGATAGTGAGACTGAGAGTGAGACTGATAGTGAGACTGAGAGTGAGACTGATAGTGAGACTGAGAGTGAGACTGATAGTGAAACTGATAGTGAGACTGAGAGTGAGACTGAGAGTGAGACTGAGTGAGACTGATAGGGAGCCTGGGAGTGAGACTGTAAGTGAGACTGGGAGTGAGACTGAGAGTGAGACTGTAAGTGAGACTGAGATTGAGACTTAGAGTGAGATTATGAATGAGACTGAGAGTGAGACTAAGAGTGAGACTGATAGTGAGACTGAGATTTAGACTGAGAGCGAGAATGAAAATGAGAGTGACAATAAGAGCGAGAATGAGAGTGAGAATGAGAATAAGAGTAAGAATTATTTAAAGAATACTTAATTAAAGGCGAGCTAGCGCTGAGCTAACTGATCTGACCTCATACTCATCAAGTAAACCATACCATTATCATCCATTAAAAATAGGACTTTATTTTTATATGAATGTACAAAAATATATATTCCTTATTCTCTTTACTTAGGTACCACTCTCTAAGTAAAGAGAATAAGGAATATATATTTTTGTACATATTTATAAAGAAAAATTAAGAGAACCTATTTTGTGCAGATATTTATTCTCTACAACTTTGATTTAAAACATTTTTACATGTTTCATACCGTTGTAGAGTTAATTTGAAAAATAGCGTTTTTCAACCCTTTTTTTAATTTCTTCATGCCTTTCGAGTCAACTTAAATTAAAATTTCTTTCTGAATATTTGCGTTCAGAAAGTGAGACTGAGAGTGAGACTGTTAGTGAGACTAAGATTGAGACTGAGAGAAAGACTGAGAGTGAGACTGATAGTGAGACTGAGATTAAGACTCAGAATGAGACTGAGAGTGTGAATGTGAGTGAGAATGATAGTGAGACTGAGATTGAGACTAAGAGTGAGATTATGAATGAGACTGATAGTGAGACTGAGAGTGAGACTGAGGGTGAGACTGAGAGTGAGACTGAGGGTGAGACTGTAAGTGAGACTGAGAGTGAGACAGTGAGTGAAACTGATAGTGAGACTGAGAGTGAGACTGAGAGTGAGACTGAGAGTGAGACTGATAGGGAGCCTGGGAGTGAGACTGTAAGTGAGACAGATAGTGAGACTGGGAGTGAGACTGAGAGTGAGACTGTAAGTGAGACTGATAGTGAGACTGAGAGTGAGACAGATAGTGAGACTGAGAATGAGACTGAGAATGAGAGCGAAAATGAAAATGATAGTGAAACTGAGAGTGAGACTGAGAGTGAGACTAAGACTGAGACTGAGAATGAGACTGAGAATGAGACTGATAGTGAGACAGTGAGTGAGACAATGAGTGAAACTGATAGTGAGACTGAGAGTGAGACTGATAGAGAGCCTGGGAGTGAGACTGTAAGTGAGACTGATAGTGAGACTGATAGTGAGACTGAGAGTGAGGCTGATAGTGGGACTGAGAGTGAGACTGAGACTGAGACTGAGAGTGAGACTGATAGTGAGACTGAGAGTGAGACTGATAGTGAGACTGAGAGTGAGACTGATAGTGAAACTGATAGTGAGACTGTAAGTGAGACTAATAGTGAGACTGAGAGAGAGACTGTAAGTGAGACTGAGAGTGAGACTGATAGTGAGACTAATAGGGAGCCTGGGAGTGAGACTGTAAGTGAGACTGGGAGTGAGACTGATAGTGAGACTGATAGTGAGACTGAGATTGAGACTAAGAGTGAGACTGATAGTGAGACTGATAGTGAGACTGATAGTGAGACTGAGATTTAGACTGAGAGCGAGAATGAAAATGAGAGTGACAATAAGAGCGAGAATGAGAGTGAGAATGAGAATAAGAGTAAGAATTATTTAAAGAATACTTAATTAAAGACGAGCTAGCGCTGTGCTAACTGATCTGACCTCATACTCATCAAGCGAGTAAACCATACCATTATCATCCATTAAAAATAGGACTTTATTTTTATATGAATGTAAAAAAATATATATTCCTTATTCTCTTTACTTAGGTACCACTATCTAAGTAAAGAGAATAAGGAATATATATTTTTGTACATATTTATAAAGAAAAAATTAAGAGAACCTATTTTGTGCAGATATTTATTCTCTACAACTTTGATTTAAAACATTTTTACATGTTTCATACCGTTGTAGAGTTAATTTGAAAAATAGCGTTTTTCAACCCTTTTTTTAATTTCTTCATGCCTTTCGAGTCAACTTAAATTAAAATTTCTTTCTGAATATTTGCGTTCAGAAAGTGAGACTGAGAGTGAGACTGAGATTGAGACTAAGAATGAGACTGAGAGTGTGATTGTGAGTGAGAATGATAGTGAGACTGAGATTGAGACTAAGAGTGAGATTATGAATGAGACTGATAGTGAGACAGTGAGTGAAACTGATAGTGAGACTGAGAGTGAGACTGAGAGTGAGACTGTGAGTGAGAATGTGAGTGAATTTGATAGTGAGACTGACAGCGAGACTGAGAGTGAGACTGAGAGTGATTCTGATAGTGAGATTGAGAGTGATATTGTGAGTGAGACTGAGAGTGAGACTGAGAGTGAGACTGAGAGTGAGACTGATAGTGAGACTGAGAGTGAGACTGATCGTGAGACTGATAGTGAGACTGAGAGTGAGACTGAGAGTGATATTGAGAGTGAGACTGAGAGTGAGATTGAGAGTGAGATTGAGTATGAGACTGAGAGTGAGACTGAGTGTGAGACTGAGAGTGAGACTGAGAGTGAGACTGAGAGTGAGACTGAGAAGGAGACAGAGAGAGAGACTCATAGAGACACAGAGAGTGAGACTGTGAGTGAGACGGTGAGTGAATTTGATAGTGAGACTGACAGCGAGACTGAGAGTGAGACTGAGAGTGAGACTGATAGTGATACTGAAACTGATGAGTGAAACTGATAGTGAGACTGAGAATGAGACTGAGAGTGAGACTGAGAGTGATACTGAGAGTGAGACTGAGAGTGATACTGAGAGTGAGACTGACAGTGAGACTGACAGTGAGACTGACAGTGAGACTGATAGTGAGATTGACAGTGAGACTGAGAGTGAGCCTGAGAGTGAGACTGAGAGTGAGACTGAGAGTGAGACTGAGAGTGAGATTGACAGTGAGTCTGAGAGTGAGACTGAGAGTGTGACTGTGAGTGAGACTGAGTGAATTTGATAGTGAGACTGACAGCGAGACTGAGAGTGAGACTGAGAGTGATACTGAGAGCGAGACTGAGAGTGAGACTTAGAGTGAGACTGAGATGAGAGTGAGAGTGAGACTGTGAGTGAGACTGAGAGTGAGACTGATAGTGATACTGAAACTGATGAGTGAAACTGATAGTGAGACTGAGATTGAGACTGAGAGTGAGACTGATAGTGAGACTGGGAGTGAGACTAAGAGTGAGATTATGAATGAGACTGATAGTGAGACTGAGAGTGAGACTGAGGGTGAGACTGAGAGTGAGACTGAGGGTGAGACTGTAAGTGAGACTGAGAGTGAGACAGTGAGTGAAACTGATAGTGAGACTGAGAGTGAGACTGAGAGTGAGACTGAGAGTGAGACTGATAGGGAGCCTGGGAGTGAGACTGTAAGTGAGACAGATAGTGAGACTGGGAGTGAGACTGAGAGTGAGACTGATAGTGAGACTGAGAGTGAGACAGATAGTGAGACTGAGAATGAGACTGAGAATGAGAGCGAAAATGAAAATGATAGTGAAACTGAGAGTGAGACTGAGAGTGAGACTAAGACTGAGACTGAGAATGAGACTGATAGTGAGACAGTGAGTGAGACAATGAGTGAAACTGATAGTGAGACTGAGATTGAGACTAAGAGTGAGACTGATAGTGAGACTGATAGTGAGACTGATAGTGAGACTGAGATTTAGACTGAGAGCGAGAATGAAAATGAGAGTGACAATAAGAGCGAGAATGAGAGTGAGAATGAGAATAAGAGTAAGAATTATTTAAAGAATACTTAATTAAAGACGAGCTAGCGCTGTGCTAACTGATCTGACCTCATACTCATCAAGCGAGTAAACCATACCATTATCATCCATTAAAAATAGGACTTTATTTTTATATGAATGTAAAAAAATATATATTCCTTATTCTCTTTACTTAGGTACCACTATCTAAGTAAAGAGAATAAGGAATATATATTTTTGTACATATTTATAAAGAAAAAAATTAAGAGAACCTATTTTGTGCAGATATTTATTCTCTACAACTTTGATTTAAAACATTTTTACATGTTTCATACCGTTGTAGAGTTAATTTGAAAAATAGCGTTTTTCAACCCTTTTTTTAATTTCTTCATGCCTTTCGAGTCAACTTAAATTAAAATTTCTTTCTGAATATTTGCGTTCAGAAAGTGAGACTGAGAGTGAGACTGAGATTGAGACTAAGAATGAGACTGAGAGTGTGATTGTGAGTGAGAATGATAGTGAGACTGAGATTGAGACTAAGAGTGAGATTATGAATGAGACTGATAGTGAGACAGTGAGTGAAACTGATAGTGAGACTGAGAGTGAGACTGAGAGTGAGACTGTGAGTGAGAATGTGAGTGAATTTGATAGTGAGACTGACAGCGAGACTGAGAGTGAGACTGAGAGTGAGACTGAGAGTGAGACTGTTAGTGAGACTGAGAGTGAGACTGAGAGTGAGACTGTGAGTGAGACTGAGAGTGAGACTGATAGTGATACTGAAACTGATGAGTGAAATTGATAGTTAGAATGAGACTGAAAGTGAGACTGATAGTGAGATTGACAGTGAGACTGAGTGTGAGACTGATCGTGACACTGATCGTGAGACTGAGAGTGAGACTGAGTGTGAGACTGATCGTGAGACTGATTGTGAGACTGAGAGTGATATTGAGAGTGAGACTGAGAGTGAGATTGAGAGTGAGACTGAGTGTGAGACTGATCGTGAGACTGAGAGAGAGACTGTGAGTGAGACGGTGAGTGAATTTGATAGTGAGACTGACAGCGAGACTGAGAGTGAGACTGAGAGTGAGACTGATAGTGATACTGAAACTGATGAGTGAAACTGATAGTGAGACTGAGAATGAGACTGAGAGTGAGACTGATAGTGAGACTGGGAGTGAGACTGAGTGAGACTGTAAGTGAGACTAATAGTGAGACTGAGAGAGAGACTGTAAGTGAGACTGAGAGTGAGACTGATAGTGAGATTGAAGGTGAGACTGTAAGTGAGACTGTGAGTGAGACTGAGAGTGAGATTGAGTGTGAGACTAAGTTTGAGACTGAGAGTGAGATTGAGAGTGAGATTGAGAATGAGACTGAGAGTGAGACTGAGAGTGAGACTGAGAGTGAGACTGAGAGTGAGACTGAGAGTGAGACTGAGAGCCTGTGAGTGAGACTGTTAGTGAGACTGAGAGTGAGACTGAGAGTGAGACTGTGAGTGAGACTGAGAGTGAGACTGATAGTGATACTGAAACTGATGAGTGAAACTGATAGTGAGACTGAGATTGAGACTGAGAGTGAGACTGATAGTGAGACTGGGAGTGAGACTAAGAGTGAGATTATGAATGAGACTGATAGTGAGACTGACAGTGAGACTGATAGTGTGACTGAGAGTGAGTCTGATAGTGAAACTGATAGTGAGACTGAGAGTGAGACTGAGAGTGAGACTGATAGGGAGCCTGGGAGTGAGACTGTAAGTGAGACAGATAGTGAGACTGGGAGTGAGACTGAGAGTGAGACTGTAAGTGAGACTGATAGTGAGACTGAGAGTGAGACAGATAGTGAGACTGAGAATGAGACTGAGAATGAGAGCGAAAATGAAAATGATAGTGAAACTGAGAGTGAGACTGAGAGTGAGACTAAGACTGAGACTGAGAATGAGACTGATAGTGAGACTGAGAGTGAGACTGAGAGTGAGACTGAGAGTGAGATTGACAGTGAGTCTGAGAGTGAGACTGAGAGTGTGACTGTGAGTGAGACTGAGAGTGAGATTGACAGTGACACTGACAGTGAGACTGAGAGTGAGACTGAGAGTAAGACTTAGCGTGACACTGACAGTGAGATTGACAGTGAGACTGAGAGTGAGACTGAGAATGAGACTGATAGTGAAACTGAGAGTGAGACTGAGAGTGAGACTGAGATTTAGACTGAGAGCGAGAATGAAAATGAGAGTGACAATAAGAGCGAGAATGAGAGTGAGAATGAGAATAAGAGTAAGAATTATTTAAAGAATACTTAATTAAAGGCGAGCTAGCGCTGTGCTAACTGATCTGACCTCATACTCATCAAGCGAGTAAACCATACCATTATCATCCATTAAAAATAGGACTTTATTTTTATATGAATGTACAAAAATATATATTCCTTATTCTCTTTACTTAGGTACCACTCTCTAAGTAAAGAGAATAAGGAATATATATTTTTGTACATATTTATAAAGAAAAAATTAAGAGAACCTATTTTGTGCAGATATTTATTCTCTACAACTTTGATTTAAAACATTTTTACATGTTTCATACCGTTGTAGAGTTAATTTGAAAAATAGCGTTTTTCAACCCTTTTTTTAATTTCTTCATGCCTTTCGAGTCATCTTAAATTAAAATTTCTTTCTGAATATTTGCGTTCAGAAAGTGAGACTGAGAGTGAGACTGAGATTGAGACTAAGAATGAGACTGAGAGTGTGATTGTGAGTGAGAATGATAGTGAGACTGAGATTGAGACTAAGAGTGAGATTATGAATGAGACTGATAGTGAGACAGTGAGTGAAACTGATAGTGAGACTGAGAGTGAGACTGAGAGTGAGACTGTGAGTGAGAATGTGAGTGAATTTGATAGTGAGACTGAGAGTGAGACTGAGAGTGAGACTGAGAGTGAGACTGAGAGTGAGATTGACAGTGAGTCTGAGAGTGAGACTGAGAGTGAGACTGATAGTGAGACTGAGAGTGAGACTGATAGTGAAACTGAGAGTGAGACTGATCGTGAGACTGATAGTGAGACTGAGAGTGAGACTGATAGTGAGACTGAGAGACTGATAGTGAGACTGAGAGTGAGACTGATAGTGAGACTGATAGTGAGACTGATAGTTAGACTGAGATTGAGACTTAGAGTGAGACTGTTAGTGAGACTGAGAGTGAGACTGAGAGTGAGACTGTGAGTGAGACGGTGAGTGAATTTGATAGTGAGACTGACAGCGAGACTGAGAGTGAGACTGAGAGTGAGACTGATAGTGATACTGAAACTGATGAGTGAAACTGAGAGTGAGACTGATCATGAGACTGGTCGTGAGACTGATAGTGAGACTGAGAGTGAGACTGATAGTGAGACTGATAGTGAGACTGATAGTGAGACGGAGAGTGAGACTGATAGTGAGACTGAAAGTGAGACTGATAGTGAGATTGAAAGTGAGACTGAGTGTGAGACTGATCGTGACACTGATCGTGAGACTGAGAGTGAGACTGAGTGTGAGACTGATAGTGAAACTGAGAGTGAGACTGAGAGTGAGACTGAGAGACAGATCGTGAGACTGTGAGACAGATCGTGAGACTGATCGTGAGACTGATCGTGAGACTGAGAGTGATGCTGATAGTGAGACTGATAGTGAGACTGAGAGTGAGACTGAGAGTGAGACTGAGAGTGAGACTGAGAGTGAGACTGATAGTGAGACTGAAACTGATGAGTGAAACTGATAGTGAGACTGAGATTGAGACTGAGAGTGAGACTGATAGTGAGACTGGGAGTGAGACTGAGTGAGACTGTAAGTGAGACTAATAGTGAGACTGAGAGAGAGACTGTAAGCGAGACTGAGAGTGAGACTTAGAGTGAGACTGAGATGAGACTGAGAGTGTGACTGAGAGTGAGACTGATAGAGAGCCTGGGAGTGAGACTGTAAGTGAGAATGGGAGTGAGACTGAGAGTGAGACTGTAAGTGAGACTGATAGTGAGACTGAGATTTAGACTGAGAGCGAGAATGAAAATGAGAGTGACAATAAGAGCGAGAATGAGAGTGAGAATGAGAATAAGAGTAAGAATTATTTAAAGAATACTTAATTAAAGGCGAGCTAGCGCTGTGCTAACTGATCTGACCTCATACTCATCAAGCGAGTAAACCATACCATTATCATCCATTAGAAATAGGACTTTATTTTTATATGAATGTACAAAAATATATATTCCTTATTGTCTTTACTTAGATACCACTATCTGAGACTGATAGTGATACTGAAACTGATGAGTGAAACTGATAGTGAGACTGAGAATGAGACTAATAGTGAGACTGAGATTGAGACTGAGAGTTAGACTGAGAGTGAGACTGAGAGTGAGACTGATAATGAGACTGGGAGTGAGACTGAGAGTGAAATTGTAAGTGAGACTGGGAGTGAGACTGTAAGTGAGACTGATAGTGAGACTGAGATTGAGACTGAGAGTGAGACTGAGAGTGAGACTGAGAGTGAGACTAAGAGTGAGACTGATAGTGAGACTGAGAGGTGAGTCTGAGAGGTGAGACTGAGAGTGAGACTGATAGTGAGACTGATCGTGAGACTGATAGTGAGACTGAGAGTGAGACTGAGTGAAGTGAGACTGATAGTGAGACTGATAGTGAGACTGAGATTGAGACTGAGAGTGAGACTGAGAGTGAGACAGATAGTGAGACTGTGAGTGAGCCGAGACTGAGTTTGAGACTGAGAAGAAGGCTGAAACTAAGAGCGAGAATGAGAATGAGAGCGGGACTGAGAATATGAGCGAGAATGAGACTGAGAATGAGAGCGAGAATGAGAATGATAGTGAGACTGAGAGTGAGACAGAGAGTGAGACAGAGAGTGAGAGTGAGACTGAGAGTGAGACTGAGGTTAAGACTGTGAGTGAGACCGAGACTGAGTTTGAGACTGAGAAGAAGGCTGAAACTGAGAGCGAGTATGAGAATGAGAGCGAGACTGAGAATATGAGTGAGAATGAGACTGAGAATGAGAGCGAGAATGAGAATGATAGTGAGACTGAGATTGAGACTGAGAGTGAGACTGATAGTGAGACTGGGAGTGTGACTGAGAGTGAGACTATAAGTGAGACTGGGAGTGAGACTGCGAGTGAGACTGTAAGTGAGACTGATAGTAAGACTGATAGTAAGACTGATAGTGAGACTGAGATTGAAACTAAGAGTGAGACTGAGAGTGAGACTGTGAGTGAGATTGAGAGTGAGATTATGAGTGAGACCGAGACTGAGTTTGAGACTGTCTAATTGTAATGACTGGGTAATTGTTATCGATGAGCTAACTGATCTGATCTCATACTCATCTTATCATCGTCCACTAGTGCCCCGCCAGCATAAACTTTAATGCAAGCGAGTGAACCATACCATTATCATCCATTAAAAATAGGACTTTATTTTTATATGAATGAAGTGGTACTTAAGTAAAGGTAATAAGGAATATATATTTTTGTACATATTTATAATGAAAAAATTAAGAGAACCTATTTTGTGCAGATTTTTATTCTCTGCAACTTTGATTTAAAACATTTTTTTTTGATTTAAAGACTGATAGTGAGACTGAGATTGAGACTGTGAGTGAGACTGAGAGTGAGACAGATAGTGAGACTGAGATTGAGACTGTGAGTGAGCCGAGACTGGGTTTGAGACTGAGAAGAAGGCTGAAACTGAGAGCGAGGATGAGAATAAGAGCGAGAATGAGAATGATAGTGAGACTGTGACTGAGAGTGAGAGTGAGACTGAGAAAGAGAATTAGAGTGAGACTGATAGTGAGACTGAAAGTGAGACTGATAGTGAGATTGAAAGTGAGACTGAGTGTGAGACTGAGAGTGAGACAGATAGTGAGACTGAGAATGAGACTGAGAATGAGAGCGAAAATGAAAATGATAGTGAGACTGAGAGTGAGACTGAGAGTGAGACTAAGACTGAGACTGAGAATGAGACTGATAGTGAGACAGTGAGTGAGACAGTGAGTGAGACAGTGAGTGAAACTGATAGTGAGACTGAGAGTGAGACTGAGAGTGAGACTGATAGAGAGCCTGGGAGTGAGACTGTAAGTGAGACTGGGAGTGAGACTGAGAGTGAGACTGTAAGTGAGACTGATAGTGAGACTGAGATTTAGACTGAGAGCGAGAATGAAAATGAGAGTGACAATAAGAGCGAGAATGAGAGTGAGAATGAGAATAAGAGTAAGAATTATTTAAAGAATACTTAATTAAAGGCGAGCTAGCGCTGTGCTAACTGATCTGACCTCATACTCATCAAGCGAGTAAACATCAAGCGAGTAAACCATTATCATCCATTAGAAATAGGACTTTATTTTTATATGAATGTAAAAAAATATATATTCCTTATTCTCTTTACTTAGATAGCACTATCTGAGACTGATAGTGATACTGAAACTGATGAGTGAAACTGATAGTGAGACTGAGAATGAGACTAATAGTAAGACTGAGATTGAGACTGAGAGTTAGACTGAGAGTGAGACTGAGAGTGAGACTGATAATGAGACTGGGAGTGAGACTGAGAGTGAAATTGTAAGTGAGACTGGGAGTGAGACACAGAGTGAGACTGTAAGTGAGACTGATAGTGAGACTGAGATTGAGACTGAGAGTGAGACTGAGAGTGAGACCGAGACTGAGTTTGAGACTGAGAAGAAGGCTGAAACTGAGAGCGAGAATGAGAATGAGAGCGAGACTGAGAATATGAGTGAGAATGAGACTGAGAATGAGAGCGAAAATGAAAATGATAGTGAGACTGAGAGTGAGACTAAGACTGAGACTGAGAATGAGACTGATAGTAAGACTGATAGTGAGACTGAGAGGTGAGACTGAGAGGTGAGACTGAGAGTGAGACTGATAGTGAGACTGATAGTGAGACTGAGAGTGAGACTGATAGTGAGACTGAGAGTGAGACTGAGAGTGAGACTGATAGTGAGACTGAGAGTGAGACTGATAGTGAAACTGAGAGTGAGACTGATCGTGAGACTGATCGTGAGACTGATCATGAGACTGAGTGTGAGACTAATCGTGACACTGAGAGTGAGACTGAGAGTGAGACAGAGTGAGACTGTGAGTGAGCCGAGACTGAGTTTGAGACTGAGAAGAAGGCTGAAACTAAGAGCGAGAATGAGAATGAGAGCGGGACTGAGAATATGAGCGAGAATGAGACTGAGAATGAGAGCGAGAATGAGAATGATAGTGAGACTGAGATTGAGACTGAGAGTAAGACAGAGAGTGAGACTGAGAGTGAGACTGAGAGTGAGACTGAGAGTGAGACTGAGAGTGAGACTGAGAGTGACACTGTAAGTGAGACTGATAGTGAGACTGAGATTGAGACTGAGATTGAGACTGAGAGTGAGACTGAGAGTGAGACTGAGGTTAAGACTGTGAGTGAGACCGAGACTGAGTTTGAGACTGAGAAGAAGGCTGAAACTGAGAGCGAGTATGAGAATGAGAGCGGGACTGAGAATATGAGCGAGAATGAGACTGAGAATGAGAGCGAGAATGAGAATGATAGTGAGACTGAGATTGAGACTGAGAGTGAGACAGAGAGTGAGAGTGAGACTGAGAGTGAGACTGATAGTGAGACTGAGAGTGAGACTGAGAGTGACACTGTAAGTGAGACTGATAGTGAGACTGAGATTGAGACTGAGATTGAGACTGAGAGTGAGACTGAGAGTGAGACTGAGGTTAAGACTGTGAGTGAGACCGAGACTGAGTTTGAGACTGAGAAGAAGGCTGAAACTGAGAGCGAGTATGAGAATGAGAGCGAGACTGAGAATATGAGTGAGAATGAGACTGAGAATGAGAGCGAGAATGAGAATGATAGTGAGACTGAGATTGAGACTGAGAGTGAGACTGATAGTGAGACTGGGAGTGTGACTGAGAGTGAGACTATAAGTGAGACTGGGAGTGAGACTGAGAGTGAGACTGTAAGTGAGACTGATAGTGAGACTGATAGTGAGACTGAGAGTGAGACTGAGAGTGAGACTGAGAGTGAGACAGATAGTGAGACTGTGAGTGAGCCGAGACTGAGTTTGAGACTGAGAAGAAGGCTGAAACTAAGAGCGAGAATGAGAATGAGAGCGGGACTGAGAATATGAGCGAGAATGAGACTGAGAATGAGAGCGAGAATGAGAATGATAGTGAGACTGAGATTGAGACTGAGAGTGAGACAGAGAGTGAGACAGAGAGTGAGAGTGAGACTGAGAGTGAGACTGATAGTGAGACTGAGAGTGAGACTGAGAGTGACACTGTAAGTGAGACTGATAGTGAGACTGAGATTGAGACTGAGATTGAGACTGAGAGTGAGACTGAGAGTGAGACTGAGGTTAAGACTGTGAGTGAGACCGAGACTGAGTTTGAGACTGAGAAGAAGGCTGAAACTGAGAGCGAGTATGAGAATGAGAGCGGGACTGAGAATATGAGCGAGAATGAGACTGAGAATGAGAGCGAGAATGAGAATGATAGTGAGACTGAGATTGAGACTGAGAGTGAGACAGAGAGTGAGACAGAGAGTGAGAGTGAGACTGATAGTGAGACTGAGAGTGAGACTGAGAGCGAGACTGAGAGTGACACTGAGAGTGAGACTCAGAGTGAGATTGAGAGTGAGACTGTGATTGACACTGAGAGTAATGCTGTGAGTGAGACCGAGAGTGAGACTGAGAGTGAGACTGATAGTGAGACTGAGAGTGAGACTGATAGTGAGATTGATAGTGAGACTGAGTGTGAGACTGAGAGTGAGACTGAGTGTGAGACTGAGAGTGAGACTGAGAGTGAGACTGAGGTTAAGACTGTGAGTGAGACCGAGACTGAGTTTGAGACTGAGAAGAAGGCTGAAACTGAGAGCGAGTATGAGAATGAGAGCGGGACTGAGAATATGAGCGAGAATGAGACTGAGAATGAGAGCGAGAATGAGAATGATAGTGAGACTGAGATTGAGACTGAGAGTGAGACAGAGAGTGAGACAGAGAGTGAGAGTGAGACTGAGAGTGAGACTGATAGTGAGACTGAGAGTGAGACTGAGAGTGACACTGTAAGTGAGACTGATAGTGAGACTGAGATTGAGACTGAGATTGAGACTGAGAGTGAGACTGAGAGTGAGACTGAGGTTAAGACTGTGAGTGAGACCGAGACTGAGTTTGAGACTGAGAAGAAGGCTGAAACTGAGAGCGAGTATGAGAATGAGAGCGAGACTGAGAATATGAGTGAGAATGAGACTGAGAATGAGAGCGAGAATGAGAATGATAGTGAGACTGAGATTGAGACTGAGAGTGAGACTGATAGTGAGACTGGGAGTGTGACTGAGAGTGAGACTATAAGTGAGACTGGGAGTGAGACTGAGAGTGAGACTGATAGTGAGACTGATAGTGAGACTGAGAGTGAGACTGAGAGTGAGACTGAGAGTGAGACAGATAGTGAGACTGTGAGTGAGCCGAGACTGAGTTTGAGACTGAGAAGAAGGCTGAAACTAAGAGCGAGAATGAGAATGAGAGCGGGACTGAGAATATGAGCGAGAATGAGACTGAGAATGAGAGCGAGAATGAGAATGATAGTGAGACTGAGATTGAGACTGAGAGTGAGACAGAGAGTGAGACAGAGAGTGAGAGTGAGACTGAGAGTGAGACTGATAGTGAGACTGAGAGTGAGACTGAGAGTGACACTGTAAGTGAGACTGATAGTGAGACTGAGATTGAGACTGAGATTGAGACTGAGAGTGAGACTGAGAGTGAGACTGAGGTTAAGACTGTGAGTGAGACCGAGACTGAGTTTGAGACTGAGAAGAAGGCTGAAACTGAGAGCGAGTATGAGAATGAGAGCGGGACTGAGAATATGAGCGAGAATGAGACTGAGAATGAGAGCGAGAATGAGAATGATAGTGAGACTGAGATTGAGACTGAGAGTGAGACAGAGAGTGAGACAGAGAGTGAGAGTTAGACTGAGAGTGAGACTGATAGTGAGACTGAGAGTGAGACTGAGAGTGACACTGTAAGTGAGACTGATAGTGAGACTGAGATTGAGACTGAGATTGAGACTGAGAGTGAGACAGAGAGTGAGACAGAGAGTGAGAGTGAGACTGAGAGTGAGACTGATAGTGAGACTGAGAGTGAGACTGAGAGTGACACTGTAAGTGAGACTGATAGTGAGACTGAGATTGAGACTGAGATTGAGACTGAGAGTGAGACTGAGAGTGAGACTGAGGTTAAGACTGTGAGTGAGACCGAGACTGAGTTTGAGACTGAGAAGAAGGCTGAAACTGAGAGCGAGTATGAGAATGAGAGCGGGACTGAGAATATGAGCGAGAATGAGACTGAGAATGAGAGCGAGAATGAGAATGATAGTGAGACTGAGATTGAGACTGAGAGTGAGACTGAGAGTGAGACAGAGTGAGACTGAGTGTGAGACTGATCGTGAGACTGAGAGTGAGACTGATGGTGAGGTTGATCGTGAGACAGATCGTGAGACTGAGAGTGAGATTGAGTGTGAGACTAAGTTTGAGACTGAGAGTGAGATTGAGGTTAAGACTGTGAGTGAGACCGAGACTGAGTTTGAGACTGAGAAGAAGGCTGAAACTGAGAGCGAGTATGAGAATGAGAGCGAGACTGAGAATATGAGTGAGAATGAGACTGAGAATGAGAGCGAGAATGAGAATGATAGTGAGACTGAGATTGAGACTGAGAGTGAGACTGATAGTGAGACTGGGAGTGTGACTGAGAGTGAGACTATAAGTGAGACTGGGAGTGAGACACAGAGTGAGACAGTAAGAGAGACTCATAGTGAGACTGAGAGTGAGACTGAGAGTGAGACTGAGAGTGAGACAGATAGTGAGACTGTGAGTGAGCCGAGACTGAGTTTGAGACTGAGAAGAAGGCTGAAACTAAGAGCGAGAATGAGAATGAGAGCGGGACTGAGAATATGAGCGAGAATGAGACTGAGAATGAGAGCGAGAATGAGAATGATAGTGAGACTGAGATTGAGACTGAGAGTGAGACAGAGAGTGAGACAGAGAGTGAGAGTGAGACTGAGAGTGAGACTGATAGTGAGACTGAGAGTGAGACTGAGAGTGACACTGTAAGTGAGACTGATAGTGAGACTGAGATTGAGACTGAGATTGAGACTGAGAGTGAGACTGAGAGTGAGACTGAGGTTAAGACTGTGAGTGAGACCGAGACTGAGTTTGAGACTGAGAAGAAGGCTGAAACTGAGAGCGAGGATGAGAATGAGAGCGAGAATGAGAATGATAGTGAGAGTGAGACTGAGAGTGAGACTGAGATTGAGACTGTGAGTGAGTATGTGAGTGAGATTGAGAGTGAGATTGTGAGTGAGACCGAGATTGAGTTTGAGAGTCTAATTGTAATGACTGTGTAATTGTTATCGATGAGCTAACTGATCTGATCTCATACTCATCTTATCATCGTCCACTAGTGTCCCGCCAGCATAAACTTTAATGCAAGCGAGTGAACCATACCATTATCATCCATTAAAAATAGGACTTTATTTTTATATGAATGAAGTGATACTTAAGTGAAGAGAATAAGGAATATATATATTTTTCCTACTCGTGAACGGGTGCTGCTTGTAGGAACTGGTCTGCTCTAATCACTATGACTGATTTCCTCTTATTAATTGTTTAACCAGTTGGTTATATATTCAATTTTTTTTTTATTTGAGTATTTAATTGAATTAGTTCGAATTGGTGGTTTGTGTTCACACACTTAAACTTAAAAATGTAAAGTAATAATAAAATTATTTAAAAGAGCAACACACAAGTTTCTTGCTCGTTCTTCTTGTGATGAGACAGCTTTCCGAACGAGCGGTAGATTAAAAAAATGTAATGACTATTCAAAAGTGCTTCAATGTAAGTTTATTTGAATAAATGATTTTCTATTTCTATTTCTATTTTATACGACACGTCAATAGCTGCCTTTATACGACACGTCAATGGATACCTATCTACACGTCAATAATAAAAAACTTTCATCCGCTATTTTATTTTACCCATTTAAGGGTAACAACATTTTTACAAACTTTGTCATATTCATTTATATTTAATCAACAGCCTCAAAAAAAAAATTATCCCCTAATTTATTTAAGGGTAATATTTTTAAAAACTTTGTATGTCATATTTAATCTGCTCGTTCTTCTTGTAATGAGACAGCTTTCCGAACGAGTGGTAGATAGAAAACAAATTGTTATGACTATTCAAAAGTGCTTAAATTAAGTTTATTTGAATAAATGATTTTCTATTCTATTCTATTCTATTTATATTTAATTAGCAGCTTCACAAATAAGTTTCAAGCTTCTAGCTTCAAAAATGTCATCTTTCATCCCCAATTATCTCTATCTATATCAATTATCTACCCCTTACAACCCTTTTTTTCCATTAAAAAGTAGCCTATGTCCTTTCTCAGGTTCTAGACTATGTGTGTACCAAATTTCATTTAAATCGGTTCAGTAGTTTTGGCGTGAAAGCGAGACAGACAGTTACTTTCGCATTTATAATATTAGTAAGGTGTAAGGTAAATCAAAGTCGCCGTCGCTGTCCGTCCCTATGTATGCTTAAATCTTTAAAACTACGCAACGGATTTTGAAGCTGTTTTAATAGATAGACTGATTCAAGATGAAGGTTTATATGTATAAAACATGTACACCCGTGCGAAGCCGGGGCGAGCTAGTAAAGTATAATACAATCAATAAAAATTCAAATATATTTGTATAATAAATCATTTTTATTGAATTATAACGACATTATTAAATAACAAAAATCAATTTACAACACGATTACATATAAAATTAGAGTTGGAGGAAAGTGTGAGCCACTCTCCTTGACGGGGCGACGCGTTATCGTTTCATTTACATTAGCCAGCTGATTATTGACCAAACAATCTTGTAATGAGTGTCACACATTTTAGAGGGAGCTTCCTTATTGGATCTCTTTCTGTAACGAATTCAAGACACGTCGACCCGCGGTTTCATCATATAATGTTACTAACAATTCTCATTTGCAACTAATGAACAACAATGAATAGGTTTACATATATTTTATTACTTTATTATAATCAAATAATATTTATATAGATATTTTACAATCATATAAGAATAAAAGAATAATAATTTCATAGACAAATAAACTTAACGTAAGTTATATAATCAACAGTATCTGTTGAGATTCTTGCCAGTTCTTCTCAACTGAAGTAGCTAGCTGAACTGAACCGTAGGGATGATAAAAAAATATTAATCTTAAAATAAATAATCTTAAATCATATTATAAACGCAAAAGTTTGTGAGTATGGATGGATGTTTGTTACTCTTTCACGCAAAAACTATTGAACGGTTTGTGATGAAACTTTACTGTAATACAGCTTATATATCAGACTAATATATCGGCTAAAAATGTCAGTAGAATATTAAATATAACGTGCACAAGCGCCTGAAAAGTTAAACAATTAAGAGTGTATAAAACCGTGGTTCTGGAGATCAGGAGCGTTTGTACTTATTGAATGAAATATAGTTATGAGCTTACAACCGTATATATATTGTAATGTGTATAATCTAAGTGCCTAAATAATTTTTTTTTTTTTTTCGGACTACTCCAATGCTGTTGGCCGTAGCTGGCCTTTACAGCTTCATCGGACGTTATGGGGCGAGTGCAGATGGCACTCCAAACCCGCGGAAGGACTTATGGAGCGGCTGAAGGCCTACTCCTGCCCGACGGATACGACTTTAGTCTGAGGGCACCACTAGGGGTTCGAACCTCGGCTCAGGCCGTCGTAATTTCGATCCCCGTTTGAATTGGACGGGGATCGATCGGAGGGGTGCCTAAATAAAAAATTACATATCTATATAAGGAATAACAAAAATATCTTATTAGCGTGTTTTAGAAATATGTATGCAAAAATACAGCGCCATCTAGTTGTACTAGTATAAAACTATTTTGACTCGAATAAAGATATTAAGTTTGAACTAAAAGACTACTTATTAAATACTCACAAACTTTCGCGTTTATATTATGAAAGAATAAGATTTCACCGATGTAATTGCAACTTAACTTACAGACTGCATCTGCAACAGACATATACATTTTTAGTCTGTTACAATTGAGAATTGTTAATAACAGCATTACATAAGCTGTCGATCAGGAAGGCGGCGAAACGGCACTGCTACCTACACACCATAATTACTAAACCTACTGGATATATTTGAAAAGTGTAATTGATAAATTGAGTATTACGCTCCTTACACACGGGGCCAGTCCTAATGAATATAGCTGAAATACATGAAACTGAATCAGTCAAAGAAACAAAGTGAAAATATACTCAATAGTTGAAGCGACTGAAACAAAGTTAAAATCTATACATATAAATAAATTTGGAGTGTCTGTTTGTAATATTGAAATAACCGTTTTTTACTACATGCATATGAATATAAATAGGGTACATACACCAAAAAAAAAAACACTTTTTAAAATTTTTGTCTGTCCGTCTGTCGGTCTGTCTCTGAAATGGTTGGACCGATTTTGACGGGACTTTTTTGGCAGATATTTAATGTAATAGGGAGTAACTTAGGCTACTTTTATTTTAGGAAACAAAGTTAATTTCCACTCGGACGAAGTCGCGGGAACAGCTAGTATTAAATAAATTTATTACGTTAATGTACAGTTCGTATAAAAATCTCCGTTTCGGAGGAGTATGGGAATGAAAACTGACACGAGAATTTTATATATAAGATATATATATATATATATCACTTTGTTTCTTTGAAAAAGCTATTCAGTTGCAATAATACCATGGCTGGATTTAGCTTTGTATATTCTAAATCAGAGATTCCCAAAGTGGTCTATATCGACCCCCAGGGGTCTATAACAAACTGCAAGGGGTCTACAACAGCTGTCATCTTGTTGTTTTTACTTTATGTTTTTAACACTAAACTTTACTACAGTTAGAAATACAAAAAATCAATACCAGATAAGAATGGGGGGTCTACCCAAAGGGGCCGTTCAAGTATTACGTAAGCACTATAGGGGGGCGGGGGGTCTTTTCTTTGCTTATTTTGGATGACATGGGGGTGGGGGAGTCTGTATGATGATTACGTCATCGGTCGTAATTTACTTTTTTACACGAATGGCAACCCTCACATTGTCTTTGTTAAAAAACAATACATTAATTGAGAAATGTTTACGTAAGCATGGGGGGAGGGGTAAGAGCTTTGCTTACTTTTGCTGACAACGGGGGATGAGGGGTAAATAATTGTGATAAATCTGCTTACGTAATACTTGAACAGCCCCAAACCCGAAAAATATGGCAAGGGGTCCACAACCAAAAATTTGGGAACCTCTGCTCTAAATGTATGTAAAAGAGCAAGCCTGAAGAATAGATTTAGCAGCGCCGCGCTGCAGTGGGTCCAGACTTAAAGATTCAACAAACAGTCCATTTATTGTAACATAACCGAAACATGACGGGATGCACCGCTCTCCCGTGTCCCGTCGTAAAATCACAATACTTAATAATAAATATTTACAAATTAACACGAACAATAGGTTATATGTAGAGATTATATTGATCGTAGGAGTACCGCGCTATGACTGGCGGAAGGAGATTTAGTGTATGACATCAATAGTTACTTTTAAACTTTCGTGTTTAATATACATTATTTAAATTGTTAACCGGGTCTTAACACGAATAATTTTATGGCAAATAAAGGTATTTACCTCTCTCGACGTTTCGACTAGGTTGCACTAGCCGTGGTCACGAGCTGACTGGAGTTGACATCGCTGTTACTCCAGTCAGCTCGTGACCACGGCGGTGAGGTAAATACCTTTATTTGCCATAAAATTATTCGTGTTAAGACCCGGTTAATAATATAAATAATATGACATCAATGTTCATACAGCTATGATTATGTAACCATATCCAAAACTGATACGTATAATAGTAAATCACGGTATCTTACCACGTTTTATATTTATTGAGTCCCCGATATTTATAGATTCAACCGACATGATAACGGGTAAACAGAAGAGTAGCAGTAGATGGTAAATAATGGGGTTTTTCAAGAAGGGTATATTAAGGTTTCTTAAGTGTCGGCAACGCGTATGTAACACCGCTGGTGTTTCAGGCATTTATACGCTACGGTAACCATTTACCATCAGATGGGCCGTATGCTTGATTGCCACCATCGTAGTATAAAAAAATCTATGGGTAATCAAATGCGTCTACCTTCACACGTCTTCGTTTGTTGCTACTATTGGAACTCGCTCGATATTCATCTGTACTCACAGTATCTTCGCGTACATTTAAACACATTTTGATCACTTTTTTATATTTTTTAATTAAACGTTTTAAATGTACGTGAAGATACTGTGAGTACAGTTTAGCAACAAACGAAGACGTGTGAAGGTAGACGCATATGTCTGCCCATAAAAAATATTTCATTTACTATGTACCCGCTGCTCTTCAGTTTACCCGTGATCATGGCGGTTGAAACACTGCCGAAATATCGGGAACTCAATAAAAATAAAACGTGGCAAGGTCCCATGATTATTACTAATTATATGTATAAATAAAGCTACCCAAACTGTTTCTTAATTCAAACACGTTGTTATCGCCAACTTCGGGACTATGTACAAATCGTTTGATAGTTGCAATAACGCTCCATGCAAGTTTGGTAACTGAAACTGTCAAATCGATCTTATATAATCGCATAAATATCAATCACATCACGTCTCTTAACAAATGTGTTACATAATCAACAGCAGATGTTAGGATAGTGTACAATATTTTAAAGGGCTCTAATAGACATAGAGAGGACGCATCGCGATGAAACATCGCACCGCACCGCACCGCACCGCATCGCATAGCACCCAGTGGCGTAGTTAGGTAACCAAGGGCCCCGGGGGAAAAAAATGCGACCCCACTGCTTAGAGGGGGGCCCTACATTATAGTTATATTAAAACGCACACATCGCTATCCGTCAAATTGACAGCACTGCCAACCCACAGAAAGAATTTAGGGAAATTTTGAAAAGTTCAGTTCGATTCGAGATTTTCTGGTAAAGATTCGAGGGCACCATGAGCTCGAGGACCCGGGGCACCGGCCCGCCTAGCCCCTAGGTAGCTACGCCACTGATCGCACCGCACCGCAACAACACCTGATGGTATAAGGGAGCCTGGAGTTTAGAACTCGAAGCAGCGCTGCAGGTTGACGTACTTCTTGAGGGCGTGCGGCAGCGGCAGCTCCTTGACGGCGCGCTTCATGCACAGCGACAGGCGCACGCGGCGAGCGTCGTCCTCGTGGTGGCGGGACCGCTGCGGCGGGCGTCGCTTGCGGCGGTGCGCGCCGTCCGGTTCCGTGCCGTCCGTGTCCGCGCCGTCCGGCTCCGCGCCGGACTCGCGCGACCCGGACGACGAGCGCGCCTCCGGGCCGCCACGGGACCTCTTCTGCCGCCGTCTGCGACCTGTGCGTACATTATAAGATTAGACAACGCTATACGTCTGTGATGGGGATATTCTTAAGATACATAGATCACTAGATCTTAAGATACATAGATCTAATCCCTCGATCCTTCGGGCGGCGCGGCTAAGGCAATTTGTTCACTGGTGAGGTGATGGAGTGATTGGTTTTAGGGTACAATGGGACTGACATGTACTTAGATGGTACAAAAGTCCCTAATTTTTAAAAAATCTAGACCCTTATAAATTTTCTACGGCAAGTGCTATTGTTATATATAGAATAGAATAAAATAGAAAATAATTTATTCAAATAAAGTTAGTTTAAGCACTTTTGAATAGTCATAACAATTTGTTTTTTATCTACCACTCGTTCGGAAAGCTGTCTCATCACAAGAAGAACGAGCAAGAAACTTGCGTGTTGCTCTTTTAAATAATCCTTGTAAGTTTACATTTACAAGTCGAAACTTGTGAATACAAACTACCAGCCAGCAGTAATTTTTTGGGTCAAATATAAATATGCAATAAGATTAAATCAGTCGTAGTGATAAGAGCAGACCAGTCCCTAAAAGCAGCACTCGTTCACGAGTATGACGGATGAGCCAGCCATCACTGCGCTCGACCATATTTTAGGGACCCCAATGACCCGGCCCACCACGCCGCCGTTGTCCGCAAATAAACTTATTCTTGCTAAATATTGCTATCATCTATAAATTCATCTATCCTATAATAGGCTTTTTTACATAACATTTGTTTAATATAAAATTTGAATTGCCTCTCTGTCAGATTTAGCGTAGATTCTGACAGTTTATTATAGAATCTTATGCAATATATATTTATATCTTTTACGTTTCTGTATTATGTGTCATATATTAATGAACCATGAATAAAGATATTTTGAATTTTGAATTTTGAAATTTTGAACGTTTCTGAACATATATTAATGAAATCAATCTTTCTGCACCACTCATGGCTGACTGGTAGGTGTTAAGTCCACCGTGTGTATTATTGGATTATTAAAAAATGTTTATTTTATGTTTATTTTTTAATTATGGTAAATTAAGTTTAATTATATGTACATTTTATTTGCTCTTTTTTTTCGTTTGTTGTTTATATTGTATTTTGTACATTGCACTGAATAAAATATTTTACTTTTTTTCTTTCTTTCTTTCTTTCTTACATTATTTTTTTTTTACATTGAAGTTAAATAAATAAGTAATTAGGTTAAAATTTGTTGGAAAAATATATAAACGTTCATTTCATTCATTATGGATCCACAGTTCAGCAAGTAGTTAACTTTCTAGTGTTTAGGGTAATTGTCACGATCTCGGTAGTCCAACAGTTGAGCACACCATCTTCCTTCTGTTAATAATAATAATCTCAGGACAATTCACACAGCGCCATCTAGACCCAAGTTAAGCTAGCTAAAGCTTGTGTTATGGGTACTAGATAACTGATACAAATACATAGATATCGTAAATACATACATAATATACATAGAAAACACCCAGACCGTTAACTATCATACTCATGAATACAAATGATTGTCCGTGCGAGGAATCGAACCCGCGACCATCGGACGTAAAGCGGTGTGCTAGACCGCTAGACCACCGAGGTTGTCTAATGCGGATTCGATTCCTGGTACGGTTCAAACATTTGTATTCATGAGAGATTGTTTTATACTATGGGAAACTAGAATACGGCATATTAATAAAGTATTACCGTATTGTATGGTATGAAGAAAGAGCCTAGTTTCTTCCATCAAGAGAGTTAATCTATACATATAAATAAAATTGGAGTGTCTGTTTGTAATATTGAAATAATCGTTTTTTTACTACATGCATATGAATATATATACGGTATATATAGCAAAATAAGATTTTTTACAATTTTTGTCTGTCTGTGTGTCTGTTTGTTGCGGCTAATCTTTGAAATGGCTGGACCGATTTTGACGGGACTTTTTTTGGCAAGTAGCTGATGTAATAAGGAGTAACTTAGGCTACTTTTATTTTAGAAAAATAAAGTTAAAAACCACGCGGACGAATTCGCGGGAACAGCTAGTAAAGAAATATAATTGATACATCAGCCAACGTTTTAATGAACTAGAAAACTCACCTGCCAATGCTTCTTTATCGACGTCCTCCGTGAGGCTGTCGGAGCGACGCGAGCCGTCTGCGTCCGACGACTCGTCCGTCTTTGAATCAGTCTTAGTTGGTGAGGAACTCGACGGCGAGTTCTCTCCAATGCCACTGTCCAGCTTCTGTCGTTTCTCCGGCTTCGGTTTCGGTCCCTCCTCTGTGGTTTCCTCATCGCTGACCAGCTCCTGGGTGGCTTCGGTGCTTTCCTCCCACTCCATCTCCCCTTCCTTGGAAGTACTCGGCATCGCCTCGCTCGATTTGCCTAAATAGATCTCTACTTCCGATGGCACTTCTCGAGTCTTGTCATCGCCTTTTCCTGATTTAGGTGATGAATCATCCGATTTATCGGTGTCTGTAGACTTCCGAGAGCTCCCGGCATCATCGGGTGGAGGCGGGGGCGGTAGTAATGGACCCGTTAGATTGTCGTCCCCCTCTGTGCGAGCTACATTTCGGAATTCAAATGTAAGCAATCCGCGACCGCGGCTCGCTCTCGGCGAGTTGTCCCGATTGTCCGAGAGGTTTGCCGACAGATCGAGTGCGCGGTCGCTGCTGGAGCCGGTGCCGGCGTCGCCGTCGTTGCCGTCGTCGTTGTCGTCGTCGCCGCCGCCGGGTCGGGGATCGTCCTCGTCGGCCGACGAGTCCGACGACGTGTCGCCGGTGTCGAAGCGCAGCGATCCAGCTACGCGGTTCTGCCCCATACTCAGCACGAGGCTGAGGAGGGCGTTCATCTCGTTGGCCCCATTGTTGCGGTCCAAATCGTGCAGGACGTTTAGGCCCTCTGTGAACACAACAAGCAATAGAGTTAAATATGTCACTAAATATTAAGTAACAAGTGTGTAAGTCGTAATTACTTCAGTTCGAACTTATGTTATACAGAGTATGATATTGAAATGTTACGTAGAAGTAACTATGATGTACCGCATTTCATTATTCGATAAGATAAGGGGAAGTGGTATACTGATTGCAAAGGGCTAGCCTGCTAGCTCCTTGTGCTGCTGCTGCTGGTGGCGGCGAGGGCGGCGGGGAGCGCAGCTGCGGGTGCCTGCGCCGCGAGCGCAGGTCGCTGTCGTCGTCGATGGGGATGCATATGCGGCGCGGGCAGGCGGCGCGCGGGGGCGGCGAGGGCGGCCGGGTGCCTGCGCCGCAGCTACAGTACGGGGCGCGGGTACTGACCGAGGTCGCTGTCGTCGTCGATGGGGATGCAGATGCGGCGCGGGCAGGCGGCGCGCGGCGCGAGGGCGGCGGGGAGCGCAGGCGGGTGCCTGCGCCGCAGCTACAGTACGGCGCGCGGGTTCTGACCGAGGTCGCTGTCGTCGTCGATGGGGATGCAGATGCGGCGCGGGCAGGCGGCGCGCGGGGGCGGCGAGGGCGGCGGGGAGCGCAGCTGCGGGTGCCTGCGCCGCAGCTACAGTACGGGGCGCGGGTACTGACCGAGGTCGCTGTCGTCGTCGATGGGGATGCAGATGCGGCGCGGGCAGGCGGCGCGCGGGGGCGGCGAGGGCGGCGGGGAGCGCAGCTGCGGGTGCCTGCGCCGCAGCTACAGTACGGGGCGCGGGTACTGACCGAGGTCGCTGTCGTCGTCGATGGGGATGCAGATGCGGCGCGGGCAGGCGGCGCGCGGGGGCGGCGAGGGCGGCGGGGAGCGCAGCTGCGGGTGCCTGCGCCGCAGCCCGGCCCGCATGGAGCTGCGGACGCGGGCCCGCGCCAGCTGCTGCAGCCGCACCGGGCACTGCTCCTCTGCACGCGCAAGCCTCGTTACCTACCGACATCTCGATACCTCTGCGTTATCTGACCATTCGACGGTGATTACTTCAAATGTGCTCCGGTAGAGAAATAAAACGTAAAATGTTGATTGAACTATAAATTTCATTAAAGTATTCGTGAGAATTTTTTTACTATGACTTCTGTTTGTTATGTTTCTATATGTTTACAATAATATTATAATTTTCTGTGTATCACTTTGATACCAAATAAATTTCATATGTACTTAATAATTCAATGAATTATTTTTTAATTATGACATTGAGTTTGTATCTTTGTTTAAGTACAATTATTAATGACTACTAAACACGACTTTACTTCTTTACATAGTATAAAACAAAGTCACTGTCGCTGTCTGTCCGTCCCTATGTATGCTTTAATCTTTAAAACTACGCATCAGATTTTGAAGCGGTTTCTTTTAATAGATAGAGTGATTCAAGAGGAAGATTTATATATATAATACATGTACACCCGTGCGAAGCGGGGGCGAATAGCTAGTTAAGAATCATAACGACTAAAATAAATAGGTTTCTACGATAAATATCGTGTATATGTGCAAATAAAAAACTTATTAAATTTTTCATTATACGTTCGAGTTGTTTACATTTTAAGTTCGCTAACCGAGCACTTTTTTAAATAATAATTGAAATATTGAAAATGTTTTTTGAGAACTGACAGATAATGCAGATGTTGCGAAATTTCGATAGAAATAACACTCTAAACATAGGTCCTTATGATTGTAATTCCAAAAACGGTATACAGCGTCATTGTAGACTGTTGGCGTTGTTGTTGAGAATTTCTCTGAAATTATTTGAACTTTTTTTTAACCCACATTTTTTTTTTATTTAATTGTAATGGGAAACAAGCTGATTGTCCACCGGGTGTTAAATATTCACTGTCGCCTATACATATGTACATTTTTTATACTTCTATGGTGGGAAACAAGCATACGGCCCATCTGATGGTAAATGGTTACCGTAGCCTATGGACGCCTGAAACACCAGGTGTGTCACGTGCGCGTTGCCGACCCTTGAATATTGACATCACCTCACCGTGTGACTCATGCATTGCCATATCGGATGATTACCATATGGCAATATATCAGAGACAACCTGCAACCGATACAGCTTATACAGCAAGCTGCTTACGGGTGAATTAGATGATACTGGTACTGCTACAGTTTCACAATCACTGTACATACAATGGTTCCGAAAGAGCCATTTTAGCTTTCCACATCAATATATTGTATTAATAAAACAATACCCTCTTGATACATTCCTTTCGTATTACTCGCGGTTTTCGGCTGAGAGACAAGGACAAATGATCAGTCTGTTACTAATCTTAACTCACGCGCTTTTCTTCTTAATTCCTACTTAAAATACAAATAATTGTTTTTTTTTTAACTATCCTTAGACCCACATACAGTAACAGTACCCACAGAGTCTACTTACAGTCTACCTCTGGTATAATTATGATAAAACAATAAACAATGCATGGAAGATCCATAATCAAATACATAAATGCTAATATAACACTACTATGTTCTCTGGCGCAGATGTACTTCTCCCAGTAAACTGGAAACATGGGTTGGACAGAGAGAAATAACATGGGTGTAGTATCGGGACATACAAACTTACATTTGCACTTTGTTAAAGAAATAACTCTTAAGAATTCATAGTCCTAAACAGATCAGATTCACTGGTTGTATGGAACACCGTACCATAACAATAATATACTTATAAATTATCACTTACGTAGCATATATCATATCACTATACATATATTACTATACAATAAATCAGTGTATAACATCAAGTGCTCACTACGGGACGTATCTTTTATTTATCATCCCCGTAGATTATCAATTATAACTATCAATTATCAATATCAATTATCATTATCAATAGGTGTAGGAACAAAATCCCTACTCTGGTACTATACAGAGTAATACTGATAGAAATACAAAAATATCTAAACGATTACTATTGGATCTACTCATGAATACCAATAATTGTTTTGCACGGTAATGGGACCCGCAATTATAGTGGTAGAGCGTTATTTTAACCCCCACTACACCACAGTGGTCAACATATGTAAGTATCGTTTAAAAAGTCAATATATCTTTTTAAAAATACAATAATTACAAAGAATATACTGGATGAACTTTAAATAAATTTAAAACATCTGTTAAATCATATTTATAGAGCAAAGCCTCACTACTCTCAGTACTCACTTACTTACTAAACGATTACTTGAATGATGAACGTGGCAATAATTGTTCATGATTTCATTTATCTTTATAACTGTACTAGCTTTTGCCCGCGGCTTCGCTCGCGTTAATTTATCCTCATAGAGGTGGAATTCATGAAATTCCGTTCTTAGGGGATGCCTACGTCATAGTAGCTTTATGCATGCAAAGTCTCAGCCCGATCGATTTGAAATTGACAAAGTTCATACAAACTTTCATCCCCAATTTTATCCCCTTGGGGGTAGAATTAATCAAGATCCTTTCTTAGCGGATGCCTACGTCATAACATTTACCTGCATGCCAAATTTCAGCCCGATCCGTCCAGTGGTTTGGGCTGTGCGTTGATAGATCACTACGTCAGTCACCTTTGAGTTATATATATAGATAATATAAATAAACTGACTTTAAAAAAAAGACTATTCAGCTGTGTTTCTTGTCAGTTCTTCTCAATTGAATCTGTATATTGAACTCGACGGTAGGGAAACCAACGTTGTGGTGAGGGAGACTGTGGAGTGTTGGAGTTACGGTTTTAACGCTCATAAGCGGCTAAAATGTCCTACAAAAATAAATGATTTTTAATTTTATTTGATCTACTTACCTAGTCTAATGAGCTCGCTGGTCTCGCTCTTGCATGGTTCTCGGAGTGGTGCGAAGGACACGTTGAGTAGCGTGCGAGTGGTCCACTCCGTCTCAGAGACACGTTCCATTTGCACCAAGTTGTCGTTCAAAGGCATCACCAGGATCCCGCCGATCTGTTCCAATACACCAGATACATTGGAATCGACTTTCGCGCGGGAAAGAATAGAATAGAATAGCAAAATAGAACAGAACGGAACGGAACGGAAGGAACGGAACAGAACAGAACAGAACGATGTTCCAATACACGCACCATATACATTCAAAATTCAAAATATCTTTATTCATGTAGGTCTATTACAGACACCTACGATATGTCAAATCGGAATGATTTCGGGCTGAGAAGAACTAGGAAGGAAGGAATAGAATAGAATAGAATTTTAATAGAAAGAGTTTTCTTTACATAGTATAAAACAAAATCGCCGCCACTGTCTGTTAAGCTAGGGGCTAGCAGAATAGATCTATATAGGTCGCAGTGCTACAGGTCTAAGCACCTGACAATAGCCCAAACCCCTCAATAACAAAGATCCTGGATCTCGTTGTACAGCGCATAAAAAGCGACATTTGTTCAAGCTGTCACTTAGTGAGGGAAGGTGATTGTTAGTAATGGGATCTAGGGAAACCATCGTGGTTAATTCCTGGTTATTCAATCACGATGCACATATAAATGTATAGTGATTTAAAATCCAAAATAGATACTTTCTACATGTGGTGTTGGGGCAAAATGTAAGGAATATCAGGGACGGAACGCCGCACTAACGACTGTGTGCCTCCAGCGTCTGCTAACTTTCGGCCACATGGCCCTTCGGAAACCAGATAAATTGGAAAAATGTATAATGGTAGCCTACGTTGATGGAAGCACTACGTTGTACGGCACTTGCACGACTAATCCTGTACGAGAGTGAGAGAAATATACAGTCAGCACAAAATAAAAATGCCTGGAGAGTTTTGGTTGGAAGAAGCATTCCTGGTGGTCACGACCCTCAATCTTCAGGAATCGACAAAGTAGAAGTGATTTATAATATTAATATATACCTTTATGAGCTGTTTGAAATAGTTCTCGTATTGTTCAGGGCAGCCCGCGCCGCAGTACACGCGGTCGTATGGAGCCTGGAGTGGCGCCAGGCACAATCCGTTACCTGATGAATAAACAGTTGGCTGAATTTAAATTGTTCTCAGTAGATACCAGGATAGACTGTAAAAATAATAAAAATAAAGTATTTGGTGGCCTCATTGGTCTTGCGGTTTAGCACAGTGCTTTACTTCCGATGGTCGCAGGTTCGATTCCTCGCACGGTACAAACTTTTGTATTCATAACTACGATTGTTTGTATTAGTCTTCATATTTACTATGTATATTATATCTTATATATAAAATTCTCGTGTCACAGTTTTCGTTCCCCATACTCCTCCGAAACGGCTTGAGCGATTCTCATGAAATTTTGTGAGCGTATTGAGTAGGTCTGAGAATCGGCCAACATTTATTTTTAAAAAAAAATGTTCAATAACAATAATTTTTTTTTTTTATTTTAAGGTAAAACAACGTTTGCCGGGACAGCTAGTTATATATGAATTTAGAAAATACTAAGTACATCTCTCATTTGTCTAGTACCCATAACGCAAGCTCTGATAAACTTGGGGCTAGATGGCGTTGTGTGAATTGTCAAGGGTTATTTCTTATTATTTAAAGCCTTTATCTATACATATATTATAAATAAAATTGGAGTGTCTGTTTGTAATATTGAAACAACCGTTTTTTACTACATATATATGAATATAAATACGATACATAATACACCAAAATAACATTTACATGAACTTACATATACTCATGAATACAAATGTTTGTACCGTGTGTGGAATCGAACCCGCAACTCAGAAGTAAGACAGCGTGCTAAACCACTAGATAATCGAGGCCGACTTATATACAAAAAAAACATTTCAATAACAATAATATTTACTTTACATTAAAAGATAACAATCGATTAGGCAAACAACTTGTAACAGATAAACATACAACAAATTATATAATAATAATATTATGACACACAAGATAAGATAACATATTACATTTAAAAATAATCATACTTAAAATTATCTTCACGCCAAATACATTACCGGGTAGACACAACTAAGTGCCATATATGAAAAACAACATGAAATTAAATCAAATTTGCATGTTATTATTCTGACTTTGTTTAACTTAAAACACCAAGAAGTCAGAAAAACAACATATAAAAACGAATAAATACAATTATAATAATAATAATTGCATTTATTTCTTCTCATAAACATTGTACACATTGCGAACAGATACAGTGCATCTCCCTGTACGTAATGCGACTTATACTGCAGATAATATTTTTAAACATCACATCATTTCTGTCAGCCCCGTCAACAGACTGCTATGACCACTCCTTATACATAAAATATATAGTTGACATGAGTATATTTTTTTATTGAGGGTTTTCAGCTATATACAGGTGCTAAGACTTGTAGCACTGCGATCTACATAGATGTATTGTGCTCGCTTTTTTCAAAGTTCGCTACCTAGACCCGTCAGAGACAAGTATTGAAGGATACTCTTAGGAGTGATAGTTTGTATCTCCTCACTATATAGTGTATACTTTGGAATTTTCGTTTCGTAATGAAATGTGTATCCTTTATGGTTGTAGCTTACTCATGTATAAACATTCCGTTTATACATGAGTAAGCTACAACCATAAAGGATACACATCCTAGAGTGGCGTTTACTCTTCAGCTTGGTGAAAATATATATAAGTATAATAATGTAAATATTATATAAGTATTGATTGTTAATAAAACTTCTTCTCCTTCTTCTTTATTTTAAACTATCTGCACCCGTGACATCGTCCGCGTGGAATTTAACTTTATTTTTTTTAAATAAAAGTAGCCTAAGTTACTCCTTATTACATCAGCTACCTGCCAATAAAAGTCCCGTCAAAATCGGTCCAGCCATTTCAGAGATTAGCCCGAACAAACAGACAGACAGACAATAATTGTAAAAATGTTATTTTGGTGTATTTATATTCATATGCATGTAGTAAAAAACGGTTATTTCAATATTACAAACTGACACTCCAATTTTATTTATATGTATAGATGTATAGATGGCTGCCACAATAAAAAAACTTCAAGAGTCTTGTCATTCAACTTTATGTCCGGAAATCTCAGAGGTGCTTGTCTAATTGTTTAGTAATGTAACAAATACATATATGTGGCAGTGGCAGAAGAAAAGTAAGAGATAAATCAACTACTGTGATATTCTTACCTCGAGTCATGGACAGGTTTTTATAAATAGTGAGAGAGAGCAGAGTTCGAAGATATTAAGTGGAAAAACATATAATAATTCCAGTGTCAAGCTTGTGTGTACAAATATTTAATATAATAATAATAACCCTGGTCAATTCACACAGCGCCATCTAGTCCCAAGCTAAGCAGTTTATGTTATGGGTACTAGACAAGTGATATAAATAATATTTTTTTTTGTAAACACATAAATATACATGGAAAACCAGAGTTTTCAAAAACCCATGAGTATTGGACTCATGAATACAAATGTTTGATTGAACCCGCCAGCATTAGAAGTAAAGTGGTTTGCTTAACTGTTAGATCACTGAGGCAGTTTCATTGAAAACAAAATTTAATTTAATATGCATTTAATAAGATAATAATTACGGCAAATGTATGTATTAGAGTGTACACTATACTGCTATCAATACAACCATGTGAAACAAAATTTATATAAATATCTTATTAATATTATAAAAACCAAAGTTTGTGAGTATGGATGGATGTTTGTTACTCTTTCACGCAAAAACTATTGAATGAATTTTGATGAAACTTTACAGTAATATAGCTTATCCATCAGAATAACAAATAGGCTATAAATTTCATGAGGGTGAAATCGTGGGCACAGCTATTATTATTATTTATGGACGTGGCCTACCAGCTGACTTTGAGAATGCACATTCAGACAAAAAGAGACCTAATGAACTAATTTAAATCCAAATACAAGACACCGCTAGGAAATCATCCTAATGTGCTAGCCAACCAACTAATAGTCCCTGAAAACTTAGTCATCTTAAAAGACATGGAATCTGATGACAAATCAGGACCTCCTAAAGAGATGATGATTTTGCTGGAAATCACTCTCTACCCATAACATAACTTTACCACTTCTGTACATAGTCGTAACTGATTGCAAGATGTAAATAGAAAAAAAAAATTTATATACTAGAAGACCCGGCCAGGTGTTGCTGCGGGTAATAGCTTCTTTATATAGAAAAATAATTTGCAATAAAATAATATTGGGACTATAAATTGAGATGTAAGTTATCCTATCTTTCAAGTTGGATCAAATTGCACACAATATGCAAATCAAATTTGCAATCAGTATTTTAGGAGTCCATGACGGACAAACAACGTGACACAATTTTTATATATAAAGAATATATGATTTACTTACCAAGATAGAACCTAGGTTCGCAAAAGTCAAACTCATCCAGAATAGCTGAATTTTCTATAAACTGGCCGAGTTTCTTGTTCGCATACTCCACCACAAATGGACGGACTTCAACACCATGGCTGATCCCGCTAGAACCCAGTATCAATCCCACCATGGTGCTGAGATAGCCAGTACCGGAGCCAATATTCAGGAATGATAAACCCGGTTTCAGCTTCAGGCTTTCCATGACCTCACTGTTGAATAACATCATTCATAAATATTTATTTACTGCTTTATATGTGCTAATGTATGATATACAAATTTTAATATTATATACATGAAAGTTTGTGACTATGGATGGATGTTTCTTACTCTTGCACACAAAAACCACTGATCAGACTTTAATGAAATATAACTGCTTATTTATTTATTTATTTATTTAAAACTTTATTGATTTTGTACAAAACTCACACTTGTAGTTTTTCAGGCATAACAATGTAAATGAGAGAAGTAGATATACAAAATAGAGATAATTAATAATAATAATAATAATCTCATGACAATTCAACAACATCTAGACTATAAATTTTAAGCTTGTGCTTTGGGTACTGACAACTGATACAAATGCATAGCTAGAAATACATACATAATTGAAAATATAGACTGATACAAAAATCATACTTGAATACTTTTTCAGGCATAACAAAGAGATAAATAAATAGACCACAGATAATATAATAATATAAAACTGTATATAAGATAATTAATAATAAAAATAATAATAGGATTCATTTTCATTGTCATTGTGAAGTTTTAGCTATACATTATTAATGTTAACTATTGTAATAATCTACTCAGTATTCCTGATAAACCATAGTAATAATAGCATGGTTATAGCCAGCTCAAGAACATGGCTAGTGCAACCTAATCCAGCGTTGCTCAATATGTGGTTATTGTAGAATCTAAAATAAAAATAAAAACAAGTAACATTGCTAGATACATGCACAAAATAATCGTTTACCTGTATATACAGGGAGCAGACAAATGCAGTGGCCCATTCCGCCATGCTAGATCCTTGTAAGCCTGGTCCCGGGTGTCCGGGGTCATGTATTCGGCGCGGTCCAGTGCGCGGAACACTTTTTCCACGGTCCGTGTTCGGATGTACTTCCCTCCCATCAAGTTATCAATCAGCTCGTTGTTGTCGCGGCCCGAGCTCACGGCACCCCCCATTCTGATTGTTTGTTTTGTTCACTATCACAAAACCCTCCCTCGGCCAAACGCCTCAGCTGATTGGAATCGTGACGTCACAGATGTTTTTCAACATATTTTTAGAGATTATACAAAAGAAACCAATTTAATGCTTTTATTATAAGTTAAGTTCTTATGATAAATACACATTTAAACATATAATGTCATGAAATGCAATTAATTAACAAAAGAAATTAGTCAATTTATAGCAAAACACTTTCATAAGAAGAGAGATAAATTTTATTTTATTTTCTTTGTCAAATTGTCACTCTATTTCGATCGAATATCTTCAAATACCATACATAATGTATAATATCAAGAAAAACAGATTAAATAAACCAACCATGACACAATATAATGTATGATCTAAATTGCTTGTAATTGAGAACAGACTGTTTATGATCTACGCAGACAGCACAGTACAACTACTGACTACCCTGTGCGTCACAGGTTTATTAAATTTATAAACAAATTTTACAGAAACCCAACCACATTTAACAATACATCTAGATATCTATTATTGCTTAATATAACATAGTGTGCCCATAGTTATCTAAACTTTGTCATAGTATGAAATGAGTAAGTACTTGACCTTATATTACTCTGTATTCGTATCAGTATCTTTAACTTTAACTTCTATCTGTATCACTTAAAAAAACAAACTGACAGATCATCAAACTACAGAATTTGCAATGCCATTTATTAATTTATTGTTTAGAATTTCTGTGAAAATCAAATAGATATTCATTCAAAATTTTCATTAACAGGTAATTAATTCACTATTTTCATGTTTCTATATATTAGACGGTCGTATTCGGATACTTTTAACAAACATGTCGAGTCACAGTCAAACGTCTTTCTTTCTTGGATTCATAGACCCATTGCTGTGAGGTGTGATAGAAAGTAATGTTTTTATTGACGTAATAAGTGTTAGTGAGAGAATATTTATACAGCAGAGTGATGGCGGAGACTTGCGAAGCGCAGGCGAGCGTGTCTGCATCGGCGCCTGGTGGCGACGCAGGTCAAGAAGACCGTATTTCGGTACCTCTTTATAATATTATTATTATTATTATTCTTTATATTATATATCTACCTTTGATGAGGTGATAAACTTGTTATCAGCAAATAATAACAGCTATAAAAGAAATGATGGTGATAAAGACTTTTTAAACGGACAACAAAAATTTGCAGACAATTATACATGTGTTTAGTATTACAGCTTTTTGGAGAAGTGCGAAAGGAAGTGGTTGAAGTTGTAATATCTTGAGGCTTGTGTGTAAGGATGTTGGAATGACACCTGTAGATGAGATAAATGATTGGGAGAGTTTTCACTATTTCTTCCTGCCATTGTAGTTCTACTTTATTTTATTATTATTAATAGCTGTGCCCGCGTGTTATAGTCACCTGGACTAAACAAAGAAAAAATAACAATAAGCTACCCAAAAAAAGCAAATAAAATGAATGATTTTCCATACAAACTTCAATCCTGATTAGGTTAAATTTTTTACCCCCTTAAGGGTAACATTTGAATGTAATATAGTATTTAATCAGCAGCCTCAAAAATAAATTTCAAGCTTCTAGCTATAAAAATGACAATATTCCATACAAACTTTCCCCTTTCAACCCATTACAACCCTTTTTTCGCATTAAAAAGTAGCCTATGTCCTTTCTTAGAGTCTTTATTCGTACTTTACATTTTTTAGTTTAAGTGTATGAATACAAACTACCAATTAGCACTAATTCAATTAAATACTCAAGCACTTAAATATTCAGAGATCCTATATAGATTATAAAAATTTACATTTAAAAAAATATTACTTTCTTTTGGAGTGACAATGCAAGTATTTTAAATAATAATAAATACAAATATTTTTACAACATTAAATAATAATAAATACAAATATTTTTACAACATTAAATAATAATGAATACAAATATTTTTACAACATTAAATGCAATGGGTAATTGCCTGACCCTTATTAAATAATTTTAGCTGATTGTGAAACATCAAATTTTTTGAATTAATGATTTTTCCATACATTGTCATTGGGCTCTCTAAAATATGGTCGAGCGCGGTGATGGCTGGCTCATCCGTCTTACTCGTGAACGGGTGCTGCTTGTAGGGACTGGTCTGCTCTTATCACTAGGACTGATTTAATCTTATTGTGTTTTTGTATTTGACCCTAATAAATTAGTGCTGGTTGGTAGTTTGTATTCACATGTTTCAACTTGTAAAATGTGAACTTACGAGGATTATTTAAAAGAGCAACATGCAAGTTTCTTGCTCGTTCTTCTTGTGATGAGACAGCTTTCCAAATGAGCGGTAGATTAAAAAAATATTGTTATGACTATTCAAAAGTGCTTCAATTAAGTTTATTGGAATAAATGATTTTCTATTCTATTCTATTCCATATCTTCCAGTTCAATACACAGATTCAATTGAGAGGAACTGGCAAGGAACTTAACTGAATTTCTATTTTTTTTTAAAAGTTTATATACATCACATTACATGTACATTATATACTTATATGGGTGTCTATGTTTAACATTATATGAAATGAAATGAAATAATATTTATTCAGCAGAAGAAAAAACTAAAACACACATTAAACAAAAAAAAAAAAACAGCACACAAATTATGTGTGTGCGCATGTGCATGCATATGTATGTCTGTCGAAGCATCTACTGAACAGGTCCGTGCTCAGCATAATGCTGCAGCGGCTTCAGCGCTGCAACACTGTTTTTCAGGAAAAGACCTATGAAAATCCTGTACATAAACAACTGCATGCATTGCCATGCATGTATGTCATTTGAGTAATCCTTTATTGAGTAATCAACTTTGCTCCTTAATTTTATATTTTTATGTTTATAAAATCCTCAATATCAAATAAAAAAAAGTTTAGATAAACCTATATTAGGATGAGGCCACTCTTCCTCAATGTATTGACTTTAGATTTGTGTTATTACATCATACATATCAATAGAAATATATTTTATTTTAATAAAGCAAAATTGTTTTTTTGCACCATTACAAAACAATATTTAAAATTTAACAATGTTAGTTTAACAAGTTTAAACAATTACCCTCAACTTTTTTTTAATTCCACCATATTTGTTACAAATTTATTTTATCCTGTGGTTACAAAGATGCCATTAAAAACCAATTTTTTTTTTTTTGTTATGCAAAAAAAAAAAAATCATATTATAATTACATAGTATAAAATAAAGTTGCTGTCAGTGTCTGCCTCTATGTATGCTTAAATCTTTAAAACTATGCATCCGATTATGAAGCTGTTTTTTAATAGATGGAGTGATTCAAAAATAGAAATAGAAATAATCTTTATTCAAATAAACTCATTACAAGCATTTTTGAATAGTCATATTTTGATTCTACCACTGAAAATCATACAAAATAATGGTTTATTTATATATATATATAATACATGTACACCCTTGCGAAGTAGCTAGTTGTGTATAAAAAGAAGTGATAGGAGCCCTATGAAACAAATTTTATTTGACAAGGACTTTATTTGTTTCCATTTTTAGTCTTGAATTTCACTTTCAACTATATATTTGGGTTTAGTAGTAGTGAAGTTATGTTATTATTATACAGAAAGACAAGATACAATTTATGTAGGTTGTTTTTGTTGCCTATTATTGGAATGTGACATGAATTGTGTTGTCTGTTTGTTCTAATCCTTACTAATGTTATAAATAAGAAAGTAAATCTGTCTGTCGCACTTTCATACCAAAACTATTGAACCTATTTAAACGAAATTTGGTACACAGATAGTCTAGACTCTGAGGTAGGTATAGGTTACTGACATAGGTTACTTTTTAATGCGAACAAAGGGTTGTTGTTAGGTATTGAAAGTTTGTATGGAAGTATTGTCATTTTTAAGGCTAGTAGCTTGAAACTTATTCTTTAGGATTTTGATTAATATAAATAAATTACATTTAAAGTATTTAAAGTTATTACCCGTTAGGGTAAAATAAAATTTGTATGGAAATTCCTAATTTTTTAAACTAAAACAATGAAACTTTTTGCTTTGGCTTTTTGGGTTAGATTAATAATAATATTTTACTAGTTCATTCCTGTAAGATATATGTAAAATATTATGTTAACTAAAACTGGCTCATGGAAACACCCCTGTGTTTATTGTACTGTTATGTCCTTATATAACAGACTTCATACAGATGTAGGTAATAATTAAAAGTTCCTTTGTCAGTGTTTATTATATACTAGCTGTGCCTTTTCACTTTCACACTTTTCCTGTTTCACCTGCATGAAATTTATAGCCTATGTGTGATTTTGATGTCACAAGTTAATGTAATGTAACTGTTATGTTTAATCAAATTCTGTTATAAATCTGCCAGAAAAAAGATTTAAATGTCAAATAAAACAGTTCCTTTGCAAAATGCTTACTATAAAAATGAAGAATTCGTTAACGATAATAATGTTTTTATAGAAAAACTTTAAATCCATAGCACAGACAATATTATCTGATTACACTAATAATGAGTGCGTAGCGATTTCTATGTTGATTATCGCATGCCTCTTAATTGTTATACTGTAATTATTTATATAAAAAAACATCTATTAAAAAGAGCCACACACAAGTTTCTTGCTCATTCTTCTTGTGATTTTATTATTTCATTGAATTAGTGCTAATCGGTGGTTTGTATTCACACACTTAAACTTAAATTGTAAGTAAGAATAAATTATTTAAAAGAGCAACACACATGTTTCTTGCTTGTTCTTCTTGTGATGAGACAGCATTCCGAATGAGCGGTAGATTAAAAAAAAAAATGTTATGACTATTCAAAAGTGCTTCAATGTAAGTTTATTTGAATAAATGATTTTCTATTCTATTCTATGAATCTGCTTTCCGAATGAGTGGTAGAATCAAAATATGACTATTCAAAACTGCTTGTAATGAGTTTATTTGAATAAAGATTATTTCTATTTCAAAACCCATTCAGTAGTTCTGCGTGAAAGAGTAACAACAAACATCCATCCATACTCACAATCTTTCGTGTTTTTAATATTTGTTGATTGAAAAACAACTTGTTTTGTATTAATATGTGCTTACACTTGTAATATTTCTGTCGACCCTTGAGACCCTTCCATTAGTTTATGCCTCCACTAACATAGATTTAAGTTAAGTGTAAAATCAGTCTACGTCCCGACTCCGCGTCGACTGTACACGTTATTAACAAGCCATGTAGAACACTACTTACTTAATATTGTATAATAAATCGTGCAATCATTTTACCGGTATACTCACTACCTACATACTACAATAAATAATATATTATGTAGCGACACCTCATCACAACATACATAACGCTACACTGATGAGGATAACCACCGCGCTACAAAACAATACACTACAAAAATAGTTTATTTAGTCAATATATTATGCGACATACAATATAGTTTTTGACAATATCATGTTTGTTCATGGACTTTCCCACAAGGCACTCTGTACTCATCATCATTGCCTTTATCCCTTGCCTATTATCCCATTTTTGAATATGACGACCGATAGAGATATATAGAGATCTTTTATTCATATCATCTTTCACACAATCCATCCATCTTTTCTTAGGGCGTCCCCTCCCTATACTCTGTACTATGGTATATAATCTTTATATAATATATAAAAATTACGTGTCACGTTGTTTGTCCGCGATGGACTCCAAACTACTGAACCGATTGCAACTTTGAATTGCACATTGTGTGCAATTTGATCCAACTTGAAAGAATAGCTTACATTTCAATTTATAGTCGCAATATTATTTTATTCAAGAACCTTAGCCACAACAACGCGTGGCTGGGTCTGCTGGTATAATTAATGTGGAAATATAATTAATGAATAAATAAACATGGAAAATAATAGTACTGCACAATTGTGTAATTAATAATAATCTATACATCTATACATATAAATAAAATTGGAGTGTCTGTTTGTAATATTGAAATAACCGTTTTTTACTAAGTACATGCATATGAATATATATACGGTACATATATCAAAATAACATTTTTTATAATTTCTGTCCGTCTGTCTGTTTGTTACGTAAAAATCCGTTAAAAATCCCTGAAATATCTGGACCGATTTTGACAGGACTTTTTTGGCAGGTAGCTGATGTAATAAGGAGTAATTTAGGCTACTTTTATTTTAGATCTAAAATAAAGTAGCCTAAGTTACTCCTAACTTAGGCTACTTTATTATAGAAAAATAAAGTTATTTTCCACGCGGACAAAGTCGCGAGTACAGCTAGTAAAAAATAAATATATTGTATAAGTTTTATAAATTCTGAATTCTCTTATTTATCATTACTTATTTCACATTTCTTGTTAGTTGTCGCTATCGTTTGATTGAGTGCTAAATTAAATCATGCTGTTTGCAGATATTGAAACTGACAAACACTTTACTTAATCAGTTGTCAGGACTGAATTAACTACTGCAGCAGGCTGTCGTTAATATTGAGAAGACATTCTTCAAAGACTGAAATCGTATCACTGGCAAAACAACATTTTCAAGACCCGGGTGAGATATATACGATAATGTGCATTAATAATTATATATATATATACTAGCTGTCCCGGCAAACGTTGTTTTGCCTTAAAAAAAAAAATTAGGGTGGACTACCCCTAACATTTAGGGGGATGAAAAATAGATGTTGGCCGATTCTCAGACCTACTCAATACGCTCACAAAATTTCTTGAGAATCGGTCAAGCCGTTTCGGAGGAGTATGGGAACGAAAACTGTGACACGAGAATTTTATATATAAGATATATATATAGGTAGTTTGTATACATTTTAATTCTTATTGTACTTACTAGCTGTTGCCCGCGACTTCGTCTGCGTTTCCATCGTTTTTCGTAAAATAAGTAGCCTATGTCCTTCCTCACGGTTCAGTGGTTTGGATGTGTTTTCCTAACATTTCCCTTCTCTCTCCTATTAATAGTAGCGTGATGAAAAGTATACTGTACCCTGCCCAGGAGTATGAAGAATGATTGTACCAAGTTTCGTTAAAATCAGTCGAGTAGTTTTTGTTTCTATAACGAACATACAGACAGACAGAATATTTACTGATTGCATTTTTGGCATCAGTATCGATCACTAATCACCCCCAGATAGTTATTTTGGAAATATATTTCATGTACAGAATTGACCTCTCTACAGATTTATTATAATTATAGATATAGTTTATTTTCCTTTATCCTTATGTTTGGTATTTTATTTTCTTTTCTCCTATTTGCATACTACTACCTGTTACATAATATCCGAGTCCCTAAAGTTGTCTTGAAAAGATTGTTTTTGGCAAATAGGATGCCTTATTGTAATTACATGTGTTCTTTATTATATGTTGTTCATATCTTTATTTTACTCTATGTTATATGAAGTCTTAAATGATAAAATGACCAATACTTATTGGCAATTATCATTGGCATTATGTTGCAGAACGCGGCCATCAAGTGGAGCGTGCAGGTCTTCAGGACTGTAGCCCTGCAGTATTCCAGACTTAACTAACGTTGCTCAACAAACACTAGCGACTGTGACTAAAGAATTATTAGAATTGGAGCTAATCGTAGTAGCTCCACTACTGTATCCCGACGATACATAATCGCCTTTTGAGAAAATGACCACAGCTCCTGATATGACAGCTGCAATGATGGATAACTCACTAGCAGACATTATCAGAGATATCGGCTATTCATTTACTTCCTCAGTGGAAGACTGCAAGAACAACATGCTGAATTTTGGGACGCGCGAGCCAACGGCTATAGACGTTGCCAGAATGATCTCCTTAATGATCAGATACCACACCACAATCCAAGATGGCCCACAAATACAAACACCGGGCAACTATTGGATGACACATGAGACTAAAAAAGAAACGCTGAGTCTTAATCATGGGAAGACATGGAACCCTGATATATTCGTGCAAACGCTCAAGGAGCTCGCCTCTAATTTGAATTGGAAGGAAGTAATACTACAACTGGATAATCCTGAATTTCTAGTTCCTGACAGGCAAGGACTGAGTTTATTGTTCTCGATTTTACGTCTAGGCCTGCAGAGCGCAGGTTATCCTGCAAACATATTTCCTGTTGACTACCTCTGTCGTCGCTGGGCCAATTTGGAGGGACAAATGAGCCTAATCAGCACCATCATTAAACATCCGGATATTTTCTGTTTCGCTGATCATCCTTTTCATCCGGTACAGATTGAACTTCTCAAGTCTCCACCAGAAACGGAGAATAAGGAAATAGCCTCATGGCGATGCCTTTGTTTGGTAGAACTTCTTATATACACTGCTGAGCATGGCTACTATATACAAGTTCATGATTTACTCAAGTTTCCATTACAGCACTGTCCCGATATCTTGCTGCTCGCTTTACTACAAATACCACCACCTATAACTGATTTTAGGCAAGAGCTCATGACGATGCTTATACCAATCTTTTTAGGGAATCATCCTAATTCTGGAACTATTTTACATCATGCTTGGCACACACAAAATCCCAATGTAAAGCCGATCATAATGCATTCCATGGCGGATTGGTACATACGAGGCGAATGCGATCAGTCAAAATTGTCCAGAATATTAGATGTTGCACAAGATCTGAAGGCACTGTCATTATTATTAAATGTACAGTCTTTCTCGTTCGTTATCGACCTAGCTTGTTTAGCATCACGACGTGAGTACCTAAAACTTGACAAGTGGTTGACTGACAAGATCAGAGACCATGGCGAGATATTCGTATCAGCTATGGTTAAATTTTTACAGAGAAGATGCCCTCAGATGCTCATGAAACCAGAAGAACAATTGCCAAAAGCAGCGCAGCTTCCTAACGAGACTATAACCACAATGTTAACTTGCTTGCAGTTGTGCATACCAAACGTGCAACCAGAATTGCAGGAGGCTATATACAACGTTATCGCTAGCTGCCAACCGATATTAATTAACAAAAGACAAAACATCGGTATAGCTCGTCCACACAAGAGAATAATAGAAGCATCATTTAATCCAGCCATAGGTTTAGGCGGGCAGTTGTTCACTCCGCACGTTGAAGCCATCGCTAATTTGACGACAAATGTAGCTAACATGAATTTGGCAGCTCCGGCAAACACCGCTTTTCCTATGCCGGGAACTTTTAGCCCGTTAGTTGCTGCACCAGGCTCACCTTCTCGATTGATGGGCGTAGCACCTAATAGCCCTTTTGCAATGATGCCGATACCCCATAATGCAAATGTGGCCAATATGGGAGCTCTAGCCAGAATGGCTCCTATGCCACCGATGGAAAAACCACGTATTCCGGAATCTATACATTTTCCTGAAATGATGCATAATGTCACAAAGGAAATAGAAGATGAAGTAAATGGTTATTTTCAAAGAATATACAATCATCCACCGCATCCTACTTTGTCTATAGATGAAGTATTGGATATGTTGAAGAAATTTCAAGATTCTCCAAATAAAAGAGAACAGGGTGTGTTCTCCTGTATGCTACGTAATCTCTTTGAAGAATACAAGTTTTTCCCTCAGTATCCGGATAAGGAATTGCACATAACCGCTCAACTATTCGGCGGCATTATCGAAAAAGGACTCGTGCCAAGTTACGTTTCGTTGGGTTTAGCTCTACGATTCGTGCTTGATGCGCTAAGGAAACCGGAGGGCTCTAAAATGTATCACTTCGGCATAGCTGCTCTAGATCGATTCAAATCGCGTCTCAAGGATTACCACAAGTACTGTGAGCATGTAAGAGCTATTCCACATTTTAGTGAATTCCCACCACATCTGATCGAGTACACCGAGTATGGTCTGCAGAGTCAAGAACCGCCTACTAAACCTCAAGGTCCAGTTTTACCGCCCGGTTCAGCAATGCTGAATCAAGGTCCTGCTGTTGCTTCTGCGCCTTACAGGTACATTAAACATCCATATTCACACTTGTTTGTTTTTTATATATGTGTAAATATTTATACAATTAAATTTATCTAAATCAAAATCAAATTAAAAATTCTTTATTTAGATAACACAATTTTACAATTACATTCTACAGTTGTGGAAGACTCCTTTTAAGCATAAAGATGCCTGTGTCAAGAGGCTCCACTCTTCCATAGTTTATATCAAACATTTGTAAAATCTATTTGATATATTTGACTAAAATGTTCTGTTGGTACTATTAATTTTTATTACTATTTTAGGGCCGTCGTAAGCGCACATTCGGATATGTCAGCTATGTCGAAAGTCTCGAATAGCGGACTTGGGGGTTTAGGGAGTAGACCTTCCATTGCGAATGCAACCAATATCGATACGCTTCTTACTGCAACAGACAGGGAGGAAAATATTAATTCTCCCCCAGAGGCTGTACAAGATAAAACAGCCTTCATTTTCAATAACCTCAGTCAATTGAACCTCCAGACAAAATGTGAAGAGCTCAAGGAAATAATCACTGACGAGTACTATCCATGGCTATCTCAATATCTAGTCATGAAGCGTGCGTCTATCGAATTAAATTTCCACGTACTGTATTCCAATTTCCTTGATGTTCTTAAAATTCGTGACATCAACAAAATGGTCACCGAAGAGACATATCGTAACATCCGAGTACTGTTACGTTCTTATAAAGGAATTGCCAACTTTTCTGACCGTTCACTACTCAAAAATCTTGGCCACTGGCTTGGCATGATAACCTTAGCACGCAATCAACCCATTTTACATATTCATTTAGATCTCAAATCTTTATTACTTGAAGCATATCACAAAGGTCAACAAGAGCTGCTGTATGCGGTCCCATTCGTCGCGAAAATCTTGGAGTCTTGCTCTAAAAGCGTCGTGTTTCGACCCCCAAATCCTTGGACAATGTCGCTTATGAACGTCCTTGCGGAACTTCATACAGAGCAGGATTTGAAATTGAACTTGAAGTTTGAAATTGAAGTCCTATGCAAAAACCTCGGCCTAAACATAACAGACCTCAAACCGACTTTATACTTGAAAGATCCCGATAAACTCCGCTTAATAGAGTTCCAGCTTTCCCAGCCCAAGCCGAATAATGAGCCGCCGAATGCTATACCGGTGCCTCAGGCTGTATTGATTCCTCCACAAGTACAAATGATGACGCAACCACCTATGTTAATGCCAGAGGACCTGGCCGTACCTGCAACGCCTACCGGGGCCCTTATCACCAACGACCCCAGTATGATCGGCATGATAGAATTACCAGAGCCCAGATTTAGCTATATAGACATCAATGTCTCATCAACTTCAGGCTTTGGTCAAAAGATAATCTACAACCCGCACATTATTCTATTCCAAAATTACCCACATTTGAAACAGTTCGTTAGACCCGCAATAGAGAGGTCAATTCAGGAATGGATTCATCCAGTAGTGGACAGGTCAATGAAGTATGCACTGACTACCTGCGAACATATAATTAGAAAAGATTTCGCTCTGGACGCGGATGAAATGAGAATGCGAATTTGCGCTCATCACATGATGAGGAACTTGACTGCTGGTATGGCGATGATCAATTGCCGCGAGCAGATCATTACCACCATTAACACCAACTTGAAGACCGCATTCATCACAGCCTTGATGTCTTCAGCACCGCAACAGGTATGTTCTTATCAAATTCAAATTCAAAAAATCATTTATTCATGTAGGACATTTTAGCAGCTTATGAACTTCAAGTTTTTACATTATATTTTTTTCCCTACCGGCCAGTTCGGTATATAGATCCAATTGAATTACTTTTTTTTTTTTTAATCCAGTTTATTTACAATGCATAGGTATTTATATAGTTGTCTATGTCTAACATTAAATGAAAATCCTAACTAATATCCTAACTACTACACCCAGGCACATGCCTTACATCCACACATCACAAATGGGCTGTACCAGTAAATAAAACTTAAGTTTTGTTTTTAATATATCCATATTATTTCTCCCACATCTTTATATTTATATATATTTTTTTTTAATTTTAAACGCATAAATGTATTTTAGGAAGTCGTGGAAAGCGCAGCAGCAGTGCTAGCTACTGAAAATATGGAACTCGCATGTGCTTTTATTCAAAAAACAGCCGTGGAAAAGGCTTTACCGGAACTCGACAAAAGATTGATAAACGACTATGAGATTAGAAAGATCGCACGGCAGGAGGGCAGGCGCTACTACGACGCTGTCGCGCTGTCCTACCAGAATGAGAGAATCTCGGAAAGGCTCCGTCTTCGTCTGAGCGGACCGACGGATCTGCAAATATCTGTATACGAAGAATTCGCGTGCAATATACCAGGCTTTATGCCTATTCGAGATGCGGGCATGTTCATTGCTAGACCATCAGCAAAGGAACAGATACCTCAGCTGACATTCAGCCAAGTTATGAACCCCACTCAGGTGTATGGTGCGGATGAGATGACGGCGCTGATCACGGCTGCAGACATGTTCCTGGCGAACTCGGTCGGTGTACCAACCCTCACAGTACAAGCTGGAAACATGCACGCATTATTGGAATGTTTGTATATAGCGAAAAGGAACCGTGACATTGCCTCTGGTTGCACTCTTTTGCAGAAGGTAAATATTATTTAATCCATATTTGAGGTTTTCTTAAATCTAATAATCTCTGATTTTGTTTCAAACCTGTTCTTATTCTGTTTCGGAATCTATAATCCTGTATTACATCTTAGTTTCTTGCAAGATAATCTAGGAGAGGATAATGCCAAAGCTCTCTTTGTCCTTAATATCTCACCTGAATTTCCTGGCATTACAATGCCTTGTGGCCTTGATACTCCTGACTTGTGTTGTGAGGATGGCCACTTGGGTTTTATAAAATAATAAAGGCGGATGACGACGATTGTATATTCTTTATTCGAGCACGGACGGACGAAACGGACGACAACATTAAGAACTAATCAAAGCACAGAGTACAAAATAGTAAAATAACTTTTTCTAAATATTAAGTATCTGGATACTCTTACAGTCCAATGATGTCAGCCCATTTCTATGGAAATGGTATAACCATAAAACTTCCATCATCACTGTTATATCTGGTTACGTCAGACTCGAATGTATTTCTTAAACTGTTTCAATTCATTTATTATGTTATTTTAGTGAGATCCTTGTCATTTATGCTTGCGGCACATAGAATTTTATATTAAGTTACAATTTGGTTAGCTTCAGTCTATAGTCTCCACGTTGCATTATATCGAGCCAAATCTTTTTTTTTACCTGTAAATCGTTTAGAGCACTAAATCACATTCAGCTAAATTTGAAGCGAAATTATATCTAATAATTATTTACCACAATTATTTAAAAATTTACTTTTTTCGTTAACTTGGGCACCGACATCTAGCATTACATTTAAATGGCCCGGAGGGAAACTCGTTTCGAATTCATTTTCGAATTGCCAACAACCAAATTTCCCCCCATGGTGCGTGTGCCCAAGGTTGTGAAACACTACACTAAAGTGAGTTTAAAATCCTTGAATACAACAGGCTGTTGAAGGTCTGCTAGATGGGCACATGGTCCAGCCTGCAGCCACCGGCGATCATCTGGAGATGTTGACACGCTACCGCGACATCCACGTCCGTGTACTGAAGCTGCTGGAGGACGGCCGGCTCTATGGACATGCGTGGACCACTAAGCAGATCACCGGCTGCCTCACAGAGTGCAGGGAAGATCTCAGATACAATATAGAGGCTGTGGACTGCCTCATCAGAAATCATTTGGTTAACCTGCACCAGGTATGTACTTATACTGTCTTATACAGTATTCATAATTATTTGTTAACTTTTTTACAGTCCCATTTTTGTAATAAAAATAAAGAAATAAGGATATAAATAATTTTAGCTTCTAGTCTTTAAATATGACGATACTTCCATGCAATCTTTCATTTCCCCTTTCAACCCTTTTTTCTCATTAAAAAGTACGTCTACGTCCTTTCTCAGGGTTTAAACTATCTGTGTACAATTTGATTTAACTCCCGATTTTTAGCATAAACACTCGACAGACAGACGTAGAGTTCCATTCGCATTTATAATACTAGTAAAAATGATTTATTATCATCAATTGTTAATATTATTACCTATTACCTACCTACTGAATATCTAACTGTATAATACGCAAATAAATTTCATTTCATTTTCATTTCTGAATAGTATTAGTAATAATGATATATATTTTTTTCTTATGAGTGATAATGGAATAGTGCACCCGCCTGCGCTAACGGTTTATGCTGGCGGGGCACCAGTGGAGGATGATAAGTTGACCACGAGGTCAGTTAGTCCATCATGGTAAATCCACCATGAATTTATCACAATAGTTTCCATGGGGAAGGTTTCACAATAGTTTCAATCTGACATGCAAGTTATATTGTATTGCTATATTTTAGTTAGTGAACAGTTAATCATATTTTTCGCAGTACGACATCGCCATTGCCCACATGATGGAAAACGGGGCTAACTACATGTCCGTGGCGTTTGCAATGCAACTGGTGCAGCTGTACCTAGTAGACGACAGGAACAACACGTTTGTGACCGAGGCGGACTTGTTCAATACTACGGATATGCTCGTCCGCATCATGACGCACTCGCGACAACCCCCGCCGGAGGGGCTGGGCACGCTGATCGAGATGCTGAGGGTCAATCAGGACCCTAGCGGCTATTTGGGCGAGAGGTCACCCCTCGGACCGACTGCACATTTACACGCGGGAATTATGGCAGTTCGTGTAAGTGTAGTATTAATTAAAACGTCCATATTTAGTAATAAAAGAGCAACATAATTGTTGCTCTTTTATTACCCATTGACAGAATGCAAGAACAAATTAACATTTTTCCTTGCAAATAAACATAATTATTGATCTAGAAAGAGGTTATCAAAGTCTTCTCTGAACGGTTGACTGTCCAATTCAAAAGGGGGTCAAATTATGACGGCCCGAGCCGAGGTTCGAACCTCCCAAGGTGTAATCAGACTAAAGTCGTATTATCCGTCAGGCGGAATTTGGCCTTCAGTCGCTCTATAAGTCCACTCCGTTAGTCGTGTGTTTCATATTTTGAGTCTAAAGAATTGGTGCTGGTTGGTGGTCTGTATTCACACGTTTCAACTTAAAAATATAAAACGAACTAAATTATTTAAAAGAGCAACACGCAAATTTCTTGCTCGTTCTTCTTGTGATGAGACGTGTGATGCTTTCATATAAGTTTATTTGTATAAATGATTTTCTATTCTATTCTAGCAATCACGAGAATTCGAGGATCCACCTGGTCTGCTAGAGAAAACAGAGAGCCTACTCCGCGAATGGAGAACTCACATGCTCAATCCACAAACAGAGATAGAGTTCGCGCAGAATTTCAATCTGTACGTCCACCGTATGAACATGAACGGCATATTGAAGTCGGAGGAGATGGTCACTAGATTCATCAAGATCGCCACGCAGATGTGCATCAAGAATACGTATCAACTGCTGAACGAGGAGAGGCTGAACCCACCCCAGGTGCCGTCGAAGAGGGAGAAGTTTTACACGATGTGCGATTCGTTCGTTAAGCTCGTGACGCTGCTGCTCAAGAATACTGCGGACGGCGGCAACCCAACCCCCAAGCTGAACCTCTTGAACAAGGTGAGTTGAGTTTTTCTGGCAAACGCATACTGACAGCCTATAATCTCATAGAGTACTCTACGACACCTCTTATGCATGTATTGAAATAAAAATATACTATTTGAGCTAAATTTGTATTCATGTATATTAATTTATATCATTTTATTATATATTTAGTATACATTTCTTAAATCGTGTACAACACAGCAACACACCACCCCAGTTATGGTGCTGAAAAACAGCGTTGCAGCGCCACAACCGGGTCAGCATTTATGCTGAGCACGGACCTATTCGATGGATGCTTTAACACATACACACAAACACACGCACGCACGCACGCACGCACGCACGCACGCACGCACGCACGCACGCACGCTCGCACGCACTCACGCACGCACGTATCGCAAGCATTAGGTAGATAGAAAGCACGCGCACGTAATTACTGTATAAGACATATTAATCATTACTACGATCCCTGGATATCAAAGATATTAGCAGCTCCCATATCACAGATCATTTTGTTCCTCGACATGAACATGGCGGAACCTGTTTTAGAGGCAATGAGTTATGTAAGTTAACGTGATGACGACATATACACGTTTCAGATACTCGGCTCTACGCGTACATCTGCGTATTAAATTAACAAAAAATATTTTTGTTCACAATTATATATATATTCTTTATTGCACTTTTAAATACAGTTCTAAACTTAAATATATACAAAGTGAGCAAAGGTGGACTTATCTCAGATCTCTACCAGTCACCCAACAATGTATCACAGACACCTGTGCAATTAAAACTCATTTTGTTAAAATCTCAAAAGATAAAAAAATAAAATATTTAAAATTGAACATATTAAATGGCGAATTATATTATCATTATAATAAAATATACAATAATAAATAAAATAAACATTAATAAAAGTTATATATATATATATACATACATATACAACTATAGATATCTACATATATCTCTGATGAAACTAATCTAAAGGTCGATAAATAGCAAGATTTCAATCTTAAAACAACGATTGATGGACTTTCCTGTATCTGCGTATATTTGTTCCATAACCGAGCAGCGCGAAATGAAAAGGAATTTTAAAATTAAGTGGAAAAATATTTTTGTCTAGTAGGAATTATATACTCTTTATGATTAGTTATTCGACAACCTCGGTGGTCTAGCGGTTTAGTACACCGCTTTACATCCGATGGTCGCGGGTTCGATTCCTCCCAAAGTACAAACATTTTTATTAATGAAAGTACTATTGTTTGAATCGATCTAGATGTTTTCTATGTGTAGTATGTATGTATTTACAAGAAAAACTATGGATTTATATCAGTTGTTTAGTACCCAAGTAGTAAGTAGTAAAACAAGCTTTACTTACCTTAGGATTAGATGGCGCTGGGTGAATTATCCTGAGATATTTATATATTTTTATTTAGTTATTTTTGAAGTGATTATTTTTAAAAGCATAAACAAAATAAAGTGAACACATTACACAACAAATTATAACTACAAAATGTATCATTTGAGTCTCAATAGATTTTATCGGAATGATCTATAAATATAGACAACCTAGAAAACAAAATAGAAAAATAAAAACTGTATGTAAGTGTCATAACTGTATGAAATGTCGCAGGTACTGACAGCGTTCTGTCACACACTACGCATTATCCGGCCCAGCAACGCGGCTGGGTTCAGCTTTGCTTGGCTCGAGATTGTGGCACACCGCGCCTTCATCAACCGTGTGCTGGCAGTGACACCGCAGCAAAAGGTTTGTTTTGAACAAAGCTGTTTGTGAAGAATTCTGTAGCGTCGACTATTTAGAAAAAAAACCAATTTATATACGCCGGAAAGTACAAACGCGACGTACGACGAGCGAAACGTAGGGTATAGTATAGACGATGTGAAGAATTCTGTAGCGTCGACTATTTAGAAAAAAAACCAATTTATATACGCCGGAAAGACGTAGGGTATAGTATAGACGGGTAATGTAATGTATGTTGGACTCCAGTCTCCGCAATTAGCATCTCATTTAGGCCGTAGTGCGTGCAGAGCCAGACTACTAGAGTAGCCAGCCAAGCTACTCCCAAAAGCGCAGATTCCTGGTGTCTTCACAGGCTTCGTGGAGCGACCTCACCGTTCCGAGGACTTGTTTTCGTTGTGGGGACACTGCAAGCATTCCAGGATTACGTAAGCAGACGCGGGTAATGACTGGGAGAGAAGGGCTGATCGTGCCCAGTGGCTGGCCTCGTGTCCTTTTGCGTCTAATTGACATCACGGTCATACTTTCTTCCTCCAGTAATGCCGTCGTTTTTATTTTTGTGTAATTTAAGTATCAAATAAGCAGACTAGATAAGTCCATCCATAAGGTGACACGCCTTGTAATCTCTAATATCACTGTTTTTTTTTATTTTATTTGTTTCGCGGGTATATTAATGCATACATTTGGATTTATAAATTCTTAGACTCCTATAGTGTTTTCATACAGCGGAAGTTTTTAGTAGAATTTTCACTGTAGGTCATATATATTACTAGCTGTACCCGCGACTTCGTCCGCGTGGTATTTGACTTTATTTTTCTAAAGTAATAGATTTTATCTAAAATAAAAGTAGCCTAAGTTACTTCTGATTACATCAGCTACCTGCCAAAAAAGTCCCATCAAAATCGGTCCAGCCATTTCAGAGATTAGCCGGAACAAACAGACAGACAGACGAAAACTGTAAAAAATGTTATTTTGGTGTAAATATCTTCTTTATATTAATTTGTATGCAGTAAAAACGTTTATTTCAATATTACAAACAGACACTCCAATTTTATTTATATGTATGGATCTTATAGACGACGTATTACAAAGTGTACCTTGATATAATCAACTATAATTTTAATATTAGTTTATTATTCCACAGGGCTGGGGAATGTACTCGACACTGCTCATCGACTTGTTCAAATTCTTGGACCCGTTCCTGCGCAATACAGAACTGGCGCCACCCGTCATGATGCTGTACAAAGGCACTCTGAAAGTACTACTAGTCTTGTTACACGACTTCCCCGAGTTCCTCTGCGACTACCATTACAGTTTCTGCGATGAAATACCACCCAACTGCATTCAGATGAGGAACCTCATCTTGTCTGCGTTCCCGAGGAACATGCGGCTTCCTGATCCCTTCACGCCGAACTTGAAGGTGGACTTGCTGCCGGAGATCAGCCTACCGCCGCGTGCCGTCATCAACTACACAACAATCTTGCCGTCGTCGCAGTTCAAGCAGGATCTCGACGCGTATCTGAAAGCGCGTGCGCCAGTGACCTTCCTGTCTGAACTGCGTGGTAATATGCAGGTAATAAGCTATAGACGGACTTTTGCTGTTTGGCGATTGCTAATTTGGAATGGCAAACAAGCTGATAGCCAACTCGACGGTAAGTGGTAATCTTCGCATATAAATATAAACAGTAGTTATTTATGTGACACATACGAGTTAACAAATGTTTTATGGCAATGTGCAGTACATAAAAAAATATACTTTGCTAATATTATAAATGCGAAAGTTACTGTTTGTCTGGATGTCTGTCGCACTTTCACGCCAAAACTAGGTGGTACAGTATTTCCCAAACTTTTTAGAGCCATAGGTTGGGGCCCTAGTATCTCTAAAATTCTTATGCTCAGATGAAAAAGAAACTATATTTATATGTAGTAACATGTAACTATAAAAAGGTTGGGAAACACCGTACCATCTAGTGTTGGCGTGCTGCACGTCTGGAAGGTACCCCTTAATATATTATACTAGCTACTCGCCCCGGCTTCGCACGGGTGTACATGTATTATATATATATAACGCGGTGAGTGCGTACCGCCCGCGCTATTACAAACCAGGCTAATTCGTAGCGCGTTCTATGGAAACCGTCTACCGCGTTGTATGGAAACCGCGCTATAAGAGACTCGGAATATATATCATTCGTACCGCGTTATATGGAGACCAATAAATACAAAAGAAAATTTAAATTATAAATTATTTTTATTGAATTGAAGAGTATGAACTCTTCAATTCAATAAAAATAAGGAAATGATGAAAAAATGAAACAAAAACTAAACTAAAAAACAGTTTTCCAACAAAAACAAAAGAAAGACTTTTGTAAAATGATGTAATCTTTTCAAAGTCGCCTAACTCGCCTTCTTTTAATGGGCAAAATATCTTCCTCACTTGGTTGATCTTCACATTGGTTTTAAGCGGCTAAGACATAAGCAGAACGTAGTTTTTCTATAGGTCACGCGACAATGTAGTCAAAAGATCACATATATATATACACACATTGTCGATACTATTTATATAGAAGTGGAAGATAGCGCATGAGGAGAACCACCCACCCGTGAACCACGCTGATATAAACATATCCAGTTAAAACCATTCATTGGGTGCACGGAAAGAACTGATGGGACGTTGTTGAACGGAAACCGCGCTGTAAGAGTACCGCGTTATAGGAGGGATGTCGCAATTTCAGCTCCGCGTTATATGGAAACCGCGTTCTGAGAGTACCGCGTTATAGGAGGTTTGACTGTATCTTCCCCTAGGATCATTCTATCTATTATAAAAACCGCTTCAAAATCCGTTGCGTAGTTTTAAACATTTAATACATAGGGACAGACAGCGGCAGTGACTTTATTTTATGCTATATAATGATATGATATGTGTCGTGGTGGGGTTCCTTTTTGTTGAGATGTGTTAAATAATAAATAATATGTATGTTTGCAGAATAATTCTATTGCCCTTTTTTATAATTTTTTTTACAACATGTCATACAATATTTTGACAACAACTATTATTAAAATCGTAATCGGTGAGGAGGCCGTATATACACCTAACAATATGTGTAAATAATCAATGTTTAGGTGTTAAACGAGCCTGGCCGCCGCTACAACAGCCAGCTGATGAACGCGGTAGTGCTCTACGTGGGAACGCGAGCGATATCATACATTCGGTCCAAGGGGCAAACACCAAACGTGACCACCATAGCGCACTCTGCACACATGGACATCTTCCAGAACTTCACTGTCGACTTCGATTTTGAAGGAAGGTAACATGTCTGAAGCTATCTTTAAAATAGTAGACATAGTACAAACACATGTAACTACAGACTGGTCTGTTCAGGCTACGAACTGATTACAGTTCCTCTGACTACGCAATCTCTGATAAGAATCTTGAAAATATATTATTATTATTATAATTAACAATAAAAAAAATATTTTATAAGGAACTAAGGACAGCTGACGCAAGCCTATTTAACGGTAGGTGCACACGTGAGATAAATCGAACATCGAACGAAAATTGGACGAGTTTTTACATTTGCAATAGCATGTGCTGGTGGTCACTCTATTCTCCCAAATTTATATTTATAAATGAATCTGTATTCTTGTACACAAGATCATTTAATTAATTACCCTTAAATAAATTCAAAACATCTGTTAAATCATATTTACTGAGCAAGGCCTATTACTCACTAAACGATTACTTGAATGACGAGCGTGCATGGCAATAGTTTTCATGTTCGGGATTTTCATTTAATGTTAGACATAGACACCTATATAAATACCTATGCATTGTAAATAAACTGGATTTAAAAAAAAAAAGTAATTCAATTGAGTTTCTTGCCAGTTCTTCTCAATTGGATCTATATACCGAACTGGACGGTAGGGAAAAAAATTATAATGTAAAAACTTGACGTTCATAAGCGGCTAAAATGTCCTACATGAATAAATGATTTTTGAATTTGAATTTGAAAAGATAAGGCCTGGATTTATTTCTTCTTGGCTCAAAATCTCTCCGAACTGATGCTATATTTGGCATATCATAAGTCTGTAAAGACGTACATGAATAAATATTTTGTTTAAAATTTCGACTTGACTATTAGTGAAAAACTATACACCACAATTAGTTATAGAATGAAGTGAAACGATTCCAGATTCAAATTAAAAAATCATTTATTCATGTAAGACATTTTAGCCGCTTATGAACGGCAAATATTTTTATATTATAATTATTACCATCGTCCAGTTCAGTGTACAGATTCAATTGAGAAGAACTGGCAAGAAACTTAGTTGATTAATAACTTTTTTTAAAGCCAGTTTATTTACAATGTATATTTATATGGGTGTCTATGTCTAACATTAAATGAAAATACCATGCCATACCATGAACAACTATTGCCTTGCACGCTCGAAACGATCTAAACACACTAAACAATTACATGAAGGACTTCAAGTAATCGTTTAGTGTACAACCACTTGGCTTTGCTCAGTATTTAACAGATGTTTTGAATCTACTTTAAGGGTATACCCAATATAACCTTCGGTATCTTATTGCAATTTTTTATACCTGTGTGGGACTGTGTATAGGGACGCTGGGGTCGGTGCAGCCAACGATGGTGGTAATTATAGGCGCAATATGTAAAAGTAACAGTATATTATAAAAATACTGGCTGTCCCGGCAAACGTTTTGCTATATAAATTAATAACGTTATAAAAAAATAGGGGTTGGTGATAGAAGGGTGAAAATTTAGGGTTGTATCTATTTTATAATGACACAATAAAAAAATTTGCCCATAAAATAATCTTAAGGGTGGACCACACTTATTAGGGGTATGAAAAATAGATAGTAGCCGATTCTCAGACCTACTGAATATGCTATTTGCAAATTTCAGAAAAAACGGTCAAGCCGTTTTATGGGCGTATGGTAACTAACATTGTGTCAAAAACAAGAGCAATAGGAGTGATAAAAGAATAATAACAAAACCATAGCAACCAATCTAGAAATATAAATATTTAAAAATAGGGAATTGTCGTGCCAGCGGCCCGAATGTAAGGAATCCTGTACAATACCCATTCCCATAATTCCAGATATTTGTTCCTCAACGCGATTGCCAACCAGCTGCGCTACCCGAACAGTCACACTCACTACTTCTCTTGCTGCCTACTATATCTCTTCGCCGAGGCGAACTCGGAAGCTGTGCAGGAGCAAATCACGAGGATGCTGCTAGAGAGGCTGATCGTGAATAGACCCCACCCGTGGGGCCTGCTCATCACGTTCGTGGAGCTGATCAAGAATCCTATCTACAACTTTTGGTCGCATGATTTCGTGCACTGCGCTCCTGAAATTAAGAAGTGAGTTCTCTTTTTATACTACACTAGCTGTCCCGGCAAACGTTGTTTTGCCTTAAAATAAAAAAAAAGTTAGGGGTGGACTACCCCTAACATTTAGGGGGATGAAAAATAGATGTTGGCCGATTCTCAGACCTACTCAATACGCTCACAAAATTTCATGAGAATCGGTCAAGCCGTTACGGAGGAGTATGGGAACGAAAACTATGACACGAGAATTTTATATATATAGATATACCATGTGCGCTGTACCGTGATGTGGGTAACAGTTACTCTACATTTAACGATTGCTACATTCAATTTAATACAGTTATTATTGATTTTATATGTTACGAATGTGGTACAGCTGAAATACTAAGTCATAATTTGTAAATCGCTGCAACTTTTAAGAGCGAAACGAAACATTAATGAAACTGTCACCCGCACTGCATTATGTAAAATAAAATCTATTCAATGGACATAACTAGGGGTTGACTACTCTGTGATAAATCAAGTATACGACCCTACTGATGGTAAACGACTTCATTTTTAACAGTTTTATATGTCTAGCACAGTTATTTAATATTCTCTGACGAAGTGCCTAAAATTATTCGTTAAGTCGTGTTTTATAGACAAACTTAAAATCCATAGCACTGACAATATTATCTGATTACACTAATAATGAGTGTGTAGCGATTTCTATGTTGATTATCGCATGCCTCTTACTTGTTATACTGTAATTATTTATATAAAAAAACATCTATTCAAAAGAGCAACACACAAGTTTCTTGCTCATTCTTCTTGCGATGAATCTGCATTCCAAATGAGTGGTAGAATCAAAATATGACTATTCAAAAGTACTTGTAATGAGTTTATTTGGATAAAGATTATTTCTATTTATTTATTTCGTTATGGCAACCTCATTGTTTGCACATTTTTGGTCACCAATTCTGTATCCGACTATAGTTCTTCATGCTTGGTGTACAGTCTTTAATATACATTTTTGTGACAGACTTTTCGAGTCGGTTGCGAGGTCGTGCGTCGTTGACAAGAACGCTGTGGGAGGCGGCGAACGGGAGACTGGCGAGTAGCGCCGACCCAACTGGGAGTAAGTCCGGGATCAGCACATTGATAGAAGGTATGTGAAGAAGAAACAAAGGTGAGCCCTAATAATCGTAATGATTATCTTCCTTTTTTAAACTATATCAGACTCATTTGCAAATCAGATTGTTTTAGAAAACGTCCAATATTCAGATACAGTATGATATTGTGACATGGTTTTTTTATCATGTTTACTAATATTATAAATACGAAAGTAACTGTCTGTATGTCGCACTTTGACGCCAAAAGTACTGGACTGATTTATATAATAAAATAATAGTCAGGACTCTGAGAAAGGACATTCTTAATGCGAAAGGTTTTTATTTCTTTGTTTTTTTTTTACCGAAATAGAATATGTCAATACATATTTGTGTTAATTTCCCGCAGGCTTCCAAACTGAGGCGCAGAAGAATGATGCCCCTCAAAACACAACATCGTCACAACAGCAACTACCGTGAACCAAATACGTCTTGCAGTGGAACAAGCTGTTTAAAAAGTAAAGAGTGGTATATCAACTGTGACAGTTAGGGTGCTGAACTATATTAATAGTGAAAACTCAGTGAGAATTAGACACTGTATTTTATTAATAGTTAAAAACTCAGTGAAAATTTGGACGCTGCATTTTATTAATAGTTTAAAACTCAGTGAGAATTAGGACGCTGCATTTTATTAATAGTTTAAAACTCAGTGAGAATTAGGACGCTGCATTTTATTAATAGTTTAAAACTCAGTGAGAATTAGGACGCTGCATTTTATTAATAGTTTAAAACTCAGTGAGAATTGGACGCTGTATTGTATTAATAGTTAAAAACTCAGTGATAATTAGGACGCTGCATTTTATTAATAGTTTAAAACTCAGTGATGATTAGGACGCTGTGTTTTAATAATAGTTAAAAACTCAGTGAGAATTAGGACGCTGCATTATATTAATAGTGGAAAACTCAGTGACAGTTAGGGCACTGCATATTAGCTATACTTAAGTAGACTTATAATCACACCCTTAAATATTCTAAGTTATTAACGTCTGTATCAGTGGCGGCCTTAGAAGATGGCGAACAGGATAATCGCCCGAGGACTCGCTTTTGAAAGGGCCTGGAGTAACAACCGTAGTAAATTTGAAACAACCAACGAGTGGCAAGTTGCAAAAACTTACTGATTTAGATATTTAATCGTAAATGAATAAAATTACTAAAATATACAAAAATAAAATTAAAAATACGACATAGTATTCTTGACTCAGCGGAAAATGTTCGCATCACATTTTGCACGTAGGCCAAAGGGTCAACAAAGCCCAGAGCCTCGTAATCTGTAGGGCTGCCGCTGCCTATATGTTACTATATTACACCTACATTGCAATAAACATCGTGTTGAACAGATAATTTATTTAAATAATTTTTACTTACCTCAATTTGAACGAATTCTTTTATTTTTATTGCACTAATTTGAGAGTGTAGTACACAGTATATATCATCGTGTTTTAATTAAAGTGATTCTATATAATTATGGTTTGTATTTATGTTTTTGTTTATATCACCTGTCGAATACTATGTTGATGACTGATGTGTCGAACAAACTGTTGTAATATGATAAAATTAACTGTTACATATATACGATAATTCGACGACGAATTCGACGATTTGTTCAACGAAGTTATTGCATTCTTATACTCTGGCCTGTACTCTGAGATTACTAATTTTACATTTGCTACATTTAACTATTGTTACATTACAAGTTAATACAGTTATTAATGATTTAACATATTACGTATGTGGTACAGCTGAAATACTTAGGCCGGATTTCACTAAAGAAACTGATCGCGTTTAGTTCATTAAAACGTTTTAACGTGTGCAAAGCTTCATTTTGCTTATATAAATTACACACAGCATCAAATATTATTTTATGAGCGTGTAAAACTGTGAACGAATGAAAATCTGAACTTTATTTTGGTAAACGCGATCTATATAACGCTGGTGAATTCCATTTAAAGAGAACGAGATCAACGTCGTTCTTTTTTTCCAGTACACGCTGAACTCCGTTTCATTGAACGTGTTTATACTACGATTGGTGAAATCCAGCCTAAATCATAATTTGTAAATCGCGCCAACTTTTAATAGTGAAACGAAACGATAATGAAACTGTTACCGGCACCATGCTACAGCGTACATGGTATAAACTGCATTATGTAAAATAAAATCTATTCAATGGACATCACTAGAGGTTAACTACTCTGTGATAAATCAGTGAGCGTCAGAATCTCGGTGTGTTCTACGAGTAACGCTCTTTGTATTGGTCGGTACCTATGTGTTTTTGTCGACGTAATTATATTTAATGTGACACATTAATCTATTAATATTTACCGTAATATTAATGTTTGGTCGAGTAACACTCGGTGGATTAGTATGTAAATAAAATACGGACATCTTACAGGAGTTGTTTATTACTTCAACTATATTGTCTCTTGCTCACACACACACACCATTCTTATGTCTCTTTCACAAAATACATTCCGTACATGCCCTTTTAAAATTGTCAAAAAAAATTCCATTTTTTTGACATGCCCTTTAAAAATAACACTAATGTTTCAGTAACATTAGTATATAAATAAAATACGGATATCTTACAGGAGTTGTTTATTACTTACAACTATATTATCTCTCGCTCACACACACACCATTCTTATGTCTCTTTCATAAAATACATTCCGTACATGCCCTTTTAAAATTGTCAATTAAATTCAATTTTTTTGACATACAATCAAACCTTAAAATGTTTCTAATGTTGCAAATGGTGATTTTTATTTATCGGAATATGTCTTGGTGTATTCACCCATTTGTAAGTGTTCATTAGAATTAGCATATACAGGCAGTCCTCGTACTTACGGCGTGTTACGTTTACATTCAGCCGCTTCCCCTGCCAATCGCGCTGCCGGAAATATTGCCGCGTCAGCGTCGACGCGAGTGTCGTTTACACTCAGCCCTCATACTTATTTACCGGGCGACTCTTCCTTACGTTCCGCTTATAACGCCAGGCGACAACTGAGCGAGAGGGCTGAATGTAAACACACGCTGCCACTCGCGCTGCCACCCCTTTGATTCGCGCACGAAAAACCGACAATCGTAGGAGAGCCAGGTAGCGCGAGTAGCAGCGTTAATGGCATGGGAAGTATCGTGTTTACACTCTCGCGCTTCTCGCTTCCGTGCTCATTTCCCTGCCCACTTGTGCTGAGTATAAATTGGGCTATAGGTTATCGAAATACGCGACGTAAGGATAGGATCAAAACTAATCGAAAGAACTAACGAAACAAGCATGTGCGGCCCCACGGACATTGACCTCGCGACAAGTGAATTCTCCTATGCCGGAAATCGAACCAACTAACGTATGCTTGAGCAATAGTGTCAAAACATTGTTCGACGTAACTTGAAAACGATGTAATTCGAGGACTGCCTGTACTAATAACAATCTAGGAATTGTGTATAACTTCAATAACTGTACTTTAATTACTATAAAATGAATTGTTGTAATTGATCGTATACTCTAATAAAAATCAATTGCACAGCATTTAAAAATTTAAGGTACATATGTAAGATATAGTTTAGTATGATGTATTAGTGTTTAAGCTTAAATATCTCTCTAAGCTATGTATGGTAAGTCATTTTTTAATATTGGTCTAATAAAATATAATAAATTACTTTGTTTTTGTTACTTGTATCGCCCAATTGTGATCTTTTAATATTAAAAGTATGAATTATGATGATTCTGAAAACATACTCACAGTAATCTTATAAAACACACCAACCATATTCATGCACCACCTACACATACAGGCACCTCACACATAACTATATTAGTTTTGCTAGATAGTTCTAGGATATGTTAGCTTAGCAAATTGTACTTTTAGACTTAAAATTATTATAAGATAATTCGTATTCTGGTTCCCACAGGACAGGGCCAGCCTAGTGTAGGAATCAATGCTATTGTTATTGTATTGAAACAATTTTGGTAAATAAATAAAATAAATTATGATGGCTGGATTATTGAACGAAATGTAGATGTTAGTAATGTGGGACTAATGATCCCATTGCATGTACCATATCATGTTGACTTCCACGAGGTTCCCACCGGAAGCCGTGGTGATAAATTCCTGGTGATTTAACCACGATGGACTATTTGACCTGACGTCCTTGCTGGAGGCAATAAATATCGAAAGTTAACAGCTATTCTGATTTTCAATTTCAATGTTGCTAAGAAGACGGCCCATATTTAGACCAAGCCTGGGCTTGATAATGCAAGTTAAAATCACCTTATAAATGAAAGGCTTTGGTAAGCTTAATATTATATTATTTACATTATTATGGACATAAATTGTTGGATAAGGTACAGGTCATTGTCAGTCAGAAACAAAACAAAACGTTAGCAATTACTGAATAATCAGTACCGTGGTTAGAAAGTGGGAAATGGCAGAAACTATAAGTTTTCGATAAGTATAGCAACTCCACTAGTCTCCTCTAAGGCAGACATAACCTGGAATCTTAGAACATACATCTGTTTTAGTCAGATTTCAGAAAAAGTGACTTTAAATGGGGTATAACTTATTACTAAATGAATAATATAATGTATGATTGATTTTGCTTTTTGAGCTAGTTAGTGGGTCTGAGAATTTTCTAAGAAATCTATCAAAGTGGTACACTTGAATTGTCAGCTATTAATAACTGTATGAGACTTGGCAGGGGATTGTTGGTAATGTGGATGATGTGGTGAATTTATTAAAATGGGCTTCACCTCATGTTATCATCCTTCATTAGTGCCCCGCCAGCATAAACTGCTAGCTCAGTCGGGTGCACCATTCCATTATCATCCATAAGAACTGTATGAGGCTAAATTTCTAGTAGACATTTCTGTATCTAGTTTATTACTTAGGTGTATCGGAGTTCTTTGTACGTTATGCATGTTTCAGAAATACAGTTTTCTTATAGGATTATGTAGTTGTTAAATGATAATTAGCTGATTTTAAAAGTTAATATTTTTTATGGTTTGGGTAGGGACAATTTTAACAACATCAACATAAAGGGTTGCTTCGAGTGAAATGGAACATATATTACGGTTTTTTTTATTAAGTAGAAATTACCACAGTCACCGTACCATTTATATCTGTTATTAATCTGTGGTACTTAAAAAAAAACAAAATGACAAATTGACAGATCATCAAACCACTGAATTTGGAATGTGATTTATTAATTTATTGTTTAGAATTTCTGTGAAAATCATATAGATATTCATTAAAATTTTTCTTTAACAGGTGATAATATTTTCATGTTTATACATTTTGGAGAGTCATATACGCGAGTCCTATAACAGACGTGTCGAGTCACAGATAAACGTCACCTTGGACCGATTGCGATAAGGTGTGATATAAATTAATGTTTTTATTGACGTAATAAGTGTTAGTGAGAGAATATTTATACAGCAGAACGATGGCGGAGACGAGTGAAGCGCAGGCGAGCGCGTCCGCATCGGCGCCTGGTGGAGACGCGGGACAAGAAGAGGATAAACATGATGAACGTATGTTGGAATGCAACATCTGTTTGGATACGGCTCGCGACGCCGTAGTCAGTATGTGCGGGCATCTGTTCTGGTATGTATCACCTCCAATATACCCGTCATCATCATTAGTTTTTTTTTTATACTAGGATGTTGGCAATCAAGCACAGCTGCAAAGGAATATTTTAAATAATAATTATTAATTATTTAAGTACTTTCAATAATTTTGCGTGACATAGACCAAATGAGATATACAGCAAGTACAGATAACAATTTGCGTATTGTTTACAACCAATAATTAGCAAATAATAACAATTATTAGCAACATCAAATCAAATGATGACACATTATACTAAAATCTTGAAAGAAATCATGTGATTACAGCAGAATATGCACTGGGTATGATGATAATTTTTATATGTATTTTCTCTGTATTTAAAATATATTTTTGGTTATTTAAAATTAATTATATACTTAAATAATTAAAAGAAACAAGATTTCAATGTTATATAAAACACTTCCTTTGCAAAAAAGCTTTCTATAAAGTTGAAGAATTTGTTAATGATTTTTAGAAAAACTCAAAATCCATAGCACTGACAGTAATATCTGATTACACTAATAATGAGTGCATAGCAATTTCTATGTTGATTATCACATGCCTCTTACTTGTTATACTGTAATTATTTATATAAAAAAACATCTATTCAAAAGAGCAACACACAAGTTTCTTGCTCATTCTTCTTGTGATAAATCTGCATTCCGAATGAGTGGTAGAATAAAAATTATGACTATTCAAAAATGCTTGTGTCAAGGTCATTTGAATAAAGATTATTTCTATTTATATTTCTTAAATAATTCTAGTAGTGCTCTAGTATATCTGGTAGTACCTGGAACTCTATTTAACTGTTTAGTATTGGATATTGCTGTGTTATACATTTAGAGCAATTATTATTATTGGAACTCCTGGGGAGTGAATTATTGGTGCTAGTATTAAAGAATGCTATACCCAGGGCCATGATATTTACGGGGAATACTGGCCAATTGTTAACAATAAATAGGTTTACATGCTTCCATGCAGAAATAAATATATTTTCTATATAGAACAAACAAGGAAAACCTGGGCTTTACATTATAAACTAAATATTTATTTAAATATTTGAATTGGTGTAAAAAATAATAAATAATATTATTAGTATTGGTTATTCCTAATGAGGTGTCACATAAAGTGATATCTATGGTGCTGTTCAGTAGTGATGGGACTCGAGTGATTTTTTTTCACTGGAGTCATTTGATACGGGTAAGTTTCTCACTCGAATGCCACTTGAGTTATTTTTATTGACTCCAGTCACTCAGAATACAAAACTTTTTTTCATATGAGAAAAAAACTTTATTTTTCATGTCAAAAACAAGTTAATTCTATTACCACAAAACGTTATTTGTAAGTTTTGCAAAAAACTTACAAACAATGGTTTTTTGTTCTAAATATTTGTCAAAAAATGACCACACAATTGCTTTTTTCACACTTTTACTAATTTTCACCACTTACTAATAACACACAGTCATAAATAACCAAAACATTAAACAGTAATAACTCGCACAAACAGATTTCTATGTAATTACAAAGAGAACCAACAGCAGGTAAACTTGTCACAACTTTAATATCTCACTCGGCTTGGTATAAACCACTCAAGTGGTGGAGGTGATTCTCCATTGAGAATCCAGCCTCAGATATTCCAGCTTATGCCAGGTTGTTAGTCTCACTCATATAATCAGGCAATGTCAGTTGAACAAGTTTATTTGGATGTTGTCAAAAATTTTGAGAGACTCTTGACAGAGTGACAGGTAGTGTAATATAAAAATTACTTGAGTCAATTGAGTGAAATGCAACTCGAATCCCATCACTACTGTTCAGGTATATAGAGGATGGTTACTATTTACCATAAGGTGAGCCAGCTTGTGAGTCATTCCAATTACATAATATAAAATAGTTTATTAACACTATTACTTTCAAATCCATCCTAATTTTAGCTCAATATATAACATTTATCTTAATATTATAAACGCGAAAGTTTGTAAGTATGGATGTTTGTTACTCTTTCACGCAATAACTACTGAACGGATTTTGATGAAACAATACAGTGATATAGCTGATACATCTGAATAACACAGGCTATAAATTTTATGCGGGTGAAGCCACAGATACAGCTAGTAATAGATGTTATGACATAGGCATCTGCTAAGAAAGGATTTTGATTAATTCTACCGCCAAGGGGATAAAATAGAGGATGAAAGTTTGTATGAAACTTTGTCAATTTTAAACCGATCGGGCTGAGACTTTGCATGCATATAGCTACTATGACGTAGGCATCCCCTAAGAAAGGATTTTGAAATATAATTTTGAGAAAGATGTGCATGCGTTAGTCACGGCACAATATGTGTGTGTTTTCGAATGACCAGTGGTGGCTGCATCATTGGATGGATTATTTAATTGAATTAGTGCTAATCGGTAGTTTGTATTCACACACTTAAACTTAAATTGTAAAGTAAGAATAAAATTATTTAAAAGAGCAACACACAAGTTTTTGCTCGTTCTTCTTGTGATGAGACAGGTTTCCGAATGAGCGGTAAAATGCTTCAATGTAAGTTTATTTGAATAAATTATTTTCTATTTTATTCCCACTTTTCCGAGTCTCCCCGGGAACATTGTCATACTCGCTACTTATACTACAGCTTCACTATTTGAGAAGTTGTAATATGCAGTCGGCTAAATGTATTAAAATAAACATCTATTTTTCCTAATAGGGTTTAGATTCTTTGTAATGAATAATATATGTTTATTTTATTGTTATAATAATAATATGTCAGATAGTTATTAGTACCACAGATAATATAATATTACATATGAGTACTAACCCTGTATTTTGAAATACATTTTTTTTTAAATATTGCAGTTGGCCCTGCCTGCACCAGTGGTTGGAGACTCGTCCAAGCCGGCAGGTATGCCCAGTGTGCAAGGCTGCAATCAGCCGCGACAAGGTTATCCCATTGTACGGGAGGGGCAACACTAAACAGGAAGACCCAAGGAATAAGGTCAGCTTTTTTATATTCTTTACTATATGTTGTGTTTAAATAACATAATTAAAAAGCTAGTTTATTATATATAATAGAAATTTGAGAAAATAAACACGCTTCATTCCGGGATTTGTTTTGAAAAATACCATAACAAAAGGATTATAAAGAGTAGATTTACGAACTATAATATAGTATCCTGTAATTACTCATAAAATAAAGTTTATCATATAAGAAAACATCAAATTTATTTACAAAATATGAAATAAACCCTAAAAAAAAACGCAGTTTTAGCTTGGAGCTGGTGGAATAAAAAGAAAAAAAGGATTGGAGTGGAAAGGGTTAAAATGTTGTCTTCATTACATGTCCATATAAACTTAATTATTATAATAAGAAAACATCAATTTTATTTACAAAATACGAAAAAAAACCTAAAAGTTAAAAAACACAGTTTTAGCGTGGAGCTGGTGGAATAAAAAGAAAAAAAGGATTGGAGTGGAAAGGGTTAAAATGTTGTCTTCATTACATGTCCATATAAACTTAATTATTATAATTATATGTTCTTTTATTTTGAAGATTATAAAATTTTTGTCTCTCTTCAGGTGCCTCCGCGGCCAGCCGGTCAACGTACTGAGCCAGAGAACAACAGTGGCTTCCCAGGGTTCGGTTTCGGGGAGGGCTTTCACATGTCGTTTGGTATCGGTGCATTCCCCTTTGGAGTGTTCACCTCAACATTTAATTTCGGGGACCCGAGACCGAGTGCAGGTGTGTTGTGATATCAAATATATCTTTGCATACATACATATTACTAAGACTATTTTACATTAGGGTAGGGTAGGCAGAGACAATAGAATGCCATTGCCACCTGCATCATTTTGACGACCTCTGTGGTCTAACGGTTTAACACACCGCTTTAATTCTGATGGTGGCATGTTCGATTCCTCGCACGGCACAAACATTTGTATTCATAAGTACGAATATTTGTGTCGGTCTGAGTGTTTTCTATGTATAATATGTATGTATTTACGAAAAAAAATATATGTATTTGTATCAGTTATCTAGTACCCATAACACAAGCTTTAGCTAGCTTAACTTGGGTCTAGATGGCGCTGTGTGAATTGTCTTGAAATAATAATATATTATTATGAATTATTGAAATAAAAAATTGGGTATTACTCATAGCTCCACGTGGCACCGCGCAATACGAAGAAGAACAGTTTCTGTCGAAGATATTCCTATGGGTGGCCATATTATTCGTGCTGTGGCTGATCTTCGCATGACCGGCGTGTGGGGACGCCTCGCTCACCAGGTGGAAGTCGATAGCGGAGCCCCTCGCTCACTACCTGCTCCACTAAACGGACTGAACTTACGGCAATAGGGGACTCCGGGATGGGTGTGTGATTTTATATATATATAAATAGCAAACAAACTGATGGTAAGTGGTCACCGTCGGATATATATAAACAGTACGGCCATCACATGATATTGCGTGGTCATGTGATGCTCTTGGCGCCACTCATGCGTTGTCGTTTTTGAATACTAAAATTAAAGGAAATTCTATGCAAGGTGTAAATAACACGCTAACCGAAAACTGATTAAAAAACTACAATTAAAGATTTTAACTTAATCAAATCAAATTATCTTTATTCATGTAGGTTTATTACAGACTCTTATGATATGTCAAATCTACCGTCAGTTCGGAGTGCTTTCGAGCCAAGAAATACTGACAAGAAACTCAGCTCTTATTCTTTTCAAATGACCTAATACATGTTAATTTTTACTTAAACAACATCAACTTCATAAGAAGTACCATAAAACGCTGAGAAAATTGAAGTGTGTGAAAAACTGTAACATTTTTCACACATTTGTCAATTTGTGGACACTTGAATTGAAAATATATGTTATTATAACTAAAGTCTAAAAAATTGTAGTTTTTTGGGCACAAGTCTTATCGATTTAATTTTTTTAACAGAAAATAGACATGGAGTTTTAAAAAAAATATTACTGGGTTCGAAAGAAGTCTTTTTTCACAGTATGAAGCTTTTAACTACGGTGTTTAATTAATTCAGGCGTAATGTTTTTTTTTTAATATAAAATAGCTTAAAAGCGCAAAGGACAGAACGCCACAAAAGTCATATACGGTTATTTTACGAATAAAGAGGTTATATGTGTATATGTTTTTTTTATATGTGTATGACGTGTCCGCGCTGGCCATTGACCTTGCATAGTTGTTTACAAATTGCGACAACGCGTGGTTATTGATATCATGTAATTACATTAATAGTTCTTGCAGTTGACAGACTCATTTCTACTTCATACTGATTTATATATTTATAGAAAAATATATCTATGTTACACAGTAGTCTAGAACCCATAACACAAGCTCAGGTTGGCTTGTAATTAGATATCATTTTGTTATAACTAAATACGGGAATTTAATATATTTATACGTTAAATCACGGGATCTTAATATGTTTTATTTATTGCTAGATGTGCCTCGTATTAATCTGTTGTATTAAAATACAGTAATTGAGGAATATATTTAATATGTTACGAATGTAGTGACATAGTTTCGTGTTTTTCTTCAATGTCAATCAATAGCTAGATGAATAATAAATATAACGTTGGTCTATAAAAAGTAATTCACGTGAAATTTATAGCCTACTAGCTGTCCCGGCAAACGTTGTTTTGCCATATAAATTAATAACGCTATAAAAAATAGGGGTTGGTGATACAAGGGTGAAAATTTAGGGTTGTATGTTAGGGTGTTTTTAATGACACATAATAAAAAAATATAAATAAATAATATTGCCCAAAAAATAAAAAAATAATGTTAGGGACAACTTACCCTTATTAGTGAGGGGTATGAAAAATAGAGACCTACTGAATATGTATATAAAAATTCGTATAAATAGATCAAGCCGTTTGGGAGGAGTATGGTAACTAACATTGTGACACGAGAATTTTTACTTACTTACTAAGTATATTCATCTTTACAATATGTTATTCTGATATATAAGCTATATTACTGTAAAGTTTCACCAAAATCCGTTCAGTAGTTTTTGCGTTTATAATATTAATAAGATTTTTCAGCAATAGTAGCAACAAAGACGTGTGAAGGTAGACGAATATATCTGCCCATGATTTTATTTTTCATCTACCCGCTGCTCTTCAGTTAACCCGTGATCATGGCGGTAAATGGCGGAAATATCGGAACTAAATAATCATTACAAAGTATAAAACAAAGTCGCTGTACATATGTATGCGTAAATCTTTAAAACCACGCAACGGATTTTGAAGCGGTTTTTTTTAATAGATAGAGTGATTCAAGAGGAAGGTTTATATATAATACATGTACACCCGTGCAAAGCCGGGGCGAGTAGCTAGTAATGTATAAAACGTGGTAAGATCCCGTGATTTCCTTTAATTTTACGTAAAAAATTATGATCGCGTTAAATTTAAAAAGTTTCTAAAACTTATATTTTCTTTAAATTTATACTTTGGTGTTTGATATACATTATTTATATTATTGACCGGGTCTTAACACGAATAATTTTATGGCAAATAAAGATATTTACCTCTCTTGACGTTTCGACTAGGTTGCACTAGCCGTGATCACGAGTTGACTAAAAATTATGAATATATTTTCATGTTTTGCGACAACTATTTGGAAATCACCCGTGAGTCTATTTTAGGGCACTGACCCTATTTCTTCTGAGTGCATATCCCGTACATAAATATAAAAATATTAGTGTATAATTATAAATAAATATATTAAAAAAAAAGTCATGTTATAGTAAAAATAAAATTGAACTGTCATAATTTTATTTTTTTACAAAATGGTTGACTATTTTATGTTCTACGATTTGGCGATGAACAATTTATTACATATTTTTTTAATAAAATTTTATTTAAATTCTGTAAATGATTAAGTGAAATATAATTTTAATGTATATATTTATTGATTTTCATGTTAAATGATTAATTATTGTGTATTTATTTGTTTGTTATAATAAAGAATGTTTAATAAAAAAACATGGTAAAATTTAAAGAGGTCTCTCTTATAGCAAAACAACATAATTATTGTTCTTATATTCTTAAGAGTATTAGGGTTTTGATTATATAATGCACTTGGTAACTATTCTCATTTTAATCTGATTTATATATACAGTTTGGTGATTATGTATGCACAGTTGCAATTGCAAACCGTATACCAGCTTGTAACTGCAACTCTTACGTCGTTCATATAAAATCAATAAACATATCGGATTTAACAGATTGTAGCCTAAATTCATTAGTCTAAAATTCGGATGTTAAAATCCCAAATAAGGAGTCCCCTAAAACATCTCTATTGTTATAAATAATGTGCTTTATCTGCCACAGAATACTAAATAGATTTATTCTGTAGCTTTGCGCAGATAAGGCTGCTAATATACAGTCGGTTAGTCGTCAGGTTCCTGGAATGCGTTTAACATTTGGTTTTACTACACTCCGCAGAGATGCGCCAGTCCCAGTCCTACAACCGTTAGGTTGCTGACCGACTTTATATCAGCAGCCTAAATCGTAGTGGGCGCTGCCTACAGTAGTTATATATATACTTTTTAAATTTAAGAAATCAATGCCTGAGCGTACGGATCTGGTGAGATATAATAGTTATATAATTAATAGTTAATAGGGTTTCATTAATCACTTAAAATAAATTTACTAAAACGTAAAGTGCACACGTCGTGAGTTTTATGTGGACATGTTATAAAGACAACGATGTAAGCATAAAAACATTTCAAATAACAATAAATGCAAAAGTGATCGTTTTTTCGAATGATTTCATATGAAGTCATCTCGGGCACGCAGAAAAATCGCAGGCATATGATAGTTAATGTTTTTTCTATTATGGAAAAGCCGGCATCAACGGTTTCCAAATCTCGCAATTTTCAATAACAATGAATCAAAAATATTAAGTTGTAAAAGAAAGTGTTATTGTAACGAATTAAAATGTTAAGTAATAATCTTTCATCAAGAAATGTTTCAACAAAAGAAACCATGTTGTAAAGTGTAGCAACTCTACTCGCAGTTGTCTATTGTTTATATAGCCAGTGGCGTAGCTGCCTAGGGGCTAGTGCCCAGTGGTAAGGGGCCCTCAAACCCTTACGCTCTCGATCGGATTTGAACTTTTGAAAATATCTCCCATTTTCATGGCAACTCCGTTAAGAGAAATTCGAAAGCTTTCAGATATTATAATACCTTCGGAATTGCCCTAAATTCTTTCTGTGGGTTGGCAGTGTTGTTAATTTGACGGATAGCGATATGTGCGTTTTAATAAAACTGTAATGTAGAGCCATTTTTTATTAGCCCCAGGCCCTTGGTTACCTAACTACGCCACTGTATATATCCATTCATAAATGTCACATCTTACAGCGAGGGGGTATACAGTGTGACTTGCAAAGAATCATCAAATATAGGACCCTTCCTACTCTCCTAGGAGGGCTCACAGATTTAATACGCTATGGTACTTTGTCACAGTGACATTGTGATATTATTGGTACTGATATTTCCAAAGATTTTGCAATAATTAAACTACATGTCAATATGACAAGGTATTATTAGTAGTCACATATTGGTAAATGTATTTTGGATTTATACAAAATCATTGCGCTGCCGGCATCTAAATTGTTCTGAGTGTAAATATGAAATAAGAAATGTTAAAAAAAATACTGCGTCAGTCAGGCATTTATAAATTTGTTATAATCGTATACTATAAGATAAATATATGGATGTTCCGAGTGTTAGTACGTAATCGCTTTACAAAAACGAAAGTACAAGAACCCGAGGTTTTACTGTAATATCAAATAGCTCTAACAGTAACCTTAGGGCTAATAGGAGCTTCGTTATACTTTGTATCTCTGAAAATAAACTTGTAAACTTGTCGCTACAATATAAAGGCGTCTCGATATGCAGCTATAATAACTGCTAACACAATCCATATAAAAATGTTGTTAAATTCATCCGGCTCGAAGGACTAAATAGTGTTCAGTACCCTAGTCTAGTGTTGTATCGTGAATATTGTACTACATATTTGTACATGTTACTTGGTAAATGCAAACGACCAATTATGAATGATTTGATTAAAATTTATTTATTTATTTCAGATTAATTGAACTATTCGGAACATTTATTATGTAATTACTTATTTGTTTAGAATAATATCTGGTTTTAGATACTACAACGCAATAAATTTAGCTGCGAATGTATTTTATGTTATTGTAATAATTATATTGTACGCAGTATGATTGTATTGGTTATAGAAATGTCTATGGTTACTCGTAATGTAGCGATACGAGAGTGTGATTCATCAATCTGCATTCGGGTGTGTTGTACGAAGAGAACCACTATGAATTGGTATAGTTATGTTAATATTCCTGTAAAGTTAATTGTGTATATATTTTATCATATTTTTGAATATTTATGTTGAGAAGGGAGGGTTTGTGTAAATTATACAAAATATAATTTTAACGCTATCTCGTGTTTTAATATATCCATACATAAACTTATGTACATGTAAAATATATTAGCGACATCAAGCAGCTTGCTTTGTAAGATGTTTTTCGGATAAAGAGTGAAATTACCATGAATAGGCATGACAACTTAATATTCTGGAATGGCACACACGAGTACCAGAGGGGTGATATGATAAGGTGATCATGTACCTTAGTATTCCGGTATGGCAACACGAGTACTATAAGCATGATAACGTGATATCCGTGATGAAGATCGTATAAGTCCGCTTCAATATAAGCGTCCAAGGTAATATAGAGAATAAGAGCTGCATTGTCTACTAGAGAGAATTATTAAAGGACTGACCTATGAGAAACATAAACATAGAGAATGGTAGAAATAAAACAATATAATGACAGTACTTCCTGTTAACTTTATTCGCAATTCAATTCAGATATCTATATATAAAATTGGAATATAATGAATTACTAACTACAATATATTGGCTGATTTAGAAAATAGTTTTAAACAAAAGAAGAATAACTTAATCTACTTGTAAATTATTACATTGATCCTCTTTATTCAGATGGGGATCGAAATTACGACGGCCTGAACTGAGGTTCGAACCCTTGCGGTGAATCCCCATGGCTAGCAAAGTACCATGTTATGCCTACCTCCACGCGGTCCCTCTTGGAAATCATCGTGATAAAATTCTAGTGAATTTAACACGATGGGCTATCTGACCTGACCTCATATTCATCTTAACATCCTCCACTGGTGCCCCTCCATCGTATACCGTTAGAGCAGGCGGGTGCACCATTTCATTATCTTCAACAAAAAAAAAACGCTAGCGGTGCTCTTAGACTACATTCGTATCTGTCAGGGCGGAGTTGGCCTTCAGCCGCTCCATAACTCCTTCCCCGGGTTTGGAGTGCCATCTGCACTCGCACTTTATCGTCCGGTGAAGCTGTAAAGGCCAGCTGCGACCAACAGCATTAGAGTACATTATTTAAATTATTAACCGGGTCTTAACACGAATATTTTTATGGCAAATAAAGGTATTTACCTCTCTCGACGTTTCGACTAGGTTGCACTAGCCGTGGTCACGAGCTGACATCTCGTGGGCCAGCTCGTGACTACGGCTAGTAATTTCGTTTCGTGTTTAATATACATTATTTAATTTAATAATTTAAATGTATATTAAACACGAAAGTTTAAAATTAAGCATTAGAGTAGTCCGAAAAAAGCTGAGACTGATTAAAAAGCAATATCCTATTTGCTGTATATAAGGGGCTGTTCAAGTATTACGTAAGCAGATTTATCACAATTATTTACCCCTCCTCCCCCGTTGTCAGCAAAAGTAAGCAAAGCTCTTACCATGTAATGTAATCGTGGGGGGAGGCCCCCATGCTTACGTAAACATTTCTCAATTAATGTATTGTTTTTTTAACAAAGACAATGTGAGGGTTGCCATTCGTGTAAAAAAGTAAAGTACGACCGATGACGTAATCATCATACAGACTCCCCCACCCCCATGTCATCCAAAATAAGCAAAGAAAAGACCCCCGCCCCCCCCCTATAGTGCTTACGTAATATATATAAGGGCGATTACACACTGTATGGTTTGATCGGACGATTGTCGTAACCTTGTTCCAATTAGCGCATTTCTATTCATCACCCACGTCACCCATTTATATCTACTACTTGTAGGAACTTGTCTACTCTGATATTTCATACACATTTATAATTTTACTTATGAATGATTGTTATTTGATAGTTTGTATTCACACAAAAACTATAAAACATAATAATATTTATATATTACTAGCTGTCCCGGCAAACGTTGTTTTGCCTTAAAATAAAAATAAAAATTAGGGGTGGACTACCCCTAACATTTAGGGGGATGAAAAATAGATGTTGGCCGATTCTCAGACCTACTCAATATGCTCACAAAATTTCATGAGAATCGGTTAAGCCGTTTCGGAGGAGTATGGGAACGAAAACTATGACACGAGAATTTTATATATAAGATTAAGTTTTATAGTTTTAGAGTGACAGGCAAGTTTCTTGTTCATTATTCTTGTTCCTAAAACAACATTCGGGATGTGTGGTAGAATAACAACATGACAATCCAAAAAAGCTTATATTAACTTTATTTGTGTAATAATGACTTCAATTTTCAATCTGGATCTTTTCTAGAATCACTCCTAAGATAATGTCAAACGCATACATATTGTACTGTTACATCTTATAATACAATGTTTATAAACTCCATGGCATCCTGTGACATAGTATATATAATAATATCACTGGACAATTCACACAGCGCCATCTAGTCAACATTTAAACAACTGACGTAAATACTTAGATGCCTTTTTTTGTAAATAAATACATAATATAGAAACATTTAATTATTTGTTTTGTACCATCCGGTCGATTGTCAGCTACAGGGAAGATTTTAAGTCATAAAGCTTGAAGACTGGAAAATAAAAGTCTTGTCCTATTGGTCAAATAAATAAAAGGCCTAGCCATACTGAAGGATTCAAGGGACTATATTGTTAAAGGGCTGTTGTCAATATGTACTATAACATAAAACACCCAGACCGACAAAACAGTCATTCATGAATACAATTTTTTGTACCGTGCGAGGAATCGAACTTGCGACGATCGGAAGTAAGACGTGTGCCACTAGACTAGATGGCGCTGTGTAAATTGTCCTGGGTAAAAGAAAAAAATCTTACACATTTCGATCATCTGGAAATGGCCCTGGCATCTTGGACTATTATGGGTTGAACACATTTCATATTTAAATACAAAAAAAGATATGTAGCACTTTACTTATTTGTGTATAAGGTTTACAGATCGATGCCTAAAACACTACATAATAGTTTTAATTATTTGTATTCACACATTTAAACTTAAAAATGTAAAGTAATAATAAAATTATTTAAAAGAGCAACACGCAAGTTTCATGCTCGTTCTTCTTGTGATGAGACAGCTTTCCGAACGAGCGGTAGATTAAAAAATGTAATGACTATTCAAAAGTGCTTCAATGTAAGTTTATTTGAATAAATGATTTTCTATTCTATTCTATTAATGCTTTATTTATGACCATGGATACAAGTCCTTCAGTCGAAAAAAGTTGCCAGTATCATTATTATTCCAGTCCACGCCAGATGTATGCTCTTCTATTAATAATAATATAAGAAATAAGTTTCTTTCGCAAACGTAGAAATTAAGATTCTTTGTCACAATTAAACACAAAAATATTGTTTAAATTATATCTAACGAATTCACATACTTGACACTGTAATCCTAAATGGGGAAGTGAGAAGAATAAGTCAATCGTCGCCGTTGTGAACGCAGCATTTAGTAAATCACTTACGTCGTACTATACCGTACTTTTTGACGGTAAATTCTAGAAGAATCCTTTAGAAAATATTAAATTTTCTCTCGTCAAAACATGTTAAAAGTACAGCAGCTTATCAAATATGTATTGTACATACATACATACAAAAAAGTATAATATTAACATTATTCAATGCCGTATAGTTTGAGCGTCCGGTCCATACTGGTAGACGCTATGTACTGCGAGTTCTTTCCAAACCGGACTCCTGTGGCTGCTGCCGTATGATCATTGAAGAGTTTCAACTCCTGCCACTGACGGCAGAGATATACCCTCACATCTGTTCCTGCTATAGCGAGATAGGTTCCGCTCTGGTCGAAGCACAGCTCCTTTATAGCGTACCCTTCTTCGAGCTGGATAGTTTTGAAGTTCTTTAACTTCCTCAAGTCCCAGAGTTTAACACACGCGTCTTCTGCAGCAGTAGCTAGATAGTAACCGTTCTCAGAGAATGATATGGAGGTAACGGGCCCGACGTGTCCTGGGAAATTTGCGACGTTGCTCTGCTCTTTCAAGTCCCAGATCTTGACTTGTGAGTTTTCGGTGCCGGTGCCAAAGATGAGGCCGTCAGGATGGAACTGCGCTGTGGTGAGGCTGACTCCGGACGCGTCGCTCACTTTGGTGAGCAGCGCACCGGTGCGTATGTCGGAGAAGGCCCAGTGCTGGTCGGTGGATGTGGACAGCACGTAGTCTCCGGTGGGATGGAGCGAGAGGCCCGTCACGGGGCCTTCGTGTGAACGCAGTATCACTGTTGTCTGTGATCTGTAACACGGACAGAGAAATATTATTAATAATTCATGTTCAAAATCTACCCTGTATCATCGTAAGCACAGATATTATATTATATTAGAGTCCGTTAGTTCCCTTCCCCTCCCTAACTAGTAACAAACGGACCGTACAGCGGCATTGACGCGGGCGCGCATTGTGTTGTGAATTAAAATAAATTAGAACTGTGAAACTGTGAAAGTGTGGAAAGCTAGCGAAGATACCTTCGAGACCCTGAAGCCCAAGAAATCCGCAGAACCATAAAGGTAAATGACTGACACTTCCCTAACATTTTGGTAGCAGAGTAGTTTCCCAAACAATTCAAAATAAAAAAAATCTAATGTAGGTTTACACTATATCTTTATAAAGAAAACTCATATACTTAATTACTAATAGATGCAAAACCAGTTTATATTCTGTATCATATACAGTATAGTATAGTAGAATCCGGATATAACGACCTTCTAAGCGAAACTATGTCGTACTAACCGGATGACGCACGAAACACAGTAAAATGCAAGGGTAGCTTCTTTCTTATGGTTTGTTTTTTCATTTATTTTCTTTTGTTACTCTTTTTTGTGATTATTATTATTTTATACATATCCTGAATATGTAAATATGTAAAAGAAAAATTAGTGCTGGTTGGTAGTTTGTATTCACATGTTTCGACTTGTAAATGTAAACTTACAAGGATTATTTAAAAGAGCAACACACAAGTTTCTTGCTCGTTCTTCTTATGATGAGACAGCTTTCCGAACGAGCGGTAGATAAAAAAAATTGTTATGACTATTCAAAATTGTTTAAATTAAGTTTATTTGAATAAATGATTTTCTATTCTATTCTATTCTTTATCTATTTAACTAACTATAAACAAAATACATCACTTACGTGGGCACATTCCAAACGCGTATAGTGTGATCTGGAGAGGCGGTGATGACGGTATCCTCATCTGGATGGTAGATGACGCGGGTCACCTTCTTCGTGTGGCCCTTGAGGATGGCGACCATCTGTTCAGTGTCCTTATTGAAGACAGTCGCGTTGCGATCGTTACCACCCGTCAACAGCTTGCTGTGATCTGACGGGTTGATGTCCAATGCCAGGATGCCGGGAACACTAGCCGAATGGAGACCCTGAAAAGTAATATAGAAATGTTATATTCCATCAACCAGTCGCTTTAGTGATCAAGCAAGCGGTTTAACAGCGTTTTAGTTTCTGGTCGCGGGTTCGATTACTCGCACGGTACAACTATCTATACATATAAATAAAATTGCAGTATCTGTTTGTAATATTGAAATAACAGATTTTTACTACATGCATATAAATATAATAACAGTAAATACACCAAAATAACATTGTTTACTATTTTAGTCTGTCTGCTGTCTGTTATGTTATCTCTGAAATGGCTGGACCAATTTTGACAGGACTTATTATTAGCAAGTAGCTGATGTAATGAGGAGTAACTTAGGCTACTTTTATTTTAGAAAAATAAAGTTAAATTCCACGCGGACGTAGTCGCGGGTACAGCTAGTTTTATAATAAATGTATTAAGCCACAGTCAGATATAGATTTTAAATGCTATAATTAAAGCAAGTTCTGATTATATTAGCCTGGAAACTGAACTAGGCACGAGGCCTTTATGATGATATATAATGAGTGAAATAATATATGACATATTATAATTCAAAAGTAGTTTGTTTGAGAACAAGCAAGTATACTTACGGGATGCGAAGCGAGCGTAAGGAAGGCCCGTATCTGGTCGGGCCCCACGAGTCCCTCGGGCACGGTGCGTCCGCGCCGCTTTCGCTCCTGCGTGAGGGCGGTGGCTCGCTCCTGGAGCCGCGCCACCACCTCCGCCGACATGCCCACCGCAGCCGCGCCCGCCGCGCCCGCGCCCTCCGCCTGCACTCACACCACACCCCATCATCGCGCGTGTATAACAACTCATATCAGTTCTTTGACTGATACAGCCCGCGAGCTGCATCAATAAGGTACGCGATCGCATATATGTTAACACCTGTATAGAATCTATACATATAAATAAAATTGGAGTGTCTGTTTGTAATATTGACATAACCGTTTGTTACTACATGCATATGAATATAAATACGGTACATGCACCAAAAAACATTTTTTACAATTTTTGTCTGTCTGTCTGTTTATTTTGGCTAATCTCTGAAATGGCTGACGAATTTTGACGAGACGTTTTTGGCAGGTAGCTGATGTAATAAGGAGTAACTTAGGATACTTTTATTTTAGAAGAATAAAGTAAAATTCCACGCGGACAAAGTCGCGAGTATAGCTAGTATACTATCTCAATAGAAAAATATAATAATACACTACATTTTTTTAATTTGTATCTGTCCGGGCTACACATTCTGAATTTTCAAAATGGATATTGACACCTCCGACTTATATGCGACCAATCCTGACCTGATCAATAAACCGTCAATATCTGATCGAGGAAGACTAAAAATTTATTTTCATGTATATCACCAGTCTCACGTACTTCAATCACCAATTAGCTTCCTTTGTGAGCCATGTTTCGATTGTAGGTTGAGAAATGACAGTGAAATTACATGATAAGAAACGTGACATCTTAGAACTCTGTTTCGGTTATAGGGTGCATTAGCACCCTAGCATTTTGAATTATTAAAAGTGATATTAAGGGATGAGAGGCATAACATCTTAGTACTCTGGAATGGCAACACAGGATATCACAGGTGTCTTCAGTCATCTATACTTAATTTCAGCTACTTTTTATCCAAAATGAAATAATGATGATGACTTTTGGATACGCTGATTAGGAAATAAATTAAAATAGAAGACACTGAGAAGAAATCTCATGGCTCATCCGTCATACTCGTGAACGAGTGCTGCTTGTAGGGACTGGTCTGCTCTTATCACTACGACTGATTTAATCTTATTGTATATTTATATTTGACCCAAAAAATTAGTGCTGGTTGGTAGTTTGTATTCACACGTTTCGACTTGTAAATGTAAACTTACAAGGATTATTTAAAAGAGCAACACACAAGTTTCTTGCTCGTTCTTCTTGTGATGAGACAGCTTTCCGAACGAGTGGTAGATAAAAAACAAATTGTTATGACTATTCAAAAGTGCTTAAATTAAGTTTATTTGATTAAATCATTTTCTATTCTATTCTAAAAACACATGTATTTGAGCTATACATGCTGGTAAATTAACCACAAGAAATCTGCATACCTGGTGAACTGGCTGTGGAGCGACAATACCGGCCTGGGGCTTCAGCGTGGCGAGCGCTTCACGAGCAGCTGTCACCTCCTTGGTGAGACGGGCAATCACACGACACGCCGCGTCGTGTTGGTACAGTGCGTGACTTAATTCCTAGAACGACAAATAAAATTAAATCAAAATATCTTTAATAATTGGATCTATATACTGAACTGGATGGTAGGGAAAAATTATAATATAAAAAAGTTACCATTTATAAGCGGCTAAGATGTTCTATATGAATAAATGATTTTTTTAATTTAAATTTGAATCATGAAGTTCTATACTAATGACATGTATAGCTCAATACTGTAACACCATCAGATTCAAATGTCAGATTCCGATTTTCAGATTATTAGAGATATATACTTAAAACAGGGTCTTTTTTATTTGCCCATAACCATAGATTCAACACAAAGCAAATTAGGTATCCAGAGTTTAGCATGACATTTTTCCATGTCAGCAGTGGAAACACAAAGTAGTCACATTATAACAGATTTTTTAATTACATATTTTAGCCTACTACCAACAACTCACCTGCTTATAGTACCAGTACTGATTGCAGATACCTAACTACCAAAAAAAAAACATATTTTATCACTAAAGCAATCAGGACTGTATGTACACAACCTCTTTGAGGAAGACATAATGAAATTTATACAGAAACTAATTTGGTTACACCACTATTGATTGAAATTATCAACTACTCATGTGCCACAACATATGTATTGTATGATTACAATGTATACTTACTATAACATATATTTATGGTATGAAATTGTACAATAAATAAATAGGTATAAAATTGTAATGAATGCATATAAAATTTTATAATAAGATACCAAATGATGTTCTGCATTTACTTTTAAATTTAAAACTTCTGTTAAATCATACTTAGTTAACAATACTATTTAATAATAATTAATGATTACTTAAATGACAAACATGCATGGCAACATACAATGAGCCTGACAATATAGTACTCAAATTTTTTTCTCTTTCTATCTGCAATCAGAACTATGAGCAGATTTAGTACTCTAATAAAACTGATTGAGTAGTCATTTTTGAGAACTTACCTGTCGAGCAGTCTGCAGTTGCTGCCTCTGTGTAAAAGTGTGAAGCATCAGAGCATCCCACTCATCCTGCATACTCTTCAAGGTTGCCGGAATCGATGTGGCACTTGGTGGCTTTGGCTTCACTATCGGTGGGGCTGCAAATATGGTGTTAATAATAATAATAATTTCATTTACTCAGATTTCATTTACAGAGATCCAATTTTATCGTTGTCATCGTGCATCCAGTCACACAGCACCATCTAGTTCCAAGTTAAGGTATCTAAAGCTTGTGTTACAGGTACTAGATAACTTATACAAGTACATAGATTTTTTTTTTCGTAATACATATTATACATAGAAAACACCCAGACCGATACAAACAATCATACTCATGAATACAAATGTTAGTGCTGTATGAGGAATAGAACCCGCAACCTTCGGATGTAAAGCGATGTGCTAGACCGCTAGACCACTGAGGTCGATGAATTTGTTAATAACAATACTTAGCCTATGTTAGCATACCTAAAATTACATATTGTGAAGAAGTATACATACTTCTTAGAGACTTGTTCCTTAGCAACAAACATTATAATTTTACTGTCATTATTATCTAAATAAAAAATAGTGCTTTTCATGCTGTTTAATATATTTCTTATAAATTACAAAACATTCCACTGCTCTCAATTATAATTTACTTCATTACATAGTATAAAACAAAATCACTGTCATTGTCTGTCCATCTCTATGCATGCTTAAATTTTTAAAACCACACAACAGTTTCTTTTTAATAGATAGAGGTATTCAAGAGGAAGGTTTATATATATAATACATGTACACCAGAGCGCAGCCAGGGCGAGTAGCTAGTAATACAAATATTATCATTCATCTCTTGTAACAATTTTGGTCCAAAAACAATGGATAGGACTATCAAATTTATTGCACAGCATTTTTAAAATGCTGTTACTGCTGCACTAATGAAAGTAGATATAACATTTTACAAACATATAGACATTTTACATAGCTAACTGCTGTGATCAACATTTTATCATGCCTTTGTAGAGAACACAAGGGATTTGGTAAACTCACTTTTAATTTCAATAAGATCTTCCACCCGTAATTCTTTCCCATTAATCGGATCCACGCCATTTTCTATTATATATTTCTCTATAATTCGCTTCTCAAAAACGGCGCCAGACGTTGGAGACACTACTGCAACCTCGGGAACTTCATTTGATACTAAAACATAGAAAGTGAGGTTATTTCGGAATACCAAAGTAAACTGTACACGAAAGATTATACATTAATAAAATAAATACATTAATATAGTTTAGTTTAGTATTATACTGTGTATATATTATTACTAAGCATTTTATCATACCATTTTTATTTTATTAATACAACTTGCCCGGTGAGCGCGGGAGTCGCAAATCATTTTGGATCTCAAAACATTTGTTAAAAAAATATGTATACTCACTTGCACAGTATAGAGCCATGTTTCATCCAGTTTAGTTAAATTAGTAGCAACTAATACGTAAAATAATATAATAACAATATTTTAATTGATGATCATTAAGAACGAATGCCAAAATTGCCAAACACAGATAACATCAGTGTTGCCATTACGATGTTAGGTTTTCGTTCTAAATTAAATGAAACAATTTTAGTTTCGACCTAAATTAGAAAATACGCCTAATTGTTTGAACTTATCTAAAAAAAGCATTAATCTATTGGCTGGGCAAATAGCCATGTGAGGGGTTAGGGTCGTAGTTACTTTCAGTAAATACTCAGACGAGTAGACTAATTTGTATATTTTTGAATCAGAAAGGGCTGAATTAGCAATATTCTTTTATATCTTTCCAAAGCTAAAAATGAAAAAATTATAATTTAGAAAGAAAAATAACAAATAATAAATAGTAAAAAAATAAAAAAAACAATTAATGAAATATTATAAAAAGACCAAATTTTTGACCGACTGTCATAAAGATGTTCTAGTAATAAAAGTATTTTTTGTATTATTCGTTTCTTATTTATATTATCTTCGCCAAAAGTGAATCGATTTTGATGAGCGTGTAATATATCAATAATAAATTAATATTCTTTCGTATTTGTAAAATTTCAGGCACTATTTAACTAGTAAGTATACCTTCTTGGACCTGCGTATGCAACGAGGCCTCTTGGGTGCGATTAAAAAAAATATAGTTTATGTTGGTATATTTCAAAATAAAAAAAAGTTTCCATTTCACAATGTTTTATTATATTACAGAACAACATTTTAGAATAGCTTGTGCCAGTTAAAATGGCACCTCCCTTAAAAGTATCGGCATCGTGTAAAAACTTACACTATTTTCTCACTTTATACATGGCCACAATATAAAAAATACTTGTGTAGCCCAATATATATATTTACATAATCATCTAAGTAACAATTTCATGACTGACACATATCCTTCAACAAGACCAGGATACACACGATAAAAGCGATAAATCAAAACATTTATTTGTACCTAGTCGAACAAAAAATAATTGAATATTTGAAAAATATAAATTTATAAGTATATCTTATTTGAATACAAGACTTAAACATTAATTTTAACATAAGAGATTTATTGTTCAATTTCTCCACTTTCCATAAATATGAAAAATACAAGAGAAAATAATATTAGTATTGAGAAATAAACTAAATATTAAACACTTCTCAATATGTTTTAACTTTCAATCGAAGATTTTTTATAACTGTTCATACACCAAAGTGTCAAACACAGCATAATTTTTAAACAGGTATTTATGATGATGATGGTGACAATCATCTGTCATCACCATCTTCATCATCGAGTTCATCAAACAAGAGACGTGTAAACATCAGTATGTACTAATTACAATTTTCTTAATTTACAACCCATGTTCACCTTCAAAATCATAAGTAAATATTTACAGATTTGTAATGTTTTATTACGCAAATTCATATTAACATCAGGATATTCGATTCTAAATATTGAGTCTGTCAGTTGGACATATATGTAATTTATACTAAACCAAACAAACTTATAGTTAACATTTTTCTCTCTATGCAGTGAAACATTTGGTTCGTTAATTTTAACCTGTGGATTAACAAAGTGTTCTAAGAGTTTCGATCAGAGTTTCCCAACGTGGGGGCCACGTCCAACAGAGGGCCAATTTAATTGTTAACTAATTCGAAAATGGACTCTATTAAAATTATAGGGAATTAATATTTTTCTATTCAATTTTTAAAATGTTTTGAAAATATACTTACTGTTTCATTAACAATTTTCTAGTGATTTCTTTTGAAAACTTATCGTTAAGGGACTAGATCAGAGTTTCCCAACGTATGGCCCACACCCCACAGGGGGACAATTCAATTGTTAAGGGGGCAATTCGAAAATGGACTCTCTATTAATATTATATGGAGTATGAATTTGAATTTTTCAAATCAAAATTTCAAATGTTTTTAATATTTACATACAGTGTTTTATTAACAATTTTCTAATGATTTTTTCCGAAAATCTATCATTTAGGTTACTTAAGTGAACAATTCAATATTTTATTACTAAAAATTATGTATATAGGGGGGCATAAGAATTAGAGGAACGGCTAAGGTGGCGCATGACACAAGGGTTGGGACACACTGGTCTAGATTATTAGTTAAATAAACATTATTTAAAGAATGTGAAGAATCCTACTGTATTACATAGCTCATCTCCATGGTTTATTATTTACTTATACAATAAATGAACCTTCCATTAAACTAAGATTTGGAATAATAAATACTTTATTAATTAAATTTATTCATTTGGCCGATAAAATAGAAGTTATATAAGTAAGCTATATAATATGTATATACCATTACATAACTTCTCATCAGAATAAAAATATTATAGTATTTAACTGACGCAAACTAATTAAAAGCAATTTAATAATATTATTAAGTAATAAAGTAAAATTATTGGTGAAAAAATAAATCTCAACTTACATCAATAGCAATGAATATGTACAAAAACAAAATCCATAGACAAACAAACACTTTACTTGAGCTGCAAAGTTAAGTTATATACTCTATGGTCAAATTATTGAGTACTTTACTAGTTTATGTTAGTAGATTCCCCGTGTTGAAATCCCAGCAGTGTTGGGAAAGGGATGGTTAGTCATGTGGACTAATGAACCCGTTGCTAGCAATTTACCATGTCAGCTTGACCTCCACACCCCCTGGAATCATCGTGATAAATTCCTGGTGAATTTAACACGGGCAACTGACGTGACTTCATGATCATCTTATCAACTTCCACTGGTGCCTGCTAGCGTAAATCGTTAGCACAGACCATTCCATTAGGATAAATAAAAAAAAATGTCGCAGCAGCTGATAGTATGGTAGTTACCATTGCCATCAAGCAAAAAGTTATTTGACCGAGTATTAAAAAAAATTGAACTACCATCTTGCATTTTTGGTATATGAGTTAAATTTCTTTTTTTTTCTTAATAAAAAAATATGCAAACATTTATTAGAAATTAAAATAGCACAAGTTATAAATACTAAATTGCACACGTTAACTTAAAATATAAACACAATAATACGACTCATTGGAATTATTGGCATCTGAGGCCTATTTACATGGGGGTGGAAATAAAACCACCCCATCCACTTATGTTTATACTCGTTGTATTTTGCGGCGATGTCCGTGTGAATGTTGGTTAAAAATAATTCAAAACATGATCTATGTTGCTGACGTACTGGCCGTATAGTTTTATACTTCATAATTACATTGTATGTACACAATACAAGGCCTATGTCCAGCAGTGGACGTCTTCCGGGCTGCGATGATGATGATGATGAATTACATTGTATGTTCTATTAAGAATTTTGTATACCAAACGATTTAGTGTCTAATAAAAAATGTGATAGACAACAATCTATGTGTGTAAATTTCATTCGAATATGTCCAGCCGTTCAATAATGATTGAGTAATATAGGTATAGACTAAAATTTATAATATAGAAAGGCGACATGAGTGATTTAGAGACAACTTCAATTCGTTCTGTGTCGATTACAGTGGTGTATATATATACTTTTTGCACTGTATATCAGTTGTATAGTATATTAATTGAATTTGTATAATACGAGAAACGTGTGATTTATACTAACAATAAAAAAAAGGAGTTCGATGAAACAATGTCAATAAAATTTTATCCTCATGATTTCATATATTTTATAAATATTTTAAATTTTTGATATGACCTTCATCAGTATTTCTTTTTGGATTTTGTCACTATTAGCCCAGCATTTAATATACAATTTTATAATTCTGATTAAAAAAAGATATAATTGCAATAACATTCAAATTGTAACTCCTAAACTCATCCCACCGCTGGGCTGAAGTGGGTGAAACACTACTGCACTAATATTTGTAGACACCTCTATTTCATATACAACACAAAATAGATCTCGTACAATCACAACCTGTTCACTTAAAGCATGATGTTCATCTATTTTGTGCCAATTTCATATTATTGCTTCATGCAAATTATAAATAATATTGTCTATAACAAATTGACACTGTACACTAATTAAAGTATTTACAAAAATATAAAGTTAGTAAAACTACTAACGTAATAAATTTTAAGCTATAGGGCCGGTAAAAATGAAAATTTATAATACTACAGAATTCTGACAACACTCGAGTTGCGATGAGCAATTTAATATATTTTTAATGTTCCATTTACACTGCACATGTACGTCACTAGGTTTGAGAGGACGCTCTCACATATAATTATGAATTTATTTCAGTCACGTCACAGTTTTCAGTCGGAGAGTAGATCGCATGCGTTAGCGCCTGCAAGTAGTGGCCCTAATCGAGCAGGAGCGCGGGCCGAGCCGAGCCGAAGCGCGTGCCGACCCCGTCCGAAGCGAGCCGAGCTTGGCCGAGTCGAGTCGGAGCCGAGCCTAGCCGAGTCGAGGCGAACCGAGCCGAGCCGAAGTTAATGGCAGGCGGCGGCGAGCAGCGAGCGGCGTAGTGCTCTCACAGCTCCGTGCAGCCGCAGCGCCGGCCCGAGCCGCAGCCGCAGCGCCCCGGCCAGCTCCTCGCAGGACGCCATCACCAGCTCCGCGCCGGCGATCCGAGCGCGCGTCGCTAACTCGCCGGCCGCCTCGCCGCCGATGCGCGATACTAGCGTCGCCACCTCTCTCTGTTTGTGCGGATATGTTCTATTAGACTAGTCATTAAGTTAGGCTAAGTTTAGTAATAATTTCGATTGTTATATAATACTAATTTTTATTGTCCCTAGCTTTAAATTAGTGCAGTAACTCAGTAAGCCCATCGAAAGGCTCAGATCCCGGTAGCCCATCCGCCAATCGAGAGGCTCAGATCCAGTTACCTGGGTGTTATCGCTTCCGGAGCAGATGCAAGGGGATCGGAGCAAAGGGGTTCACCCTGAATACCCAACTATCACCCCCCTAGGAAAGTATGGATGATTTGTGTCATGTCACGTTAGATTAGCCTTGTCCTCATCCAGAGTATGGAAAACTGTAGGCCGTAAACATTTATTTTACGTGATATATAGATATAACGTAAAATAAATGTAAAATCACAAACTCTCGGTCGGGATGTAAAATATCATAATTATAGATAAATATCAAATTGTAATAATGATAATAATCTATTTTATTATATAATAATTGTAATATAATAAAATAGATTATATAAAAAAACTAAACATGCAGCTGACCTCAGTCCAAAGCGTGGGGTCCTCCGGCAGGTCGAGGTCGGCGAAGTACCGCGCGAGGGGGAAGTGCGGCGAGCGGGGCGGCGGCGGGGGCTGACGCGGCGCGGCGGGCGGCGCGTGGGCCCCGGAGGCGCCCGTGCCCCCCGCGGAGGTGGCGGGCGCGGCGGACGACCGCGAGTAGGTGCGCAGCGCGTGCGAGGGGGCGAGGGGCTCGCTCCCCCGCCACCGCTTCCAGCCGCCGCTCGATACGGACTCGTCGTCCGACGCCTGCAGCAAATACATTAGCTGCCTTTACTCGTACGCTCTTTCGTCTCTCTTATGCGAGAAAGAGTGAGCACGTAAAGATAGAGAGAACGAGACAGTGCGAGCGCGTACAATGCGCTTGGGATATATTTTGTACTATATCTAGTATAATTATAATCACTGCAAAATAACAGACATCTATTTAAGTATGGAGCAAATGGCTAATTATAGAATTATTGTACATGTCTACATTTCTCTTCTTTTATTTTGAAAGACACGTTTAAAATTTATAAATCACTAATAATATAAAAAAATATATAATGTCATCATATTAAACACATTCACATTTCATTTACAACTTGTCATTTCTCTTTATTAAAATAATAGTAAATATATAAAAATCAACATTGTTTTATTTAATTTATTAATCACACATATGCAAATTGTAAATATTTCAACAGAAACTTTATTCAATTGATGATCAGATAATCATTTTTTCTTAACAGCTTTTTAAGAATAACAAATACTAAAAAAATGCTTGAGTTAAGTTTCAGTTGCTTTTATTTGAGATATTTTATTTATTTTTAGGGATGACATATAATACGTATTATATATTTTGCGGGAGACTGTACTTACCGGATCGTTTTTAGTAACTTCATCCACTCGCTTGTGCTTCGGTGAGTCTAAAGCATATCCTGGATCTCCTAAAAAAAAACAACATATTATATACTATAATATTAATATTTATTTACAAAAAGTATTATTTCATTAAAACACAGCACAATAACTGTTGTGGTCTATGTTTCTAAAAAAAACAATATTGTTAATATTTAATCTGTCAATATAAGTAAAGAGAAATATAAAAAGTTAATTAAATACGTACTTCTCTTTGGTATCGCTAGTTGGAGTACTGGCGTGTTAATTTATATAATTATATTGATTTAGACGTCTTTTAATTTATATTTCACTTACCAATTATATATTTAATTAATGGTATTGTTTTCTACAGTAATATCTCTTCTTAATTTACGTGCACTCTGAAATAAAAGAATAATTTAATTGTAAAGTGCCGGAGGTCATCATCAGACGCATACTTGTGGTTCTTATGGACCATATATATTTGACTATATCATATGGTATGGTACATGGTACCAATAACAGTTGTTAAGCAAACCTTTGCTATCCTTTACTCAGATGTCCTTGGAATTTTATATATGTATTTACTTATATGATTGATTACTTATAATGTTGGGATGAACTACCGCTGTGTTGTTCATTTTCGATACCTGATTAGTTCGAGCATATTACGCACCAAATCTTTATTTAGATTATAACGATTCATTTTGATTGGATTGGTCGCGGCGTCTTTTCACTTTCCTTACTTATTTTTCGGAATCACATAACTTCGAGTTCATCACACATAATTAAAATTAAAACGAAACAAAAACAATCGAAATAACTGCACAAACATGTTATAAACATAATAAAAACTGTCATAGAAATAGAAATAATAACCAAATTACAATAATGAAGCTATAAATTAGAAAACAATTCTATAAAAGGGCCTGAATTGTTTTTAAACGGTCTTTTTGACAGTTGCGTCCGCTTAGATCTGTCAAATGAAACGCTCATAATACGAAATAGCCGGTCAGTTTTCGGGCAGAAGACGTTCAGCTGTCACGTGACCGCTGACTGGCTACGCCAGGCAAGTTTAAGCCTGCGCGGCGGCGAAATCGCCAGGCAGTTCAGTTTAAGCCGTAAACTGAATGGGAATAAGAGTTCATAATACGGCCCCAGGCCTTGAGGAAATGTCCGGGGCTTATACTTATTTATAATGTTGGGATGAACTACCGCTACGTTGTTCATTTTCGTCTGATTAGCGAGGCAGGCTACGATTCAGTAGCCGGCTGAAGGAATCATAAGGCGGATTGACGTCGTTAGCCGGGCCGGGCCCGTCACGAATGGCGTGATTACCAGATGGAGAGTGCGGATGCGCGGTGCGCGCGCTGCGCGCGCGAGCGCGGCAGGGCGGTCGGCGGGCTGCAGGTGGGGCGCGAGGCGGTCGGGCGCGGGGTGCGGGCGGCGGGAGGGGGGGGCCGGGCCCGCGCTGTACGTACCTGCGCGAGCGCGGCAGGGCGCGGTCGGCGGGCTGCAGGTGGGGCGCGAGGCGGTCGGGCGCGGGGTGCGGGCGGCGGGAGGCGGGGGCGGGCCCGCGCTGTACGTACCTGCGCGAGCGCGGCAGGGCGCGGTCGGCGGGCTGCAGGTGGGGCGCGAGGCGGTCGGGCGCGGGGTGCGGGCGGCGGGAGGCGGGGGCCGGGCCCGCGCTGTACGTACCTGCGCGAGCGCGGCAGGGCGCGGTCGGCGGGCTGCAGGTGGGGCGCGAGGCGGTCGGGCGCGGGGTGCGGGCGGCGGGAGGCGGGGGCCGGGCCCGCGCTGTACGTACCTGCGCGAGCGCGGCAGGGCGCGGTCGGCGGGCTGCAGGTGGGGCGCGAGGCGGTCGGGCGCGGGGTGCGGGCGGCGGGAGGCGGGGGGCGGGCCCGCGCTGTATGTACCTGCGCGAGCGCGGCAGGGCGCGGTCGGCGGGCTGCAGGTGGGGCGCGAGGCGGTCGGGCGCGGGGTGCGGGCGGCGGGAGGCGGGGGCCGGGCCCGCGCTGTACGTACCTGCGCGAGCGCGGCAGGGCGCGGTCGGCGGGCTGCAGGTGGGGCGCGAGGCGGTCGGGCGCGGGGTGCGGGCGGCGGGAGGCGGGGGCCGGGCCCGCGCTGTACGTACCTGCGCGAGCGCGGCAGGGCGCGGTCGGCGGGCTGCAGGTGGGGCGCGAGGCGGTCGGGCGCGGGGTGCGGGCGGCGGGAGGCGGGGGCCGGGCCCGCGCTGTACGTACCTGCGCGAGCGCGGCAGGGCGCGGTCGGCGGGCTGCAGGTGGGGCGCGAGGCGGTCGGGCGCGGGGTGCGGGCGGCGCGGGGGCGGGCGGCTGCGGAACGCGGCAGGGCGCGGTCCGCGCTGGGGTAAGCGGACGGGCGCGGGGTGCGGGAGCGCGGCGGGGCGCGGCTGCGCGAGCGCGGCAGGGCGCGGTCGGCGGGCTGCAGGTGGGGCGCGAGGCGGTCGGGCGCGGGATGCGGGCGGCGGCCGCGGTACGGGCACGCGGTGGCGGCTGCGTGCTGTTTGTGCGCTCCGCCACGTACTGAGCCCAGTCCTCGGCACCCTCCCACGCCGCACGGGCCCTCCACAGACAGCTCCTCCGCCGCTGTGAACACCATGCGGAACATTACACTCGGCTCACATTAATTTCAATCGAGATGACCACGCCGACGACATGCGATTGGTGAATTTCCAAAGAGGGCGGGGCGTAGAACTAATCCGCTAATTCAGAGGTTCTCAAACTTTTTTGTGTCGAACCAAAACGAAAACCGAAAAATATGCCAAGGGGTCTATTCTATATTTTTCGGTTTTGGGTAGACCCCCCATTCTTACCTGGTATTGATTTTTTGTAAATTTCTAACTGTAGTAAAGTTTAGTGTTAAAAACATAAAGTAAGAGCAACAAGATGTCCGCTGTTGTAGACCCTTTGCAGTTTGTCATAGACCCCTGGGGGTCGATATAGACCACTTTGGGAATCACTGCGCTAATTAAACTGCGTCGTCCGGATATTAATTCTAGGTTTGCATTAAAAAATATTTTGCGACAATTACAAAAGCAATCAATGGCTTAAAATTATGTCTTTTTTGTGATTTCTTATGCCTAGTATGCCACGTTTTGCTCCGCACGATAAACAATATCATCCGGTATAGAAATTTAATTATCGCAGCATTTTTTAGTATTAATAAAGTAACTAAATTCTGAACTAGCTCAGGAATTCTAAGTAACTGAAATAATCCCAAGGATCTCGGGTATTACATCGTATCTGTATTCCCACGCTAAAAGAAAACAAATCATTGAAACCTTCAGACATATGTTCACAAAATAACCATGGCTAACGCTATAAGTAGGTAATATTATGTTTAATTGTTCAACAGTACACTTTAGTTTTTTTTTTGTTATGTCACAAAAAAAAAACAACTATTTAAAAGTACTTATAAATAGATAGATAAGCGCTCTACGACGAGATCCGGGACAATTTTGTATTGAGGGCTTTGGGCTATTGTCAAGTGCTTAGAGCTGTAGCACTGCACACACATCTATTATGCTAGCCTTAATAATCCAAAACTAACTTGATATCTTAATTAAAGTGAAGAATTAATATATGACTCACTGAGTGGCGGCTCGAGCGGGTGTCCTGTCTTGAGGCACCATCCGACTGGGTGTATGTCGGGCGAGTCGTCGTCCATCCAGGCGGAGAGGTCGTCGGGCCAGCCGTCGAACGATACGCGCACCTGGTGGCCCTTCACCTCGCTTATGCTCGCCACGCGGATCAGGAACGGCACCTGGCACAACACGCACGCTAGTAGTATATAATAAATGATAATGAATGACAACTGTCATAGACTACATTTACAATACCTGTTAGCAATAGTTAATTCCAATACATATTAGAAGTTACAAGTTGCACCTGTGCTTGTAAAATATACAATACACCACTATTATAGACTACATTTCCAATTCCTGGCAGCCAGTTACATTAGCAAATATATAATTATGAATTAAATTCACTACTGTCTTTTGCAAAATGCCGCTTATTTAATACGTACAAATGTCCACAACCGTAAAAATAATTAAAAAGAGTTTCAAATTTGTTTTTTTAAAGTTCACGTAAACAAAACTATTTAAACATAGATATTTGAGTTAAATTTTATGTTACTGTTACTATGGATCTGAGATACTGGCTATTTACAAACAATCGGTATCATGAAATAGATAATATTGTGTGATAATAATGATAAGAGATTACATTTGACATGATAGTTATATATTTAAAACATATAATATATATAATATGCTCGTATCATCGACAGTAAAAATATTGTCTATTATAGAAGTTCTTTTAATTAGATAATAATTTATGGTCTATGATCTATAATTTATGGTTGGGAAAAACTTGAGTATAATAATGGCGCAGAAAAGTCAACCATGTGGTGACGGAATAAGAACACTTTTTAATTATCAGGACAAGAGATAGAGGATAATGTTATAAATACATACGTAATATACATAGAAACCACTCAGACCAATACAAACAATCACGTTCATGGATACAAATGTTTGTGCCGTGCGAGGAATCGAACCTGCGACCGTCGTATCGTTACAATAATTACCGAAAAAAATAGAAGATTTAAAACATAGTTACCCTGGAATCAACAACTTCCAACTTCATGCCGGGTTTGAATCCCTGGGGCGGGCGTGTCTTGAACGCTCTCGGGGGCGCCGCAGACGCGCCCGTGTCCGACAGGTAGCTCTCCCATGAGAACTCGTCGGGGTCCTTGTAAACTGTTGAACAGAAAAATAATCTTATATATAAAATTCTCGTGTCGCAGTTTTCGTTCCCATACTCCTCCGAAACGGGTTCACCGATTCTCATGAAATTTTGTGAGCGTATTGAGTAGGTCTGAGAATCAGCCAACATTTATTTTTCATCCCACTAAAGGTTAGGGGTAGTCCACCCCTATTTTTTTTATTTTAAGGCAAAACAACGTTTGCCGGGACAGCTAGTATATTTTATAAATATGAGAGTGTAGAGGTTTTTTTTTGTGCATGATAATGGAATGGTGCACCCGCCTGCGCTAACGGTTTACACTGGTGGGGCACCAGTGGAGGATGATAAGATGAGCATGAGGTCAGGTCAGTTAACCCAGTTTCCAGGGGGAACGGCGTGGAGGTCAACCTGACATGGTACATTGCTAGTAATGGGTTCATTAGCCCACATTACTAACAATCCCATTTCCCCCCGAGTGTAGAGGTTGTACCATGTCAGGTTGACCTTCACGTGGTTGCTCCTGGAAACCATCGTGATAAAGTTCAAGTGAATTTATCACATGGGCTGACCAGACCTCATGTTCATCTTATTATACTCCACTGGTACCCCGCCAGTGTAAACCGTTAACGCAGGTGAGTGCACCATTCCATAATCATCTTATTACTTAAAAGTATAAAAAATAGATAATATTCTCCAATCTCTCATTCTCTCATTCTCCGTAAACTAACACATATAAAATTTAATAAAAATAGGTTAATCCGATTTGGAGAAGTGTGGGAACTAATACTGACACCACAAATATATATAACAAATCCTTGCTTCCTTACTTCTAAATATATATAACTCAAAGGTGACTGACTGACATAGTGATCTATCAACGCACAGCCCAAACCACTGGACGGATCGGGATGAATTTGGCATGCAGGTAGCTGCTATGACTTAGGCATCCGCTAAGAAAGGATTTTGATTAATTCTACCCCCAAGGGGATAAAATAGGGGATGAAAGTTTGTATGAAACTTTGTCAATTTTAAACCGATCGGGCTGAGACTTTGCATGCATAAAGCTACTATGACATAGGCATCCCCTAAGAAAGGATTTTGATAAATTCCACCCCTAAGGGGATAAATTAATGCGAGCGAAGCCGCGGGCAAAAGCTAGTAATATTATAAATTCGAAAGTAACTCTGTCTGTCTGTCTCGCTTTCACGCCAAAACTACTGCACCGACTTCAATAAAATTTGGTATACAGATTATTTGGTATATAGAGTATAGTCTAGACCCTGAGAAAGGACATAGACTACTTTTTAATGCGAAGAAAGGGTTGTAAAGGGTTGATAGAGGAGATGATACGTTCTATGGAAGTATCGTCATTTTTAAAGCTAGAAGCTTGAAACTTATTTTTTAAGATTTTGAATATTAATATGACATTTGTATGAATTTTACCCATATAAAATAAAATAGGGTGAAATGGAAATTCCTCATTCGTCCTCTATTTCTTGCGAACGAAGTCGCGGGCATGGCTAATATACAATAAAATCACAAACAATCTTTACATAGTACAAAACAAAGTCGCTGTCGCTGTCTGTCCGTCCCTATGTATGTTTAAATATGGTGCGTCGTAAACAGACAGTCTTAGGAGCGGTGGTTTCTATCTTCTCAGGATAGAGTGTATACTTTCCAAAGGAGATGTTTAAACTTCAGAGACACATAAACTACTTGCAATAATATCAATAAACTTGTTAAATCTAATTCCAACTTCATCTCCTCTGATCGATCCCCCGTCCTATTCATTACGTTTCATTCAATTTCATTATTCATCGAAATTACGACGGGCGAGCTAAGGTCCGAACCCCTAGCGGTGCCCTCAGACTAGACTGCGACTCAGAGTTGGCCTTCAGCCGCATAAGTCCTTCCGCGGATTTGGAGTGCCATCGCCCTCCATCGTCCGGTGAAGCTGTAAAGGCCAGCTGCGAGCAACATAATAAGATTTTTTTTATGTTCAGTGCAATGTAACTCTAATTACATAGTGGATTACTATAATTGGCTAAGATTAGTAATATAAGCTGTTGTTAATCCAAACAAAATAAAATAATAAAAAAAAAACAGTATTAGAGTAGTTCGAAAAAAAATCTTTCTTTATATGAGTAAAAAACATTATTAATATATATTTAAATACATGTAAACTTACATGCGTTGTTTTTCTCTTTGTGACAGTCGGGCATAAACTACAGATTGTTGGTCATTGCTCATCGAGTCGATAAATATACAATCGACGCTATGAACAATATCCAACAACTGCTACAAAAACGAGCAGTTTCCTTAAATATGAATCACCAGGATACACATATATATAATTAACTATTTGGTCGTGGTAGGTAACTATAAATATACAATTTACATGTATATATCTATATATATTAAAAATATCGCTTCAAAATCCGTTGCGTAGTGTTTTAACATTTAAGCATACATAGGGACGGATAGACAGCTACTTTGTTTTATACTATGTAATGATAAGAGGTAGACAATGAAACAGAACGTTGAAATCCTGGACATGTGTTGTTTAACAGAACCAACTAGCGTATACTAACATGACTAACATATTTTACGTACGCAGATAACGTAATGCGACCAACGCGTTAAATGTAAAACATAAACAAATACATCTCGATGTTCTTGACATTATATAATTACGTCCCGACTCGGCGCGTAAGGCAATTGAATTTATCACTAGCTGTACCCGCGACTTCGTCCGCGTGGAATTTAACTGTATTTTTCTAAAATAAATGTAGCCTGAGTTACTCTTTGTTATATCAGCTACCCGTCAAAATCGGTTTTCAGAGATTAGCCGGAACAAACAGACAGACAGGCAAAAATGGTACAAAAATGTTATTTTGGTGTATGTACCGTATTTATATTCATATGCATGTAGTAAAAAACGGTTATTTCAATATTACAAACAGACACTCCAATTTTATTTATATGTATAGACTAGCTGTACCCGCGACTTCGTCCGCGTGGAATTTAACTTTATTTTTTTTAAATAAAAGTCCCGTCAAAATTGGTTTAGCCATTTCAGAGATTAGCCGGAACAAACAGACCGACAGATAGACAGACAAAAAATGTAAAAAAGAATATTTTGGTGTATGTGCCGTATTTATATTCATATTCATGTAGTAAAAAACGGTTATGTCAATATTACAAACAGACACTCCGATTTTATTTATATGTATAGACGTATAAATTAATTTCAATATATATACTTGTTAACTACCATAAAATATGATAGTTTATATGAGTTCATTGTAATGTGCATCTCCTAGAGTTTATTAGAGATTCATATAAATAATGGAGGATTTTTTATAAGCATAGAAGTATATTAAAAAAAATTTTTTTATTATATTATTAAAAATATAACACATTTTATGTTACTCGCTGGTTATTAATTTTCTATGAGAATAAGATTTTTTTTGTCTTTTTTATTTATCCAGGAAAATAAATTTAAAACTTTGTATAACCTATATTATATATACATATACACATTGTTATGTACTATAATATTGCAAGGGTCTCTTAATAAAAAAATCAAAAAGAATAAATTTCTTCTAACAATAAATTTTAGTACAAAAAAAAATATTTTTAAGTTTAAAAAATACTTCAGCAATATGAAGGTTGTTGCTGCTTTTTTGCAATAAATTTAATAATGTTTGGGTTGATGTAATCTCAAATGGAATTCCACTCTTTATACATAAAAATTACGTGTCACGTTGTTTGTCCGCGATGGACTCCTATACTTCTGAACCGATTGCAAATTTGATTTGCACATTGTGTGCAATTTGATTCAACTTGAAAGATATGATAGCCTACATATCAATTTATAGACGCAATATTATTTTATTGCAAATAGCCACAGCAACGGGTGGCCGGGTCTGCTAGTTAAAATATATTTCTGTATTTGTTTTTTATATACATGAGCAGAGAATGACCTTACGAGGAGGTCTATGCCGTGCTAAGTGCTTAAAAAATTTGATGGCATTTATTTATTAATTCAAAATATCCATAGACAATAATAATATCTTAGGACAATTCACACAACACCAATCTAGTCTCAAGCTAGGTAGAACTTATGTTATAGTTACTAGACAACTGATATAAATACATAGATACATTTCTTTTTCTAAATACATACCCAGACCAAACAATCATACTCATAAATATAAATGTTCATAATGTGGGAGAAATCGAACCCCCGACCATCGGAAATAAAGCAGTGTACTAAACCACTAGATCACCGAGGGCGTCAATAGATAACACAGCTGACCAACACATCCGTTAAGGTTAAAAAACTCTGGTTTAGATAAGCAAAGAGTTACTTACAGTTGGGCGGCGTCAGTGATATGCCGTTTTCTTCCGCCCAGCCCACAGGATGGATATACGGTGATGTGGGATCGACCCAGTAGTCGTACATCTCGTCCCAGCTGTCGAAGTTGATCAGCATCCGGTTGTCCATCATATCCGTAATGGTGGCTACGCAGACCAGCTCGTTCTTCCGGTCCTCCGCCTCGAGTTTCATCCCGATGCGGAAGCAGTTTGGTTTGAAGATCTATTTGAAAGAATATTTTTATATATTAATACAGTATTGTCTATATACGTGAAGCAAAAACCTTTTTACAATATTTGCGCGAACGGAAGAGTATGAAATTTCGCACACTTATAGTTTAAATAGAGATAAGCAACGGGTGCAACATGTTTTTTTTTCTATTAAATTATGCCTACGAAATACACTAAATTAATAAAAAAAAACTTTACACACTATCGTAACTGACACCTATTGCGGCATTGCTTATTGTTAATATCTGTGGTTCAATTTAGAATAAAAATTTTAAATACATATTAACATTGTATTTAAAATCATTTGTCTATAGTCTTATTGAATGTCAAAGACAACTATAATAATAATAAATGTGTGTGCATGGCAATAGTTGTTCATGCACTGAATTTTCATTTAATGTTAGACATAGACACCTATATAAATATACATTGTAAATAAACTGGCTTTAAAAAAAAAGTAATTCAATTGATTTTATTGCCAGTTCTTCTCAATTGGATCTATATACCGAACTGGATGGTAGGAAAAAAAAAAATAAAATTAGAATGTAAAAATTTGATGTTCATAAGCGGCTAAAATGTCCTACATGAATAAACGATTTTTGAATTTTGAATAAATTAATTAATATTATTATAAATTATTAAATATTAGATTTTTAAACTAAGTGTGGATTTTAAAGTAATTTCTAACATTGGGCGACCTGTAGTACTTATAAATAGTATATGACGGTTACCATCAGGTTTATGACATTCAAATTACATAAAAAAAACTATAGTTTTAGTATATTTATCTATATTTAAAGTGTATGTATGTGTATATACTCATACATGTATATAATATTTTTTTTACTGTATATTTATATAATATATATATGTCTTGTATAGTTATTTATATGTATTAGTAAATTTAAAACAGCTGTCGCTAATACCCCACGACGCTTTCTGTTTATATCCTAAGGTCAGCTGGGAGAGAATGCATATGGCATTAAGCTCGCCTGTTGTACGAAATTTTTTTGGTCAATAAAGAATAAATAAATAAATAAATATTTACCGTATTAGTGATATGTGGGAACAGATGCCTGGGCGCAGCGATCGCTCGCATATGTTTTAAGTACAACGGCCAAGAAAATATAGAGGCATTATAGTTGGCTGGTGGTTTTAATGTGCGACCATTCTTCTCACACCAGCCCGGAGGAAAGATGTCTATCGAATCCGAATTTACCCAGTAATCATGTAAATCCGGATATCCGTCAAAGTGGAGACGCATCCGGTAGCCCTGCACTTCCGCCACAGATACCACGCAAAACATCGACGGATGTTGCGGATCTATCGCCTCAAGCCGCATCCCAACCTTGAACCCATTCCGCGTTTGATACGGGAATGGATCTTTAAACAACTTTACGGGGGCTGCCTTCGCTTTACAGATATCAAGGTACCGCATCCACGAGAACCCATTCTTGCCACACATCCAAGGATACTTCTCATTCTCCATGTCATCGCTCAATTTTATAGTATCATCGCTGTGTATATCACCAGAGTCATAATGTTTCGATGCTGTTTTGTCATCCTTGTCTTGCAATGTATCAGTATCCCACCATTGCTTCTTCATAAGTATTTTTTTCATTTTATTCCTCTTTTTATTCAATTCTGCTCTCTCTTTATCCTTTTTCTTTTGTAAAATTTTCTGCACATCACTTTGACACGCTGAACTGCAGAAGTTGGGATTAATGAAATCTGCAGCCATACCGTGACATCCACAACCATCACAACGGTACATATCCTCAGGGGAGTTAGGTTTTTTGTCCCTAGGATTTCTTTCAACACGCTGCTTCAATGGTGTATGGTACTTGACATTTGAATTAGCCAATACATCCTCTTGGTCACCCCTATCAACTATATCAATGAGACCAAATTCATTTGTGCGAAATTGTATTTTACTACCCTGCAGTATACCGATTCCATTATTCCAAATTATACCAGGAGGATCCTCTTCCATAGTGGTATTCAATTTATTTTGGACACCAAAATCACTTTCTTTCTCAACAATTGTGTCTTTTTTATAATATAGCTCATCATGATTGTTTGCTTGGATATCCCTCTCAGTATTAGGCTCAGTTTTCACCTCTTTATAATCTTCGTCAGAATCGCCTAAGTTGACTTTAGCTTCTAAATCTTTATCCAATTTTTCATCACAAAACAAAGATGGAACTCTGTGATCATCATTATTGTCAGATTCATGGTTGTCATCTGTTTTTTCAATTTTTGGTTGAGGCATAGACAAATTAATCTTCTTGTTGGATAAGTTTTCGTTACAAAGTGAGATACGTCTTTTGAGATTTGCATTAGCAGTTTTTCTGTCACTGTTATCTGAATTGGACCTTCTCAATATTGCAGGAGCTGCAATGGTAACTGGGCCCATATCATTTCTATCTAAAACATTCTTGTTTAATAAACTTTTTCCCTTCTCTGGGATAGCCAAAGTGAATGATTTTTCTCTAGTCTGTCCCCCTTCATCATCGGCGATTGAGACTGTAAAAATGTCATCATTCATTGATGCATTTGTCTCTGGTATAGACAAAGTATACTCTCCTTGTTCACCTGTCGGTTCGGCTCGTGATCCAGATATTGAAAAAGTGTATGCTTTCTCACCTTTAGAGTTTTCTGATACTGAGTTCTTGTCTTTATTGTTACCACCAGTTTTGCCTAACGGGTGTAATGGTGGTATTTCGGTATTTTCCATGGGCGTAGGATCCCTCATTACAGTAATATTCCCCTGAGGATCATTTTGTATCTGACCATTAGCAATTTGGAGATTTATAAAGGGCCCTTTTGATGCCATAGTGGCTGGCAAAGTGACAGGAAGAATAAATTTTGTATTCTGCATTTTTGGCATATTCATTGGAGTTAGGAAGAGTTTTTGATTCCCTGATGGGACATTTGACTGGTTATTGGATATTAAAATTGATTGGTTATCATTCAATGACTTGGTACTCGGCTTTTTTACAGAACTTAGATATGCAATTGCTTGCTTGCTTTGATTTCCAGGAGCAATGCTTACTGGCACCATCATTTTATCATTTGATTTTGGTTTTTGTATGACAATAGGCTGTGTGGCATTAACAGGAGCTAATATAGAAGACTTGTTTTGGTTGGGCACCTTGGGTGCAATATTAGGTTTGTTGCTAACGTTTGATATCAAGATATTGTTGTTACTGGTAACCTGAAATATTAAAATTATAAACCCATATTATAACAAATTTGTACTATAAATAAATTTAATAATAACCAATAAAACGATAAAAAATCATATTATTAAATTAGATGGATGTCTGTTACACACATTATTTTATATTGTAGATTAAACCTTAAATAATTAATATTTAAATGATTTTCAACAAAAGTTTACTTTGTTCACCCACCCTATTTTCAGAGTAATTCGATAAAGATGCCTTTATTTCTGTACTATTATACATTATTATTATTTATTTTTTTGTTACATTCAAATTCATTAATATTATTATATTATACTATAAATTTATTTACATATATTTTTTACTATTATTATTTGCAAATTTGTTAAGTAGTTTAATTTTCTATTTCTATTATTAATTTCATTATCTCTATTATACTTTGTAATTACTCTGAATGGATTTCTAATTAAGAATGAAATATTTTAATACTTGTTAGATAATTAATAATTAAATTTATTATTGTTAGTATTAGTTAGTAAAATACTAGATTAATCTTATGTGTTTTAATATTAAAATAATATTTTTCTTCAATGGTAAGTATTAAATTTGATTTATGTAGAACCATGTTTAATTGTGAATAAAAATAATTTATATAAAAGAAATATTTGTCCTTTAAAATAATGTGTGAAACATTAACAAATTATTCTCTAATATTTATGTAGTACTCACAGGTCTCCTTACTATAATTTGAGGTGGGTTGCCACTTGTGCTGGCCTGGCTGATAACCTCAGTACTGGTCACAGCTTTCAAACCCGTTGGGGTCTGGATGTACACCATGTGAGGGACAGGCCTCGCAGCACCCCTCAACTGGACAGTGCCCGAGTTGGTGTTTGGTAGCGCAAGTTGTATGGAGTTGTTACTTGTGTTTGGGATTTGAACAACTGGATTAGCACCGACATGGACTTGTGAAACTGATGTGGGGTTAGTCATTTTGACTTGGACCCCTGATGTGTCAGCCATCTGTAGCTGTGACGAACTGGAGACTGTTAAATCAGATGCCCCATCTATACTATTTGGCCTTGCATTTGAGCCCATATGGACATGAATAATGGAGTTATGGAGCGGCTGGTTGGTGGTTTGCAAAAGAGGCATAGAAGGTAGCGTTGGTGTGGTTAACTGAATATTTTGTGCCGCAGCAGGAATTTGGAGAGGCACATTTATAGTTTCACCAGCTGGTAATTGTACAGGCACACTGGTCGCCCCTGACACTTGAAGAGGAAGACTAACAGGGGTAATTTGCAACGGTACTGTATTTGTAGGGCCTGATAACTGAACAGGGACATTAATATTCGATGTGGAGCCTGGTATTTGCACAGGGACATGTACAGTGGACAGTTGGAGTGGATATGGGGCATTGTTGGTATGGATTTTCATAGGGGCAATGGAATGGGTGACCAAATTATGAGTAATTGGCATAGAGCTCTGAGGGGCTTGCACAGAGGACACAATCATGCTGCTTGGTATTGGTGCCTGAAATAGAACACGCGATGTGAGTACACAAAAGTTACACAGCACATAATTGTTTTAATTATTACACTTATTATAATTACAACTCACACGTAATGTATTCAATAGCACATTGTGTTGCGAACTATTTTGCGATAAATTGGTTGTGACGGGGGCGCTCGTAGATTTTAATAGTCTTTTTTTCAAAATTTCAGTTTTAGGATCATCAAAGTTTTGAAGTGAATTACATTGCTGTCTCTCCATTTCTTGATCCCGAAAACGTTATTGGAGTCATTACAGAAACTCAATTATCTTTTACAACCCATTACTGACGACCTGTAATGCATAAAAATAAAATATTTCGAAGTGAAAAATCACGAAGACGCACTTTTGTCACGAATTATTTTCTAATATCAATCCAAGTTTAGTTCAACACTCGTTATAATTTATTTTATTATGAAATATTTAAATTTTTCTTAGACAATTACTGGCATTTTTAATGTTCGTTACATTTTTCTTTCGCGAGGATCGCACTCGTATCAATTTGTGCAGCTACTTTTAGAGAATCACAACCTTCCTCAAAAAAGTTCATGAAACACTCAAATCTAAATTTCTTAGTTATGTTTACCTATTTCAATGTAAAAAGTAATTAATCAAGTATCACTCCTGCTATAACAATACCATTGTCTTATCGAAAACCAATAAAGAAAAATAAATTATTTTAATAAAGCGACGATATTTACTTGCTAGTACAACTGGTAATAATTTTGACAACATTGCCAAAAGGTAGCAATTTGTTACGTTGGTACTCTCGGAAATTTCAACCAATCACATTTAAGTGTTTACGTGACGAAGCTTTCGCGCCTCGCGCGCGTTTGATTGATTAATTAGTTACAAATTAAGTAAGTTTCTATTACAATACTTACCACACCATGTGTTTTTTAAACTACGGTTTAAACTAAAAATCAGTGAGTATATTGTAATTCCTACAAACATCTTAATTATTCTGATAGAGCAAATGGTAATAAATAAGATAATTTCTAGTAATATTATGCACATTATCATAATTGGTTGAATATTATTTTAATTAAAATTATTTTACATCTTAATTTTTTTATAACCGTTTAATTAAAATAGAATGAAATATTAAGCAACAAATAATATCATGTGAATTATAAAGAAAGCGCGCCAATCGTAAATTCTATTTATTTAATACAAATAAACTATACCTCTGTATTCTCTGTGGTTTTGTTTTGACCGTTATTAACCTAGATGCACACTATTGCTTATAGTACACTTACAGTAACGGTTTTAAAAATAAAATAATAATATGTATTATATTATTACTGACAGCATCGCATTTCCAACGTTTAAACATATTGCTTTTCTTACAATATTTGCCGGTACGATTTTCGCATCATACAAAAGATAGTAGTCATGAGTTTGGTTATTTACTTAGGTTTTTTAATAGATGATAGTGGAATGGCCAATCTCTCGCACCAACGAATTACACTGGCGGAGATTACCACACTCGTGTGATATTCTTATAATTCATACGCGTCTTATAATAGTAATTAGTAGTTCGACAATTATTATATGACAATATGTTCCATTTTTATATTATAATAATTTAAGTAAAAAACACAAACAAATCAGTGGATTGAATGGAATTTCATAAGAGAAATTTATTATATGCAGAATATAGTAACATTTTATATAAATACCAGCATTCCAACAGAGAACACGGTTTCAAGGTATCCAAGATATTATTAGCCATTCTTAAAAATAAATCTGCAGCTATATTTCTTACAACTGTCAAGGTGATATTTTGAGTATATTTTGTCGAGTTACAAGGTAATACACCGAGTGTATTTAGCAGTGACTATCAAATGTTTTCACATACTCTGTTTAATCAATGTAGAGTATGCATCTGTATAATTTAGCTTTTAGGCGTATAGTTTTGCATTACAATTCAGTTTTGTATCAAACTACACGCTCCTAATCAAATTCTTCTACTGATTGTAATCTGTTTTGTGTGCTAATAAATAAATGAGTTTTGGTTGATTACTTCATAAATAAATCAGTCAACCTATATTCATAACAGTTTAGATGAATACAATTTAGTTTGATATACATGTAAATCCCGCCTAATATTAATCCTAACAGAACAGAGTACCTCTTGATTTGACAGTCGGTCTACACTGACAGTGACATCGAACAAAACAATTATAAAATATTTCACTACTGTTGTGTATCAGAAATTTATACAAATAAATAAATAATTAACCTAATTAAATAGTTTTCACAGGAAATTGACTCTGTCTTAACCTTGTATAAATGCAATTTTACTATATCCAATATACAAAAATTGATTTCAATGAGATTGCACAGTGAATAATTGTGGCTGCGTATTTTTTGTCCAGGTATTAAAAGTCATCAATCATAAAACTATTAAATCCATAAATAATAAAAGAATAAAAACTAATATTTACCCAGTAATTGTATTTTCTTTTATTGAAATTAAAGTAATCTGGTTCTGTATTCGTATATAATACATGCGCATGATACAGTAACTATATCGTATTTTGACCAGTGAGAGGTGCCCTTTTTTTTGGCATTTATCAATAATCCTTTCATTTTGATATTGATCAATTCTAGTTGGCTATTAATTTGTTCAAACCGGGACGCCTATTGAGTCAAGGTTTGAGCACATTGAAAGTTTTTCAACACACATTAGAATGTTGGCAATAACAAAAGTGTACCTATTAGACATGGTTTGCAAATGTTAGCTTGCAGTAATCACTAAGATCAAGTGAATATAGCTTGCTGTAAATCTTGCTGTCTTGCTATTAATTGTGAATTCTTTTGATATTGTTCTAAAATCTAATATTGGATGGCAAAATTTAAACATTTGTTCAAACTTTGAACAATGTTCTAAGTTCAAATTCTCTGCCAGAGATTGCAACTATGAACTTGTGTTGTATCTATTTTGGCACTGGCTTGAATCTGTATAGAACTACATTCTATAGAGGTGTTTATGGTTTGTGAGGGGACAGAGTAATAATAATGAGTTTCTACTAATAATGATAATAATACATATGTACTTTCTTTTTAAATTTAGGGAATTTTGTACAATCTAAGTACATGCCAGTCCCATTGTACCCTAAAATTAATTACTCCATTACCTCACCAGTGTATAAATTCATTAGCCACACTGTCTGAAGGATCGGCTAAAACAGTTTATATGGCACCAACATCTAATATATTTATTCCATGGTCTGATGTTAAATACATATGTACTTCTTTTCGGAATTTCTTTCTCTCAAGCTATTTTTAGAGGCAATTTTTTCAATAAGGCTTGTATGCTTGTGTTAAAGATGAAGATATAAATATAATACTCTATATAGAGCTTGTACAGCTCTATATAGAGTATTATATATATATCTTAGTAGGTGATAGTGTGTAAAGTAGGTTTTTATTTAGTCAGTGGTTGTCATGAATTTTTTTTTTAAATGTTGAGAATGTATATAATGTTGGGTAAAATACATTATGATTCTAAATACACAAATAAATACATAGGGATATTGCCAACTATTACATATATGTTGTGTATACATATAAACATTTTATATTCACATATTTATATAAATAACAATAAGGTTCTGGCAAAGAATACTATCCAAACTTAAAATAAATTATTTCTCTATGACATTTATATTTGTACTTAGTGGCCCTGAGGGTCTAGACCAACTTACTTCCAATGGTTGTTGGTTTGATTCCTTGACATAAACATTTCTTCATTCATAATTTAAAAGCTGTGCTCTTGTAGGTGATGCTCCCGCCACCTTCCACAATGTTCTATCAGCCCTTTTAGCTGTTGATATGAAACAATTCCAACTTTTTCTTGTTCTAACATTTCTATTCATGATTAAGTTTGTTTGTATCGGTTTGGGTGTTTTTTTATAATAAGTATGTACTTATGTAAAAAAATGTATGCACATGCGTGCATAATACAAAATGTTTGTACCGTGCGAGGTATCAAACCCATGACCATCGGATAGTAAAGCGGTGTGCTAAACCACTAGACCACCGAGGCTGTCATTATTATTATTATTATACTATATTTAGGCATATAATGACCACTTTTATTTAATTTTACAATGTAGGTAATATTTAATATAATATATACTATTGGCTACTCGCCTCGTGTACATGTATTATATATATAAACCTACCTCTTGAATCACTCTATCCATAAAAAAAACCGCATCAAAATCTGTTGCATAGTTTTAAAAATTTAAGCATACATAGGGACAGACAGTGACAGCGACTTTGTTTTATACTATGTAATGATAATCATAATAATAATTTGAAAAATATTATTGCAGGTCCTCAAATGATAATTGATGATCACTACAGAAGATGAGTAGCCAGCATCAGTATATGATTGTGAACAATACCCCAAGTTCACGTGTCGGAGATATTGAACATATTAGTAAGTATGCAAACATCCAAATATCACTAAAGTTGTGTTAATATTTTCGAACATCACAATATAACTACAGTAAATGTTTTATTAATATTTTAACTGCTAAGTTAATTAGTATTCCAGTCTGAACATACATGTAGGAAGACTACCCAGTTGTCTCTTCCAGCCACATTTAGGGTGTATTGAACTCATTAAACTTGCTTTACAGGTTGAGATGTAACAATAACAAAAAACACAAATTTTGTTAGTTCATTATATCCATATATTTAAACAGTGATATCTTCCATCCACCCTTAGGATGTAGTGGAGTCATTAAACTTGCCTTACTGGTTGAGATATAACAATAATAAAAAACACAAATTTTATTAATCAATTATTCATATAGCTAAACAGACATCTTTTCCAGTCACCCTTAGGATGTAGTGGAGTCATTAAACTTGCCTCACTGGTTGAGGTGTAACAATAATAAGATGCACAGATATTTTGTTACTAAATTATGCTTATAGCTAAACAGCCATCCTTAGGATTGTGCCTTTACATATAATATTTCTGATATATTTCAATATTCTGTAATATTTCGAGATCTTTCCATTAGTACCTCTCCAGAAAATATAGATTTAAGTTAGATGTAAAGTCAGCTATGTCCCGAAACCGTATCGAATGTACGCGTTACTTGTAAGCCATGTAGGACACTATGTAATAAACCTACTTATGTACAATTATTTCACCGGTATACTCACTACCTAGATACTAGAATAAACGATAAATTATGTAGCGACACTTCATCACCAGCGTCATCGCTTCAGCATCTGCGACACCCATAACGCTACAGTGGTGATAACCACCGCCCTACAGGATGTAGTGGAGTCATTAAACTTGCCTTACGTCTTGTTAAGATGTAACAGTGTTCAGAAAACTCTGTGATATTAATATATTTAAAGGTTTTTTCTATTCTATAATCAAAAATATAAAAACAAAAAATTATATCACTTCTCTCTCACATTTTCTCTCTCTACCATCTTACCATTATTAAACAGTAATAAGATACACAGATGTTTTGTTACATTATCGCTGATATAGTGCTGGTAGGTGTTGCAATTTCCCAACGTTGTGCCCACGCCCCAAAGGGGCCCAATTTGATTGTAAAGTGACTCTTTATTAAAATTATGGAATGTGAATTTAAATTTTTCATTATACTTTGAAAATTTACTGTTTCATTAACAATTTCCTAGTGATTTCTTCTTAAAACCTATTATTTAAGTTTTTTAAGTAAACAATTAAATTTTTCTAATGTTATAAATTATGTATGTTACATGGAGTTAAAGGCATTAATATATTTATGTTAATACAGATCACTTGTCAGAAAACATAGGGTCCCTCTGTCTTTCATCCGAGTATTCGGATGTGACCCTAATAGTAGAGGGGCACAGGATCCCTGCCCATAAAGTGATCCTCGCTGCCAGCAGCGACTACTTCAGGGCCTTGCTCTATGGCGGCATGAGAGAGGCTAATCAGGTGAGACACTATGTATAATCTATACTCTATACATATAAATAAAATTGGAGTCTGTAATATTGAAATAACCTTTTTTTACTACATGCATATGAATATAAACACGGTACATACACTAAAATAATATTTTTTACATTATTTGTCTGTCTGTCTGTCTATTCCGGCTAATTTCTGAAATAATAAGGAGTAACTTAGGCTACTATAATTTAGAAAAATCTTTTTTTTTAGAAGAATGAAGTTAAATTTGTGCTAGCTGATGTAATAAGGAGTAACTTAGGCTACTTGTATTTTAGAAAAATAAAGTTAAACTCCATGCGGACGAAGTTACTTAAGGACGAAGTTAAATTACTGTAAATGTGTACAGGCAACACGTACCACTTACCATCAAGTACCCCGTGAGATTATTTGCTAACTACCTGTTCCCCTAACTTAACAAAAGTAGTTTGAAATAAAAATATTGAAATTACTGTTCACATGAACAGCACTACGTTTATCAAGTGATACACGTAATTTGTAATATCTATTATTTTATTTCATTATTATTTCAAGACAATACACACAGTGCCATCCAGACCTAAGTTAGCTAGCTAAAGCCTGTTTTATGGGTACTACATGACTGATACAAATACCATATATAATTGATTTTTCTTCGTAAATACATACATATATATATATATATATACAGGGTGTTCGGCAGATCGTTGAACATAGGAAAACGGGGAGTAGGCGAGATCGTCTCCTATCTATTCAGACCCGAAAAAGTTATAGGGGTTTAAAAGTTCAATAGTGATGAAAATTAAAAAATCATATTAAAAGTTAGATATGAGACGATCTCACCTACCCCCGTTTTCCTATGTTCAACGATCTGCCGAACACTCTGTATATAGAAAACACCGAGACTGACATAAACAATCATACACATGAATACAAATGTTTGTATCATGCGAGAAATTGAACTCGCGACCGCGATCGATCGGAAGTAAGATAGTGTGTTAAACCGGTAGACCACCGACCACCACACGTACCATCACCTTTAACAATGTGTGTAATGTTTTTAGGCCGAGGTGGAGCTCCAGGCACCGCTGCAGGCCTTCAAGGCACTTCTACGCTATGTCTACTCAGGTAAATACTTGGTAATGTGTGTCTAACAAGGGGAGGGCATGGTGTGGGAAATTCACTTCGGGACGAGACTCCGTGTACTCGTAGTTTCCCATAAGGGTATGCAAACCCTAAAGTATTGTTTCAGAATGGCCAGTAGTTTCGAAGAAATAATCCTTTGAAACTCCACGTGTAACTTATATACTAGTTTATTTTCATCACTACCATGAACGACATAATGGCCTAGTTAGCAGTGTCTCAGCCTACCATGTGGACGCTCAGGGTTCGATTCCCGCGATCAACATTTTTTTTTAAATTAATTATTCTAATAATTAAATTCATTTAATCGAGAAAAACGTTGTTTATGAATCTATGTCTAACATATAGAGAGAGCTATTAGTGGTGGGACATGGATGAATATATACGCACCGAGACTGTTTACCGGCGACAATGAACAGTATTGGAGTAGGTAGTTATTTTATGTACTTTCCATATACAGTTGCGTGGCTACCTAGGGGTTAGGCGGGGCAGTGCCCCGGAGCCCTCAAGCTGAGAGGCCTTCGAGCCCTTACCAGAAAATCTCGATAGAACTGAACTTTTGAAAATTTCTCCCATTTTCAAAATATGACAGGTGGCATTACGACTTTAATTATGGCAACTCAGTTTAGAGAAATTCGAAAGTTCTACTTTCGGAATTGCCCTAAATTCTTTCTGTGGGTTGGCAGTGTTGTCATTTTAATAAAACTGCGATGTAACTCAAAATATGGGGCGCCACTGCTCATCCGTGGGGCCCCATATTTTGAATTGCCTTTGGTTAACTAACTACGTCACTGTCCATTTGATAGAATAATATGGTTATTCTAAGAACTATAGACAAATAAGCAAACAAATTAAAAGATTAAGAAAATCTTCCAAAATTAATCAGATTGCCTTATCAAAATAATTAAAAGAAAAAGAATTTAATTTTGAAAAACAATTAGAATATTATGAAAATCAGTTATGGACTCATAAATTACAGTTTGATACAAATACTACAAGATTAATATTGCATATAAAAGAACTGGAAACATAATTGTGTGCTATTACTGAAAGTACTCACTTCCTCAGTTTCAAATATCAAAACATAATGTTAAGTAACCTTCACATGTCATTTCTCAGAACCTGTGTTCCAAATTTCATTTAAATCGGTTTAGTAGTTTTGGCGTGTAAGCGAGACAGACAGACAGAGTTACTTTCTGTCTGTCTCTAAAGATTAGTAGCATTATAATATGCAAACAGGTCACATGGGCCTGTCGTTGCTGCGCGAGGACACAGTGCTGGACATGTTGGGGCTGGCGCATCAGTTCAACTTCCAGGAGTTGGAGGCGGCTATATCGGACTACCTGCGGCAGGTGCTCGCGCTGAGGAATGTCTGCGCGGTCCTGGACGCAGCCAGGTAACCACTTACCACGACAGCAGGTTTTTATATTTGACGGCCTCGGTGGTCTTGCGGTGACACACCACTTTACTACTGATGGTCTCAGGATCGATTCTTCGCTAGCGGCGACCGCACCACACCGCTTTATTTATTCTTCCACACAAAACTACTGAACGGACTTTGATGAAACTTTACAGTATAACATGTATACATACAGTACATGATATGGGCGTAATAAAATGACGCCAGGGCTATATTTAATTCTACCGTACATTTATGAATAAAGATTATTATTTATTTATTACTAGCTACTACTAGCTGTCCCCGCGACTTCGTCCGCGTGCACAAATTTAACTTTATTCTTCTAAAATAAAATAATTTTTCTAAATTAAAGTAGCCTAAGTTACTCCTTATTACATCAGCTAACTGCCAAAAAAAGTCTCATTTAAATCGGTCCAGCCATTTTAGAGATTAGCCGGAACAAACAGACAGACAAAAATTGTAAAAAATGTTATTTTGGTGTATGTACCGTATTTATATTCATATACATGTATTAAAAAACCGTTATTTCAATATTACATACAGACACTCCAATTTTATTTATATGTATAGATTATTACGCACGGGTGTACATGTTTTATATATATAAACCTTCCTCTTGAATCAATCAATCTATTAAAAAAACCGCTTCAAAATCCGTTGCGTAGTTTTAAAGATTTAAGCATACATAGGGCCAGACAGCGACAGCGACTTTGTTTTCTACTGTGTAATGATAAGGATACCATTCTAATTAAGTACCTCCCATATTATAATAATCAAAGTACCCACACTTTCCTCAAAAATGTTGCCACAAGTCGCCTACATTCCACATTTATAAATCATATTCATTTATTTATTAACACTTTATTGCACCAGAAAGACAAACAATTAAACAAAGAACAAACAAGTAATAAGTAATAAGGTACAAAAGGCGGTCGCTTAAGGTGCAAAATCGCTTAGGCAATCTCTTCCAAACAACCTTTGGGTAGAGGAGAGAAGACAGAAAGTGGTAGATGGCGCAAGAATGGACTAGAGAAATAAAAAAGGCATATTAATACTAATTCATGTACATTAATATTCTGTATTCATCCGTTGTTTCAGATTGTATGGATTGGACGCACTGATGGATTACTGCTATAACTTCTTGGACAGAAACGCAATCGAGGTCCTGCAGCATGATACCTTCATGCAACTGTCAGTTGTAAGTTACCACCTTCATATATGTGTTCTACACTCTGAGCTCTCTGTATATACTACTAATACTATAATATATTCTGTATACATACATACACGCGCACACACACATACACACGCTCTGCACTTACTTGGTTTCGGCCCGTAAGTGTGGAGAAATCCAGCAATAGCTAAGAAAAAATAAAGAATAATAATAATAATAATGGTGGCTAAGGCCCGCGTGTTTGAATATATTACCGCCGTAAAAAGGGAGATATAATAAATATATATGTAATAATAATAATAATAATAATAATAATAATAAACACTTCTAGAATAGTCCGCAAATTTTTGTCTTCCATTTAAAAATTATCCATCCTCATCATTCATAAATTATACTGTCATTGTTTGGTGATTTTTACCCGCAATGATCAGTCTATTACCCCATCAATGGGAGATATATAATATATAAATATAAAAAAAAAAAAATAATAATAATAGTATTGTTTGAATATACACACACACCCGTAAAACGCGCACACACATAATACAATATATATATATATATATAATAATAATAATAACAACAGTCACACACAGGCACACAATAAGTACACACACACTCACTCATACATACACGCGCACACACACATACACACTCTACTTATGAATACAAATGTTTGTAAAGCCATCTCCATTTTATTTTATTTTGAGAAATTATAAATAAATAATAATAATAATAATTTTTTTTTGACAATTCACACAGCGCCATCTAGACCCAAGTTAAGCTAGATGAAGCATGTGTTATGGGTACTAGATAACTGATACATATACATAGATATTTTTTATTTTGTAAATACATATTATACATAGAAAACACCGTGCCAAGTGCAAGGAATCGAACCCGCGACCATCGGTCAAAAAGCGGTGTGCTAGACCGCTAGACCACCGAGGTCGTCAATATATATATATTGTAATACTATAATATAATATAATATATATATATATACTGTAATACAACAGAATATCAGCGCTACAGACTTATCTGTAGCTTCATGCTGAGTTGGTTGCTTCTTCATCATTGCGACACATAAAGCCACCTCCATTTTATTTTATTTTGTAACATTATATTTCTGTATTATTTAATTTGTAAACTTTATTTCTATTTATAAAATGTATCTCATGTATGCTATGTGTTTGTAATTGTTGAATAAAGAACTTATCTATCTATCTATCTATCTAATACTATAATATACTCTGTATATACAAATTCAGAATATCTTTATTCATGTAGATGTACACTAATTTTGAAACATATATACCTTATTTAAATTATTAACCGGGAATTAACACGAATAATTTTATGGCAAATAATAATAATAATATCAGATTCAAATTCAAAAATCATTTATTCATGTAGGACATTTTAGCCGTTTATGAACGTCAAATTTTTACATTATAATTTTATTTTTTCCTACCGTCCAGTTCGGTATATAGATCCAATTGAGAAGAACTGGCAAGAAACTCAATTGAATTACTTTTTTTTTAAAGCCAGTTTATTTACAATGTATTTTTATATAGGTGTCTATGTCTAACATTAAATGAAAATTCAGTGCATGAACAACTATTGCCATGCACACTCGTCATTCAAGTAATCGTTTAGTGAGTAATAGGTCTTGCTCAGTAAATATGATTTAACAGATGTTTTGAATTTATTTAAGGGTAATTCCAACATATCCTTTGGTATCTTATTGTAAATTTTTATACCTATTCCCATAAAAGACCTATTAACTTTTTCTAAACGATACTTGGGGACAGCAAGTTTGTCTTTAAATCTAGTATTAATATTATGAATATTGCTGTTTTTTGGAATATTGCTGTTTTCAGGATCTTTAATAGAGGTAAGAACACAATGGCGAGCTGATACTGTACATACTGTACCTATTGTACTTTCTTCTACGGGTATTGTACCCAAAACACTTCAAAATAGTCTGCAAACATTAAATATTCATCCATCCAAAACATATCTCCTACAGAAAGCCACATATTGCGTGCGCTGACTTACCTGCGTTAAAAAAAACATTAGATACATAGCGTTTATTTGTTTGCGTCACACACATAACATGTTCATAAGAATATAAAAATACATAATACAACATAAGATTTATAAAATTGTGTTATTATGTGTGATCTGTAGCAATACAAAAAGGTCGAAGCTCAGCGTGGAACATTGTTCAGGGAACAAAACACTGATTTTCAGCTTCAACCCATTTGAGGGTACGTGAAAATAATAATTAAAATAAATATAAAATAAAAAGGAGCAATATTATTAGTGATTGTCTGTGTGGTGTGTTTATAATAAAAATAATGTAAATAGTTCACGAGTATAATTTGATATAATTTTAACTGTGGTAAGGATCAACAAAAAAAAAAAAAAAAGAAAATATTAATAAGAGTAACATAAAGAAATAAAAAAAAAATTTTTTTTTGCGGAGATTACAACCGCTAGCCAAGAAACTTCTGTGGAATGCCTAAAATTTGTTTTTCTAATAAGTATTCTTTGTGATGTTTTTTAAAACTGTGTACGGTAGTAAAAACATTAGAACACGCGCGAGGAGCACGTAAGAACGTGTCGTGTGAAGCAGCATCGTCCTTTCTCCCCCTACCTGGTCATCCGCTAGTCCTCGCAGGACTGGAGGTCCGTCCGCACTGCAGGGCTCGGGCCTCGTGCATAAGCTCCTTGCCCGAGGTTGTAAAGCAGCTATTCTTCTCCCACACAGGAAGCTCTGCAAGGTCTGCTAGAACGAGACTCGTTCTTCGCGCCCGAGGTGGATATCTTCAAGGCGGTATGCGATTGGTTCTCAGCCAACCAGGGTTGGGCCAAGTCTGAGAGCGGACAGGCGCAAGTGGTGAGTTTCATATTGCTAATTGATCTATAAACAGTGTTTGTATGTGAGATTTAGAAGGAGCTATCTTCTAAATCTCACATACAAAAATTGTAGTAGTATAAAATAAAATACTGTAAATGTAGTATAAAAAACACTATATCAAAGTGCTTACACTAAGTTTATTTGAATAAAAAATATTTCTATTTTTTTTTATATATCTTTAAACAATTCACACTATGCCATCATTTTTTATTGCGTCTAAAAATCTTTAAAATATCCCCCGCTAGAGGGTTGACGAGGGGGTCTGTGGGATTCTTACCCACTAAAAAACACACGGTGTACCTACGAGCGCTATTTCAGTCAGACGGAGTCGCAAAGTCGCGTTAGCCTTCAAACAAGGAATCGAACCCGCGATTATCCAAAGTAAAGCTAAAACGCTAGACAACCGAGACCGTAATTTTTTTTCATATTGTCTATTCTATTCATAAATTAACGTTTTTTTCTTCAAGCACTCACCGAGTTGAGTATTCTTGCTAACTTCACAAATTAGGTATCTACACACAGGTAACTACACACTTCACAATTATTATTCGTAGGAGAAGATATTGAAATGCGTCCGGCTGACCTTGATGAGCCTGGAGGACCTGCTGACAGTGGTGCGGCCGTTCTCACTGGTGACACCCGACATGCTCCTTGATGCTATACAGCAGAAGACGCAGACCAAGAGCACAGATCTACCGCATAGAGGATTGCTGCGTATGTTGCATTAAAAGCCTATCTTATATATATAAAAACCTCGTGTCAAAATGTTACTTACCATACTCCTCCAAAACGACTTGATCGATTTTTATGAAATTTTATTCATCTGAGAATCGGGTACTTTCTATTTTTCATACCCCTAAGTGATAAGGGCTGTCCACCGCTAACATTTTATTTTAATATGGCATAAAAAATATATATAACCCCAAATTTTCATCCTTCTACCATCAACCCCTATTCTTTAATAGCGATATTAATTTATATGGCAAAGCAACGTTTTCGGCGTCAGCAAGTGTTAATATATGTATAAGTAACAGTCTCAAACGGAGCTGTCTGTGAATACAGTGTTGTTATTTGATAGTTTTTTTTATTTATTCAATTGTGTTGAATGAACAAACATATAAAAAATTAAATACTCTACATTTACATTTTAAATTAATGAAAGAGTACGCTCTTAAGGCAGCTACTGAGGATGTCAATTGCAGTGAGAGAGACAACAATAATTCCCCGTTTAAAGGCAGCTACTGAGGATGTCAAATGAGAGAGCAATAAGTTACCAAGAGCGTAAAGGCAGAGAGAGACAGTTAGAGAGACAACAATAATTCCGCGTTACCGCTCGATCCTCGGTTAAAAATATAAACAAGGTTGCTCGCATTGCATCCCCCGTTCAATTCAAACGGTGATCGAAATTACGACGGCCTGAGCCGAGGTTCGAACCCTTAGCGGTGCCCAATAAAGTCATATCCGTTAGGTGGGAGTTGGTTTCAGCCGCTCCATAAGTCCTGTTTGAAGTGTCTGTAAGGGTTTGAGTGCCACTTGCACTAGCCCCCTATTGTCAGCTCAAGCTGTAAAGGCCAGCATGCTACAAAATAAAGGCAAGGCAATGATAATAATTATAATAATATACATTTATTTAACTTAAAAAGTTATTTAATTTAAAAAGTGTTTATTAGCATACCTACATGATCAGTCTCTGATTATACGTAATCGTTAACGCGGACGGCGTGCGTTTGGAGACGCGTTGATTGTGTATCTGTGGGTGTCAGTGCCCGAGGAGAACGTGGCGACGGTGGCGCGGGGCGCCCGCGTGGTGGCCGGCGACATGCGGTCCGCGCTGCTCGACGGAGACACCGACAACTACGACATGGAGCGCGGCTACACGCGACACACCATCACCGACGCGGCCGACAACCCCGGCATACTGGTGCGGCTCGCCACCTGCACCATCATCAACCACCTACGGCTGTTGCTGTGGGACCGCGACAACAGGTCAGCGACAACTTGCACCATCATTAACCACCTTTTTTACCGCGACAACAGGTCAGCGACGACCTCGCCCTTTTTTTATAGCACAGGGGACAAACGAGCCTGCAGCTCACCTGATGGTAAGTAATTGCCGCTGTCCATGAGCACCCGCAACATCGGGGGAATTGCAAGTGGGTTGCCGGCCTTTTAAAAGAAATAAGCTCTTTTATTCAAGGTTTCAATATCGTATTGGTTCGGAAATATCACCGCTGGAAGCTGGATCAGCGATGTGGTTGTGCTCGGCAAAATGTTCTGGATTAGAAACGGTGGAGGATCGGAAGAAGGAGATCTCCTTTCATCCAAATGATGAGTATGGTAGTACGATGGTAAAGTTCAACAGCTGGTATTAAACAATTCCTCAGAACACTCTCCTTAATATGCGTTAGAAAATCACAAGATGCACAGAGAAACTCTGTGCATTTTGGGTCAAGTCTAATGGACCGAGTCTGTTACAATTATTTTGTATGTTTATGTACAGATCGTACGCTTACTACATCGAGGTCTCCGTGGACCAGAAGGACTGGGTGCGCGTGATCGACCACAGCAACTACTTCTGCCGCTCCTGGCAGAACCTGTACTTCGAGCCGCGCGTCGTGCAGTACATCAAGATTGTAGGCACCAGCAACACAGTCAATAAGGTCTACACTTCATATTTAAATGTATTTTTTTTAACGGCTATTGTATTCAGGAATTTCACGAGCTTGAATTTTCATTTTGACCATTTTAGAAGTTTCGGCCGTAGAGTAGATGACTTAGGCATCTGCTTGAGGTGTAACAATAATAATAAACACAGATTTTTTTCTTATGCGAATTCTTTTAACACTGTAGGCCGCAGCTGGCCTTTACAGCTTCACTGGACGATAGGGGTGACTACTCCAAACCTATGGAAGGGCTTATGGAGCGGTTGAAGGTCAAGTCCCGCCTGACGGATATGACTTGTAATTTCGAATCCGGATAGAATTAGACGGAGGATCGGAGGGACATTAACTGGCATTGCGAACCTCGGCTCGGGCCGTCGTAACTTCGATCCCAGATAGAATTGGACGGGGTTTGAATGGGAACGAGCGTGTCGCAGGTGTTCCACGCGGTGTCGCTGGAGGCGCTGCAGACGGCGCGGGTGCCGCCGCTGCGGGCCGGCCTCGTGCGGCCGCTGCACAACGTCGCCACCGTCGACCGCGCCGCAGTCGTCATCGAGGGCATCAGGTCAGTGCGCAGCCTCATTACCTGCCTCCATCCCTCTATATAGCTGCCTCGTGCGGCCGCTGCACAACGTCGCCACCGTCGACCGCGCCGCAGTCGTCATCGAGGGCATCAGGTCAGTGCGCAGCCTCATTACCTGCCTCCATCCCTCTATATAGCTGCCTCGTGCGGCCGCTGCACAACGTCGCCACCGTCGACCGCGCCGCAGTCGTCATCGAGGGCATCAGGTCAGTGCGCAGCCTCATTACCTGCCTCCATCCCTCTATATAGCTGCCTCGTGCGGCCGCTGCACAACGTCGCCACCGTCGACCGCGCCGCAGTCGTCATCGAGGGCATCAGGTCAGTGCGCAGCCTCATTACCTGCCTCCATCCCTCTATATAGCTGCCTCGTGCGGCCGCTGCACAACGTCGCCACCGTCGACCGCGCCGCAGTCGTCATCGAGGGCATCAGGTCAGTGCGCAGCCTCATTACCTGCATAGCCTCATTACCTGCCTCCATCCCTCTATATCGCCTCGTGCGGCCGCTGCACAACGTCGCCACCGTCGACCGCGCCGCAGTCGTCATCGAGGGCATCAGGTCAGTGCGCAGCCTCATTACCTGCCTCCATCCCTCTATATAGCTGCCTCGTGCGGCCGCTGCAGCGTCGCCACCGTCGACCGCGCCGCAGTCGTCATCGAGGGCATCAGGTCAGTGCGCAGCCTCATTACCTGCCTCCATCCCTCTATATAGCTGCCTCGTGCGGCCGCTGCACAACGTCGCCACCGTCGACCGCGCCGCAGTCGTCATCGAGGGCATCAGGCCTCCATCAGTGCGCAGCCTCATTCGCCACCGTCGACCGCGCCGCAGTCGTCATCGAGGGCCTCAGGTCAGTGCGCAGCCTCATTACCTGCCTCCATCCCTCTATATAGCTGCCTCGTGCGGCCGCTGCACAACGTCGCCACCGTCGACCGCGCCGCAGTCGTCATCGAGGGCATCAGGTCAGTGCGCAGCCTCATTACCTGCCTCCATCCCTCTATATAGCTGCCTCGTGCGGCCGCTGCACAACGTCGCCAGCCTCATTACCTGCCTCCATCCCTCCGTCGTCGACCGCGCCGCGTCGCCGCAGTCGTCATCGAGGGCATCAGGTCAGTGCGCAGCCTCATTACCTGCCTCCATCCCTCTATATAGCTGCCTCGTGCGGCCGCTGCACAACGTCGCCACCGTCGACCGCGCCGCAGTCGTCATCGAGGGCATCAGGTCAGTGCGCAGCCTCATTACCTGCCTCCATCCCTCTATATAGCTGCCTCGTGCGGCCGCTGCACAACGTCGCCACCGTCGACCGCGCCGCAGTCGTCATCGAGGGCATCAGGTCAGTGCGCAGCCTCATTACCTGCCTCTATCCCTCTATATAGCTGCCTACACTTATGATCTTCCGAGCGCGTATACGCTTTCACGCACCAAAGAGTGTGCATGTAAAAATCTGCAGAGGAAACGCCACTACACATCCTATGCGGTAGCCCACACATGCATAAACGAAATATCTGCTTTGAAAAATTTACATATTTTCCCGAGGAGATAAAAACCATCGCTCTCTAGCGACTCGACTCTAACTAGCGAACTCTGAAAAAGGGCGAGCACAATAGATTTATGTAGGTCACAGTGCTACAGGCACCTGAAAATAGCCCAAACAACCTATAAAAAAAATAGTTGCCTTTAAACGTACGCTTTTTCACGCACAAATATGCTTTCACGCAGGAAAGAGTTTGTATATAAAAAGCTTCCTTTACGTATACACTCTTTAACATACGATTACGCTTTCACACAGAAAAGAATATGCATGCAACTGTAGTGTAAAAGGCTCATACAAATACGTTTGTATTTAACATACAAATGTGTTTGTATGAATCTTCTATTTTACCATACAAACGTGTTTTTATGAGCTTCTTTATTTCCCATACTAACGTGTTGATATGAGCCTTCCAATTTACCATACAAACGTATTTATACGAGCCTCCTATTCTACCATACAAATGTGTTTGTATGAGCCTTCCATTTCACCATAAAAACGTATTTATACGAGCCTCCAATTTTTCTCATACAAATGTGTTTGTATGAGCCTCTTATTCTACCATACAAATGTGTTTGTATGAGCCTCCTATTCTAACATACAAACATGTCTGTATGAACCTACTATTTTTCTCACACAAACGTGTTGTATGGTCCACGTCGTGCAGCCGTTGCCGCAACACTCTCCTAAACGGCGACACGGAGCACTACGACTGGGAGCATGGTTACACGTGCCACCAGCTGGGCTCGGGCGCCATCGTGGTGCAGCTGGCGCAGCCCTACCTGCTGTCGTCGATGCGCATGTTGCTGTGGGACTGCGACTACCGCCACTACTCCTACTACGTGGAGACCTCGCTCGACTACTGGAAATGGGAGGTCGTGTGCGACCGCACCAGGGATGCCTGCAGGTCAGACTATACTGCTCACGATTATTGGAGAAAAATATTATTAAAGAAAACAACATGTGTTGGTAGATATTAGTAAAACTGTAATACAAGTAGAGTGACAATCGACGTCATGAGATTTTTTTATGGATGATAATGGAATGGTGCACCCGCTTACTGCAACGGTTTACGCTGGCGGGGCACCACTAGAGGCTGCTGAGATGAACATGAGATCAGGCCCGTTAGCCCATCGTGACAAGTTCACCGTGAATTTATCACGATGGTTTCCAGGAGAAACCGCGTGGAGGTCAACCTAACATGGTACATTGCTAGCAATAAGAGTATCAGTCCACATTACTAACAATCCCATTTCCCCCTTTAACCATTGAGGTTACATTCTACAACAACGACAGGCCAACACTAGCTCAGACTGACCAAGACTGGCCAAGACGGGCCTAGACCGGCCAAGACTGGTCAAGACTGGCCAAGACTGGCCAAAACTTAGTTTTCCGTACACGTCTAAATGGAATCGGCACTAATTTGTATTTTATTTTTATAATAATAATAATAATAATAGTAATCGTAGACAATAACAAAAACAAACAAGGAACGTAAAATGTCAGGTTTTTCCAGGGGGAACCGTATGGAGTTCCCATGCGGTTCCCCCTGGAAAAACAATCGCGATTCCTGGTGAATTTACCACGATGGGCTTAACTGTTATGTCACATTTTGTCTTATAGAGCAAGAGCCCACGACGGCCAGACATACGTCATATTAGTAAACGTGAAAGTTCTTGTATGTGTGTCCCCTCAGGTAAGAATATCCCCAAACATGAAATGGATCGTGGTTCCTTTGGCAGGTAACAGGTAACAAAGGTGTAAAAAATTTCATATCAAATTCGTTATTTTAAGAAACTCCATATTTTAATATATTGTTCGTAGCATTATTGTAACTTGCGCTGCTCATTGCCAGACACTTAGTGTGGTTACAACCCCCCGCCGGACCCACAAAACTATACTGTTTTAGAAATAAACTTACGTCATTTTAATAAAGCTCAACTTTATATATATTATTGAGAGAACTATTAAACTGAGTTTCCTAAATTGCCAGACAGTTTTCTTGGTTCCTTATCCTACCAGAGTCATTGAAACCGTATATTGGGTAACAACGGTGTATACAATTTCAATGAGTTTAAGATGCTCCATTTTAGGATTTAGGATGAAAAACCAAGAAAACTGTCTGGCAATTTAGGAAACTCAGTTTAATAGTCTGGCAATGAGCAGCGCAAGTTATAATAATGCTACGAACAATATATGAAAATATGGAGTTTCTTAAATAACGAATTTGATATGAAATTTTTTACACCTTTGTTACCTGTTACCAAAGGAACCACGATCCGGGTTTCATGTTTGGGGTTCGTTTTTACCTGTGTTGGGGACACACATACAATAACTTTCACGTTTACTAATAAGTCTTTGAGACTTGTCACTTTGTTAGTTTTTATTCCTGTAATATATTACATATCCTGTATTATTAAAATTTCTTTTTGTTCCTGGTTTATTTGCTATCAGTATGTTTACTATAACCGGATTGGTTGGCAGATGACAATGAGAGTCTGCAGTTCATTGAGTGCAAGATCTATTTAATGACGTCCTCTGGCATAAATTCAGGAATTAAGAACTGAAGTATTGTTTATCGAAATCCAGTAATTTTTAAAAAAAATATATAAATAAATGATAATAATATATTCCCAGATCGTGGCAAGTGATATATTTCTCCCCGCGGCCCGTGTCCATCATACGCATCGTGGGAACCAGCAATTCAGTCAACGAGGTGAGTGACTTCTAACTTTATTAAAATACAAGTTGAACTTTGTTAAGAAATTGTAATCAATACTGTCTCAAACTTACATTTTGGTTCAACTACACTATAATATGTTATATAAGATAATTGTAATAATATACTAGCTGTGCCCGCGGTTTCACCCACATTAAATTTATAACCTATATGTTATTCTGATATAAAAGCTATATTGCTGTAAAGTAGTTTTTGCGTGAAAGAGTAACGAACATCCATACTTACAAACTTTCGCGTTTATAATATTATATATATATATAGGTATTAAGATTTTCACAGTTCTCGCAACATTTTTCACTGATGCTTCGCTTCTATTGGTCGTAGCGTAATATTATATAGCTTGAGGCAAGGGTCTTCAACCCGCGGTCCGCCGATGTGTTTTCTGCGGCCAACAGCATAGGCCTTCTCTCAGTAACGACAAAAATTAAGTAATAAAAAGTACCTTTAATATAAAATAAAAAATCGTTATAAATAAACCTATGGTGCAGCCAGCTATACAGAAAAAAAAATTTAACCCTTGATTTGTTGAAACGTCGAAGATCACTGGCTTAAAGCTAAAGCCTTTTTCGACAAATGGACTACACAAAAAGAAATTTTCAATTCGAACCAGTAGTTCCTGAGATTGTCGCTTTCAAACAAACAAACTCTTCAGTCTTATAGTATTAGTATAGATATATATATATTTACCAGGTGTTCCACCTGGTGCACCTGGAGTGCCCGGCGCAGGTGGAGGAGGCGCGCGAGGACCTCGCGCCCTCCAAGCGACTCGCGGACAACAAGCTCAACCCGCCACCACCCCGTAAGTACAAATACATATCACTCCTCCATTTACCAGCATTTACACCACACATTCCTTCACCTTCAGGCCCCTCTGCCCTACTGGCCGCACTGGGCACATGCCCAGGGTCGCGATGGATTGGGGCCCCCTAGTCTAGTCTAGTCCCTACTCTATTACCAAACGATAACCGATAGCTACTCTCGCCTGAAAATCAGTCTTAACAAATGCTTACCGACTTTTGTCAAATTATTTATTTTTGTTAATTTTTTAATAAATGTCTAGCAAGAACTTAAACCCCTCATCACATAACGACATTTTGAAGTTATTTGTGCATGGTTTGTTTTGAAGGTAGGGCTTCCCCATACACATCTCTATAGAGTCATGTTCAAAAATGACTTTGTCTATTCTAATAAAATAGTGCTTTATTACTACGATCATAGGGGCCCTATTATTCTAATCCTAATGTATCCCAGGGCCTCTAATAGTTGAAAAACGGCCCTGGCAATCGAGTATAATTGCATTGTACTATATTTTGTGTTCTCCTTTTTTTTTTGCTCCATAGACAGATGTCCGCCTTTTTCCAATAACGATTGATTATTAAAAAAGGAGCTAAAGTACAGCTACATTTAAAGGTCGACAACACGCACGTAAAACCCCGGGTGTCTCAGGCTACCGTAGGCTACGGTAACCGTTAACCAGATGGGCCCAGATGGGCCGTATGTCTGATTGCCACCTACGTAGTATATTGACCTACGTACGTAGATCAATATACTACGTAGGTACGTAGGCACGTACCTACGGGCTCATGCTTCCAACATTTATATATACGACGTACAACCACGATTTGTTGATGCACTTTAAAAAATCAGAATATTTTTATTAATGTAGATCTATTACAGACTTCTGATATGTCTAATCTACCGTCAGTTCGGAATGATTTCGTGATGAGAAGAACTGACAAGAAACTCGGCTCGTATTTTTTTTACAATTTAATATATTAAAACGATAATAATTTACTAATATGTGTTTTTGTATGCTCAGTATCACATACAACGAACAACGAAAGCCGATCAGTGTCACCGCCAAGCTCGGAAGCCAGCAACGCTACCGGCGGGGCTGCAGGCGGAGTCAGCGGCGGAGCTGCAGCTGGCGAGGCTTCCACCTCCCGCACCCGACCGCTCCCGCCCGCGGAGACGGCCACAGAGGCCGATGAACGGTTCGAGGAATGATGCACACGACCCCGTCCTCCGCAGCTTCCGACTTGAACCTCAACACGTATACGATAAGTTGCTCCACAATTACAAACTTTTCAAAATAATTATGGAATCACCTTCCAGCGATGGTATTTCCGAATCTATTCGATCTTTATACCTTATGAAATTAGCTTATACCATCTTATAAGCCCGCCAGGTTCGAGGAATGATGCACTCGACCCCGTCCTCCGCAGCTTCCCACCTGGACCACAGGAACCTGAACAGGTATACGATAAGTCGCTCTACAATTACAAACTTTTCAAAACAATTGTGGAATCACCTGCCAGCGATGGTATTCAAACCGATACGATATTGAAACCTTCAAGAATAGAGCTTATACCTTTTTAAAAGGCCGGCAATGCACTTGAAATTCCTCTGGCATTTGGGTTGCAGGCAATGGTAATTTACCATCAGGTGAACCGCAAATTCATAGGCTATATAAAAATTCATAATAAGACTACACTCTACTGTTGCATATGATATAACAATTCCAAAAATCGTATATATTTATACTTTATTTGAATATGTACATAATTATTTAGAATTTTAGATTTATCAAAGTTGAATTAATTTTGCATAAATATATATGAAGATATAAACATATAAATGAACAAAAATGGAAAAATTATCATATATATTCAATCAAAGCTATACGAATTCGTTACTTTAAAATTTTATTGATAGGTTTTTAATATAATTGTAAAATTTTACTTAATCTTGTACAGCTTAGCAATAATGACCTGAGATCCATTTTACTTTCTTTATTTTCTTTAGTCAAAGATGTGATGATTTATGACTATAAAATTGCAGATATGCTCCAATATTTTTGATCACGTAATAACTAAGTACATTGGATGGGTTTAGTATTTCTCTTAAGTTGCGATATAATTATATAACTGTGTTGCTAATAATTCTCATTTGTAACAGATATTAATCTACAGGATTGCGATTATGTATGAGCAACGTAACGGTTGCAGTCATGAACCCATGAATTTAACTTGTAACTGCAACACTCAAATCTTAGTAATATAAACGCGAAAGTTTGTGAATGGTTGGATGTTTGTTACTCTTTCACGCTAAAACTACTAAACGGATTTTAAAGAAACTTTACAGAAATATAACTTATCAGAATAACAGACTACACATTTCATGCGGATGAAATCGCGAGCGCAACTATTATTCATAAATCAAATAAAAAATAATTTATTCCTGTAGGACATTGTAGCCGCTTATTCGTTTTGAATTAACGTACTTTAATGCAAATTGAAAAGCCGTATATTTTAATCTGTTCGAATGAGAATTGTTACTAAAATATACACCAGTGACCCAATTGTATATATGTATATAAGACTGTATGGAAGTATCGTCATTTTTAAAGATGAAGGTTGAAACTTATTTCTTAAGCTTGAATAAATATAAATAAATATGACATTCAAAGTTTGTAAATGTCAAAATAAAATTCGTGGTGAAAAGCTAGAATATGAAACATTTTCTTTGGGTTTATTGGTTTAGATTATTGAATATTTCTTCTTTTTTTGGTCAAGGTCACTATAACAGCTGGTATTTATATATATATATAAAACAAGCTGTCCCCACGGATTCACCCGCATGAAATTTATTTATATATTAATCTGATATATAAGCTATATTACTGTACAGCTTCATAAAATCAGTTACGTAGTTTTTGCGTGAAAGAGTAACAAACATCCATCCATACTCACAAACTACCGCGTTTATAATATTAATAAGATTTTTCAGCTATAGTAGCAACAGACAAAAACGTGTGAAGGTAGACGAATATGTCTCTCTTATTTTTCATCTACCCGCTGCTCTTCAGTTAACCCGTGATCATGGCGGTAAATGGCGGAAATATCGGAAACTAAATAATCATTACAAAGTATAAAACATAGTCGCTGTCCCTATGTATTCGTAAATCTTTAAAACCACGCAACGGATTTTGAAGCGTTTTTTTTTAATAGGTAGAGTGATTCATATTCTTATTCATATTCACAAACTTTCACGTTTATAATATGTATATAATTCGGTCACTGGTGGAGTTTAAAAATTAAGTATTTTAATTATAATGTCTAAAGAACTAAACGTGTTATTTGATATTATAAGTTGAACTTTGAGCATATAAATCATAGTTAAATAGGTAAGTAATAACTGGCAGCTTTCTTGACAGTATCGAATTAGGTAAATGTAAAATCTTTGCATCTGGGTCTGATGCTTTTATACACAGTACAATGTGACTTGAATAATATCTAAGAATAAGAACAAACATAGAATCCTTATTAAAACTGCAACTAATTACAGTAGAATCCCGATTATCCGGATCAATTAAAACCTTGGGTATTCCGTATAATCGATGATCCGGATAACCGATTTCAAAGCACATCAAACAATATTTAAATGGGTCTGATGCTTTTATACACTGTACAATATGACTTAAATAATATCTAAGAACAAGAACAAACATAGAAACCTCTTTAAAACTGCAACTAAGCGCATTAGAATCCCGGTTATCCGGATCAATTAATACCGGAGGTATTCCGTATAATCGATAATCCGGATAACCGATTTCAAAGCACATCAAACAATATTTAAATTTTAATCATTTTTCATTATGTAATGGGTTTTACTTAGATAATACAATATAAAAAAACGAGCTATAACGATATAATGAAATACATAATACCTATGTAATTTTAAATTTTGGTTGGAAATGACCTGTTATTGATCTTTGACGCAATTAATCACGATTATTTTCATTGGGGTATTCAGTATAATCGATAATGATGCGACTTCAAAGCACATCAAACAATATTTAAATGGCTTTGATGGTTTATGGACTGTACAATATGACTTCAATAATATCTAACAATAAGAACAAACATAGAAACCTCATTAAAACTGCTTCTACGTGAGATGGATTATCTTGATCAATTAAACCGGAGGTATTCAGTCTTTAATTCATCGATTTCTCTCTCAAACAATATTTAAATGGCTTTGATGGTTTATGGACTGTACAATATGACTTAAATAATATCTAAGAACAAGAAAAAAAAACCTCATTAAAAGTACAATTATATAAGAATCCCGATTATCCGGATCAATTAAAACTGGGAATTTATAATCGATGATGGATAACCGATTTCAAAGCACATCAAACAATATTTAAATGGGTCTGATGCTTTTATGGATTGTACATATGACTTAAATAATATCTAACAATAAGAACAAACATAGAAACCTCATTAAAACGCCCTCCCCACCGGTTATCCGGATCAATTAATACCGGAGGTATTCCGTATAATCGATAATCCGGATAACCGATTTCAAAGCACATCAAACAATATTTAAATGGCTCTAATGGTTTTATGGACTGTACAATATGACTTAAATAATATCTAAGAACAAGAACAAACAGAGAAACCTCATTACTAACAATTACCTCCCGATTATCCGCGTCAATTAAAACCTTGGGTATTCCGTATAATCGATGATTACCGATTTAGCACATCAAACAATATTTTCTGATGCTTTTATGGATTTAATATGATCAATAATATCTAACAATAAGAACAAACATAGAAACCTCATTAAAACTGCTACTAAGTGCATTAGAATCCCGATTATCCGGATCAATTAAAACCGGGGGTATTCCGTATAATCGATAATCCGGATAACCGATTTCAAAGCACATCAAACAATATTTAAATGGTTCTGATGCTTTTATGGATTTTACAATCATGACTTAAATAATATCTAACAATAAGAACAAACATAGAAATTTAAAACTGATGGCATTTCCAGATTATCCGGATCAATTAAAACGCGTGGAGGTATTCCGTATAATTGATAATCCGGATAACCGACTTCAAAGCACATCAAACAATATTTAAATGGGTCTGATGCTTTTATACACTGTACAATATGACTTAAATAATATCTAAGAACAAGAACAAACGCTCATTAAAACTGCAACCCACCGATTATCCGATCAATTAAACTTAGCGTATAATCGATAATCATGACAAATTCACATCAAACAATATTTAAATCATGGTTTATATCATATAGTTATTTTTATATACCTATCAGTTACTATTTCTATCGATTAGGATCAATTGGGGTATTCCTATAATCGATAACGGAAAACTTGTTAAGCATCAAACAATATTTAAATTTTAATATTTCAAATTATTTTCTAGATAATACAATTAACAAAACATTGTTCGATGTTGAATATTACCTATGTAATTTTAAATTTTTTAAAATCATTGTTTTATATTAAGGAATGTATTATATTTGTTGTTGAATCTATATCCCACAGAATATTAAGACACAAGGACTTCACGTGAGATGGACGATAGTTGTTTCAGTCTTTATTTCATCTTCTCTCTCGTTAAGTACAAATCCTCAAATATCATTTGTATATTGACTTTTATTTGAAAAAAGTTTGGAGTACAATTATATAATGACCTAGTTTTCATGACAAATTCACTAGGAATTTATCACGATGGTTTCCAGAAGGAACCTAACATGGTACATTGCTAGCCTAGTTTAGTTATACTTATACCGCGTCAAGTACTTGCGTTACAATTATCCGTCATGAGAAATTTTGAATTTATCATTTATCATATAGTTATTTTTATATACCTATCAGTTACTATTTCTATAAGGAGTCTGTGGTAGTTCTAGTTCTTAGTCACAAAACTTGTTAAGTTATTTAGTCTTTAAGCAAATTATTTTCTAGTCCCTTAACATAACATTGTTCTGTTGAATATTACCCAGGCAGAATTTTAAAATCATTGTTTTATATTAAGGAATGTATTATATTTGTTGTTGAATCTATATCCCACAGAATATTAAGACACAAGGACCAAGTGACGATAGTTGCACATTTAAGAGAATTCTCACATTAACTTGTGGAATTGTCAATATACAAGAATTACAACGGGTCGGTACCTAGTTTGGTTATGTAATACTATTGATAACAATTATCCGTCGGTTTTTAAATAGCTTATGCTTTTAATGGAAGATAGTGGTGTGGTTCCCCCGGCTCCGTTAACTGTTTACGCTGGTGGGGCCCTTGGTGAATGATGATATAAGGTTATTCATCCAAGGGGAATCAGTCCCCAATTATTGCTAGCAGGATATGAGGTATCGCGGTTCCCCTTGGTAGTGATAAATTCTTTGTGAATTTGTCACGATGGGTTAACTGACCGGACCTCATGCTCATCTCATCATCCTCCACTGGTGCCCCGCCAGAGTAAACCGTTAGCGCAGGCAGGTGCACCATTCTATTATCATCCATAAAAAAACCTCAAGGTGCGGACGACCACTGCGTGTAGTAGTTTTAGCATTCGACATTTTTCGTCCAGTAAAGCTATAAAGACCAATTACGCCCATGATTATTATAGTTTCAAAAGAAAATTGTAACTGATTGAAATTGATGGGTTTGCGATTCTCTATGAAACATTCCAGAGTTGCAATTGCAACCCAGTACGCTTTGCAGTTACGACTGACAAATGGTTTATAGATAGTTGTAAAATTATATATTGTCATCTGTTTTAAGTTAGAATTGTTATTAATAGTTTTATATAATGAAGACTCTGTTTACAGTTAATATGTTTTAAATATATCGCCTGTTTGCGTTACTATAGCGTATTAAACGACAAACACACAGTAAGGTGGACTTTAAAATTTTGGATATTAAAAGTACATCCTGTTTTTTATTAAGCTTACAATAATTGAAACATGAAGTAAGTGAACCACATATCTCCGTTGGAAAGTTTCTATCTTGAGGAGATAAAAACCATCGCTCCTAAAAAACTTGCCAACTACTCTTGTCTTTGACGCATCTAGGTAGCAAACTTTGAAAAAAGGGTGAGCACAATAGATCTATACAGGTCGCAGGTCGCAGGGTGCTACAGATCCACACACTTGACTATAGCCCAAATCTCCCAATAAAAAAAGGCAACCGTAGTAAATAATGGTATTTAAAGTCAATTTAAAGTAACACCTACAGTGGACTATTAATTATATATTCTTTATTGCACTTTTAAATACATTAGTAGACTTAATTACAAAAAAAATTAGCAAAGTGGACTTATCTCAAAAAGAGATCTCTACCAATCAACCCAACAGTTTGGCATAGCTATTAGTGAGTGGATAACACTAGTGCTACTAACAATATAATGTTGAAATGACAAAAGTTTAAAAAAACAATAATTTAAATGATTAAGGTATGTCCCTGGGCCTATAAAGTTAAAAATAATGCAGTATATTCCCTACTACTTCCATTCCATAATTGTGATTATTCTAGTGAGAACAGACTTGTTAGTAAAATATTTTAGTTGTAAACAGGCGATATATTATCCAGTGTTGTTTTATGAATATAAATAGTGCCATATAGCGTAATATATATTTGAAAACACCCGTCTAAAAATACAGGTCTTTGTGTACCTCTAAACTACATATTCCCAGATGATTTCTTCATTAAAGCTATTAAGATTAGAAATTATTATGTATCATATAGTTATAAGTGTACCTATCTTTATTAATATAAGCAAAGCTTATTATTTTCACAAAATATGGTTGTGTGATAATAAGATTATCAAAGAAAAAAGTTTTTATAAAGCCTTCCTTGATATTCTGTTTGTTTAAATTGAATTTGTAGATTGTATTAAACTGTATATCACAAATGCAAGTTTAATTAAAAAAACGGGCCAAAATACTATACTATGTGCGCTGTAATTGCCAGTATTTGTAAACTAGAACATTCTGGCTGGGTTCAATTTAAGTTACTACACTTATTAATGATTTTATATATATTACAAATGTGGTACAGTTGAAAAATTAAGTCATAATTTGTAAATCACGGCAACTTTCAAGATTGTAACAAAATATTACTGAAACTGTCACCCGCACTATGCTACAGCGTACGTAGTATAATGGTTAATAAAAAAATATATATTTATGGCAAACCTATTTCTGATAAGCAGTTAATATTGTCTATCATCTGCTTACCTGATAGAACCACAAAAATGGTCAGAAAATTTAAATACAAAACTAAAGAATCAAGAATTATTTTTAATAATAATATTGTACATGTTTTATTGAAATCTCAAAATATTATTATGTTATTAATTAGTGTTAAGATATTACAATCATACAACGGTGAATGGTTGAGATACTGTGATAATGGTTTCAAATAATTTGCAAATGTTTAGGTTAGATGTAGTGTAGTCAGGAGGACATAAGGTTATAATAAAATTGTCAATGATTTCTAACATTTTCATAACTTGAAAGCTTTTAATAAATAGTATTCATCTGAACATGTTTCTTTCATTGCATTAAAATTTTATTCGGATCAATCTATACCTAATTACAATATTTTCATGTTACTTGCGACCCTCTCTCTTTAATTATAGCTTTATTTATTCTATACAATTTTCTCCCTTCGACTATATCTGGATTATTTTCATCTGCAAAGTCATCGAGGCACTTTCTCAATATCATTTTTAATTCCTGTATACTGTCATTGTTGGTTAAAGCTGATATTCCAATGATGTTTTCAAATGATACAATTTTGTCAGGCCTAAGTTCCTTTGGTATTGAATCCATGATCCTTTCTATATTTGCAAGCGACTCTTTAACTTCCTCTAATGTATCAGTAGCACCTTCTAAATCCATTTTATTTACAGCCAATACGGCAGGCTTCTCAACTAAATCAGGATTGTAGAGTTCCAATTCTTTATTTAGGAGTAACACTGTCTCCAAGCATGACCTCTTAAGATGTCTGGGACTTAATTGAAATCCTTGGACATCAGCTATAAATAATAATAACTTTGTCCTCTCTACATGCTTTAAAAACTTATGCCCAAGTCCAATATTCACGTGGGCACCCTCAATGAGACCAGGCAGGTCGGCTATGGATATTTGTCTTTGGTCATTATAGTGGATGATGCCTTTATTAGGTTTGATTGTAGTAAATGGGTAATTTGCTATTCTGGGCTTTGCTCGTGATATTGCTTTTAAGAGAGAACTTTTGCCAGCATTAGGAAAGCCAACGAGACCTATATCTGCAATTAATTTCAGATCTAACCGTATGTGGTGAATTTGACCATAGTGGCCAAGAAAACCATTCTCCTTGGTGCCTCCGGGTCCGCCTCTAGCCAATATAACTGTTTGATCTTCATTATCTACAGACCCTAAAACCTTGCCGTCCTCTCTGTAAATTGTCACACCGAGTGGAACTTCTAATTTTAAGTCTGTGCCGGGGCTGCCTATAATTTTTGTTTTTCTACTGTCCTCACCATGTCCGGCGGCTAACGTTTTGCCGCGGTGTTTACCCAATATGTTCCCGAGATTTGCCTTCTCCTTACCGACGCAGTAAACGCATCCACCTTGACCTCCAAGTCCTCCATACTTTGGCAGGCCGGTTCCACCGGATCCGCCTTTGACATGCAATCTTACAGAATCGATAAATTTACTGCGCAGATAATTTCGCGGTTTCTTCAATTCCTTAGAAAATAATGTCCTTAAAATAAAAACCATTTCATTAAATAACTAAAACTTTTAAAATAGTGTTACAAAAACAAGATTTTATACACAGAGTAGATCTATTGACAGTGCTTGACTTGTTGATTGATCTTGATTGACATTTATAATCCGGTCTGAGATTTGACATTTTCAACTTCGTGACACTGGGATAGTAATCATTATCTGTACGTGTCGGCGTGTGTCATTTTCTCTGTCTTTTGTAAATATAAATATTCTGTATTCCATATATATATAAATCTTGGTCTCAAAACATTGAATACTATTTTATGTTTTCCAAAATTTTCAATTAAAACCAACTGTTCGATTTCAAATAAACGCATAAGTTATTATTATACAGAATATTAGTATATGATACTCGATGTATTTCAGAACATTAACAATATTTATCATAATAAGTAAATTCTCAGGAATCTTATCTAGCAACGGTGATCGTTCACCTTTCTATCAAAATTGTTTAAAAACTTGTAGAAAAGCTAACTGTACAGATGGTAAATATTATACACCTAATAAAAATTGTTTATTCTTCATTACTATAATAATATTTACATAGTTACTTATATTTTCCTAAAAAACCTTATCAATTTTTAACTGTATTTACATAATTATTAATACATCTTAGATAAATTAAAAAAATAATATGGAATAAAAAAACTCCTAATATTTTTGAATTTACAGTTTTAATGTGCTTTTTAAATATTTTATTATTTACATGGTTTGACATATTTAAATTATAGATAGTAAGAAGTTTGACAAAAATTCTTTAGAGGTCTAATTTTACTATTTAAAGTCAAATATGTATTTTTATAATTAGAATAAATAATAATAATAATAATAATCATCTCAGGTCAATTCACGCAGCGCCATCTAGACTCAAGTTAAGCTTGCTAAAGCTTGTGTTGTGATTACTAGATAACTGATACATTTACGTAGATTTTTTAAAAATATATACATATTAGAAAACACCCAGACTGATACAAACAATCATACTCATGAATATAAATGTTTGTGATTTGCAAGGAATCAAACCTGTGAACATCGGAAGTAAGACAGTGTGCCAAACCACTAGACCTCTAAGGCTGTCTTTACTTGAATATTAAATTTAATGCAAAAAGTATTATATGTATTTTTCTCCACTCTCAGATGGCCGTTCTTTTAAAAGTGCAGCACTTAAACAGCAGGATGTGTGGTGCCAACTGCTCCAATGGAGCTGCAGAGAGGATTGTCAGTATCACTGCATGTGGAAGACAGTGGATGGTTTCCAGGAGAGAGGGTACAGAATTCCCAAATTCCATGGCAAAGTAAGACTATATACCACATCCTCATCCTTACTAATATTATAATTGCGAAAGTAACTGTCTGTCTGTCTCAAAAATACTGAACCGATTCAAATAAAATTTAGCATACAGATAGTCTACAGCCTGTGAAATGACATAGGCTACTTTTTAAGGCAGAAAAAAGGGTTGTAAGGGATTAAAAGGAAAGATGCAAAGTTGTATGGAATGTAATAGCATATGCTGGTGGTCACTTTGATTCTCCCAAATTTGAATTTAAAAATGAATCTGTATTATTGTAAATATGTACAACATTTATTTGAAAAGAATATGAGCTGATTTTCTTATCTCGATTTCTTCTTCTCATCTCGAAATCATTCCATACTGACAGTAGATTTGACATAGTATAAGAGTCAAATTCAAATTAAAAAATCATTTATTCATGTAGGACATTTTAGCTACTTATGAATGTCAAGTTTTTACATTATAATTTTTTCCCTACCGTCCAGTTTAGTATATAGATCCAATTAAGAAGAACTGGCAAGAAACTCAATTGAATTACTTTTTTTTTAAAAGCCATGTTATGTACAATGCATGTCTATGTCTAACATTAAATGAAAATCTGTAATAGATCTACATGAATAAAGATATTTTGAATTTGAATTTATTCAAATTCAAATTAAAATTCAAAATATCTTTATTCATGTATGTCTATTACAGACTCTTATGATATGTCAAATCTACCGTCAGTTCGGAATGATATCGAGATGAGAAGAACTGACATGAAACTCAGCACGTATTCTTTTCAAATAATAGTTGTACATGTTTATAATAATACATAGTCATTAAAATTCAAATTTTCAAATAGAGTGACCACCAGCATTTGCTATCGCAAAGTCCAAAAAAATTAATCGGTGTTCGCAACACGAACAGATCAGTCCCCACAAGCAGCACCCGCATTATCTTTATATTATTATTATTATTGTTTTATCCAACATTATCTGCATATTTATATCATTTTTCGTTATATATCATACTCACACATATATCATAGTACATACGAGGTAAACGGTTTCTCCATTATACTCCAATTTTTTTTTTCGGATTATTCTAATGCTGTTGTCTGCAGCTGGCCTTTACAGCTTTACTGGACGATATGCAGATGGCACTCCAAACCCGCGGAAGGACTTATGGAGCGACTAAAGGTCAATTCCCGCCTGATGGGTACGACTATAGTCTGAGGACACCGCTAGGGGTTCGAACCTCGGCTCAGGGCGCCGTTATTTAGATCCCCGTTTGAATTGGACGGTGGATCGATCGTAGGGGACCAATATTCTCTATTCATGATAGTTTTTTTTTTAATTGATGATAATGGATTGGTGCACCCGCCTGCGCTAATGGTTTACGCTGGCGGAGCACCAGTGGAGGATGATAAGATGAGCATGAGGTCAGGCCAGTTAGCCCATCGTGACAAATTCACCAGTAATTTATCACGATGGTTTCCAGGGGGAACCGCGTGGAGATCAACCTGACATGGTACATTGCTAGCAATGAGATCATCAGTCCAACTAACAATCCCCTTTCCCCCACTATTCGTGATAGTATGCATACAGTGTTTTCTTCCATCCTATATTAGTCAGGTCGTATGCCTAGTTATTGGCTATTCCACAAGTGGTACTAGTCAGGGTATAACTTTATGATTGTTACAGTGGCCGTTTGTAAGATTTTTTGGTGTACAAGAGCCAGCATCAGCCTTCGCATCTCTCCTCAATTTGGCAACACACATCTACATGCACAATGAAATAACAAAGAAATTTAGTGTTAAGAGCACACCACTCGTGTTGTTCTGGCATGGATTTGCGACAGTAAGTATTTGTATAATATATTAATGTATAAGCAATATTACTACTGTAAAGTTTCATCAAATTCGGTTCAGTAGTTTTTGCGTGAAAGCGTAACAAACAACTATAATTACAAACTTTCGTTTATAATATTACTAGCTACTCGCCCCGGCTTCGCCCGGGTGTACATGTATTATACATATAAACCTTCCTCTAGAATCACTCTATGTATTAAATAAAACCGCTTCAAAATCAGTTACGTAGTTTTAAAGATTTAAGCATACATAGGGACGGACAGACAGCGACAGCGATTTGTTTTATACTATGTAATGAATCAGATTAATAATTATTAAAATTTTCAGGTCTGCATGAACGCATGGACATGGTCCACAATATTCCACACGCGGGACACTCCGTTCACTGAGTTTATGGACTATGCATGCGCGTTGTCTATGGTGATGAGTTTATTTATAGCAGCTATAGTCAGGTACAAATTGAGAATTACTATATTAAAGTTTACCATATCCTTTTTTATATAATTTTTATTTTATAAACTGTTAGCCGCAGCTGGCCTTTATAACTTCACGGGACGATAGTGGGCGAGTGCAGATGGCACTCCAAACCCGCGGAAGGACTTATGGAGCGGCTGTAGGCCAACTCCCGCCTGACGGATACGACATTAGTCTGATGGCACCGCTAGGGATTCGAACCTCGGTACAGGCCGTCGTAATTTCTCCGTTTAAATGGGACGTGGGATAGATCAATGGGGCGACCAGGAGCGCCGGTGTGGAGCACCCGAGTGACGTGTGCTGCTACATAGTTATTACTTATAAAAAACATTGTCTACACATCAATCAATCAAATGTTAATTAGTCGGCCAATCGCAGGTAACCTGCGAATGAGGAAGAGGCTCTCGCGGATGGATGGGTGACCGTTGAGTCATTCCAATTCAACAATCAGATTCGACGTCACGTAGACTATTTTTTCATAATTTGAAATATCAATGTTATACTTCTATACACAATAAATTATTTTTTATAATATTTATTTATTTATTATAGCTTTGCAATCCATAATTTTACAGTACAAAATTCATTGAAGAGCACCTAAATATTCCTGTGGAACACCTGAATAGAGCAAACATCACAAACAAGCATATAATTAATTATTTTGCAGGGTATTTCACAGGAGAAAGAAGTTTGCTGCAGCTCTTCTCGCGCTGCCCACCCTCTACTACGTCGAACACGTGAGATATCTCTACTCCGGGAGAATAGACTACGACTATAATATGAATGTCAATGTCTTCTTTGGTAAGTCTTTGTACATAAATAGATTTATTTATTTAGAAGATCGATCCCCCGTCGAAACTTATTCAAACGGGGATCAAAAATTAAAAGAGGTTGAACCCCTAGTGGTGCCCTCAGAGTAAAGTCGTGATCCGTCGGGTAACCGTTATTCATATAATGTCCATATATTTCTTCATTTTCCGCAATATTTGATTTGGAGTGCCATCTGCACTCGCCCCCTCAACGTCCGGTGAAGCTTTAAACACTACGGCCAACAGCATTAGAGAATTCTAAAAAAAAAATTGTTTTTAGATAGATTTATTATATAATAGACTAGCTATATACATGCGACATCGCCCGTGTGAAAATTAACTTTTGTTCTAACGCTGGCAAGGCACAATGAGCATGATAAGATGACCATGAGGTCAGTTAGCTGATCCTACAAAATTTACCAGATATTCATTTCGATGTTTTCGAGAGCTTGGATCGCGTGGAGGTTCTCACGTGGTACACAGCTACCAATAAGGTCATTACACACCCGTTACTAACAATCTTATTTTAGTTTTTAGCGATTCTCTCTTTCCTAAGGTTGTTGTGTAGAGATTTTGTTTTAGCGATATGACCGCCTTTTGTATTTTTGCTTCTTTGTTCAATCTATTGTGTGTGTGTGTGCAATGTATCTACCTTTAATGTTGGTGTAATAAAGCATTACAAACAAAATTAAATATGTGTGTAGGGACAAATTCAAAACATATGTTAAATCATATTTACTAAGCATAAACAGTGCATATATAAAGTAAAGTAGGATGTGTGTAACACATACCGAGAACTGTCACGACGAGATAACCCAACAAACATACTACTTAATGTTCAGTTGTGACAGATTGTTTACACAAAAATAAATATAAAAAAAAATATTTACTAAGCAAAGCCTATTACTCACTAAACGATTACTTGAATGACGAGCGTGCATGGCCAAAGTTGTTCATGCACTGGATTTTCATTTAATGTTAGACATAGACACCTATATAAATATACATGTGTAAATAAACTGAAAAAATAAGTAATTTAATAGAGTTTCTTGCCAGTTCTCTTCAATTGGATCTATATACTGAACTGGACAGTAGGGCGAAAATTACAATCACAGCGCATTACGCGTTACTAGTATGAATATTACCATACTAAATGATGAAAACCAATATCGTTCTGACGCGTCATGTCACACATTAGATAAATCGGGCGCGTCTACGGGTGATGTAACGATAGCAACGTGTGCAGGTGTGGTGGGGTCGGTGACGTGGCTGGTGTGGGCAGGAGGGATGCTGGTGGCTGGTAGGAAGCACGCATGGCGCGTGGCGGTATTCACAATAGCTTCGGGCGCCGCGCTGTCACTTGAACTACTGGACTTCCCGCCAAAGCGCTCGTGGGACGCGCACGCACTGTGGCATCTCAGCACAGCGCCGCTACCACTCCTCTTCTACAGGTATATACTAGCTGACTCGCGCCACTTCGTATGCGTGTCATTTCCCCACCTTTAGCAATATTTTTGAATGCAGCTCCGCTCCTATTGGTCGAAGCGTAATGTTATATAGCTTAAAGCCTTCATCGACAAATGGACTATCCAACACAAAAATATTTTTTCAATTCATACCAGTAGATCCTGAGATTAGCGCGTTCAAACAAACACAGAAACTCTTCAGCTTTATAATATTAGTATAGATTAATACGAGAAGCAAAAACTTTGTACCCCCTTTTTATGAATATTGCTCGGAAATTTCGCACACTTATAGATATAGTATAGTTTTTCTTATATATGTATCTTCAGTTCAGTTACATTTCATGATGTAAGTATATATAATTGTTGTTTCAGATTTGTAATAGATGACCTCTATTACTTGCAGAATTCTAAAATCAGGGACAAAAACTACCTGAAGCAAACATAGACATTCTAGTCACCGTTATATTGTTTTTAATAATTGTTAATTTATAATTTAAGCAATAAAATTATTATTTATGAGACGTGACAATTTTTATTCAAACCACAAAAGTTTATTTCAACTTGCATGCACAACTTCATATAATTATAATTTTTACTATCATGAAGATCAAGTAAGTGTAGTAAATACAGTCAGCTGTCTATAATAAGCTTCTTCCATTGTTCCCCACATTGTAATCCGAGTTTGCGTTTCGTCAACCAAGTCAGTCCTTTTGTTTTGACTCTTTTAGCATTTCTCTCATTTTGCAGTGTCTTAGTGTATCTTTCGTTTGCTTCTCTTTGCTGATATGGGGATATATTTTGGTCCACAAGAGCAGATCTTGCCTCGTAATTTCGACAGTACATCGGCTGTTCTTTGTATCGATTGGTTTCCTTCGAGTACATCCGATCAGAAGAGAACTGGCGCTGCTGTTCTTGGAACATAAGCCTCTCATTCCATTGGCGTCTATATTCCTGCTCCATATACGGCAATCTTCTAAATCTCTCTTGATTCCGGTCTCTCATTTGTCTAGAGTACGATATCTTCGAATGAGGTGCTTTTTTACGTACTTGACTTGACACAGGTGTCGTGCGGTCAATTTTCTGACTGTAAATTGTTTCATATTCGTCAGACTCGTTCATATCTGATTCTTGTTCGTATTCATTAACATTCTGTATTGCCTTCTCTTTCTTATTTTTGTTCTTGAAAAACTTTACCGAATTAAACATTTTGCAAAACAGATTCACCTTTTCTTTTTTCTGTAAAAATAAATGTAGTTAATTTAAGGTAATTTATTAGTACTAAAATTTATGTTAAGAGTTTGTACCTTTGTTGATTCCTTTGGAGGTATATAAGTATCCTCGCTTTCTGTTTCTTCATCAGAAATTTCTGTATCTTCATTGATAGTGATAGTTGAGCTGCTAGCTTTGTCCAACTCAATTTGTTCATCTATATCATCCTCGTGTTTCGAGTGACGAGCACTTCTGTTAACTAGGAATTGTTCAATTTTACTACTTCTTGGACGACCATCCTTGTCAGTTGTGCTAACGACATGAGATTGCATGCTTACGGTGTTCGATCTTAACTTACTTAATGTGTTCGAAGTAAAAGTACTATGTGTTTGTATATCTCTTTTTAAAACATTATTTGTAGTGGTTTTAGCAGTAAGACCGTATATCTTGTCGACTCTGTAGTTAGATTTTATATTCGTGTCAGGTTTACTCGATAGTTCCTCATATTCACTCATGGATGTATCTTTCGTAGGGACATCTATGTTGAGCGCTATTGATCTATATATGTCCTTAATTAATTTGTCAGTTTCTTTACTGCGTTCCTCTTTTATTATTTCAGTGTTGGTGGAAATGGTGGCGGCTTGTTTGGTGGTCATCGGTTTATTGACATGCGAATTGTTTCTGTAACAATTCGCATACATATGACGACCCGGTGTCTGAATAAATACTGGAAAGTTTTGCATGTATTTCAATGAAGAGCACGGCAAACCCGAGTAGCAGAAGTGACCAGAGCTCATGTGACGCGAACAAGAGGCATTGTAAGGATTCATGTTATAGGGACTATATGTGACACTGTGCAGAAGGCTCGATTTATCCTCGATAATGTCGTGGGAAGCTCCTTTTTGTACAGTTGCATCTTTTGTGGGCTTGTCTTCCGGTAACTTCTTTAACTGAGTATTTGTCTTTACTTCTGTTAATACTGATTGTAATATTGTCTTTATCTGATTCAATGTTTCTTCAGTTTTACTATCTTGTAACGTTGATTCCACTTCTATACTGTTTGTTGTGGTTGTTTGACATTCAGTGTCATTAACGTTAACTGTTAAGCTCTCCGCATTTTTGTATGTAAGTAACAATTTATGTTTCTTAGACGGTTTATTGTTGACCTGTTTTACATATACATCACCGCAATCAATACAAGTATCGGAAGTGCCCATGGGTTTTTGATGATTTACTAGTATTATTCCTTTAGCCCGTTTTGGTATAGTTCTACTAATTTTATCATTTCTAACCGGCAAAGAAACTGAAAGTTTCTTTGGGTAATTAAATTTTGCTTGTGGTAATGTGTGAAAATTGACTTCAAATCGTCGAGGTTTACGTTTAGAATTAGCAGTTGCGTCGGCTGGATAAATTGTATCTATTAGATCTCTTTTTCCGTGTTTAATTCTAGAGATTTCTTTATTTTTGGCGCTTTTCTCTTTAACTGGTATTACATCATACATACTGGAATCGTAATAATTAGACTTATTACTGTTATCAATATTTAAAATATTTCTTGAATTTACTTCTAAATCATTCGAATTTCTAATAGGGTGGTCCAAATTGTGGAATTGTCCATGACAGCAAGAACATACGTCAGACTTATTTCTAAAGGGAGTATTGAAACTTTGCTCAATGTCTCTACAGATTGGTGATGTAAATTGGCTAGTATCCGAGAATTCATCAAATATAGGCCGTGGCTGGTATTGTCTACGTATCATATCAACAAAATATGACCGGCTAATATCACGAGTCTTTTTAACATTTCTATTGTATCTAATTGTTGATTTTCCCTTGATATCATAATTATTGAAAGGTGAATTTGTGGTTTGAGCGTAATATATGAACTGCTGTTTACAGCTATCTTTCTTCTTTGCCTCTTTTTTCTTCAAAGCTTTTCTAAAAATATTTCTTTTATTGTCGACCCTACATCTGTCCGTCAGTATAGAGTTATCAGTACATTGGTGATAACAGTTTTCATTGGCCATGGGTATAGCAGTGCATGTAGCAGATATACTATCTTTTGGATTAGTGTCTTCTACGCAATCACTATGTTTAACGATATGGTTAATTTGCGAGGAGTCGATCGGGTCGCAAAAATTGGACAACATATGCTTGCACATACTGACTTGTGTAGTAGGCGATACTTCTTCCTTCTTTGTACACTGCTTGGCTTCATTTAATTGTTTCTCCAAGTTAACGATCTTCTCTTGGAGATCAGTTACGTCGATTGGTATACAAGATATTATTTTGACTTCTGTCTGTGATGGTGTATTCCCTGAAATGTAATTTTCGATTTCGTACTGTAGTATCCAGTATCAAAATACTAAATTGAAAGGTATGTAAACATGTAGGTACCCAAGTTAAAGGCTATACTGCGAAGAAAGTTTTCGATTCCTTTAAAACGTTGTTTACATTTGCTTTGTATTTGTAACTCTTCGTCACTCATGTCGTTTGTGTACTGGAAATATATTTTCGAGATGTTATAACATTCTGTGCTACTTGTATAATCTGTATTGGTAACATTCAAACCTTTGACACAAAACTACAAATCTGTTTCTAAATGTATTGCAACTTTATTTTGTTAATTTATTTGAGGCATGCTTTTTTCAACGAATAATTTCATTTTTGAGTTCAAAACAATTCCTGATGGATGATACTTATATACTCAAAATGAAAACGTCAGTATGCTACAGATAAAGACGTAAGTTATTTCCTACATTTTGTTTATGATAACTTTTTTATTGTGATTATTTTTTTAAATATTTACAAGGAGTATTTCTATTAATTTAGTATCTTTATATTCCTTTTGTAATGAAGTAATATAACATTAGTTCGTAGGTTTTTTCTTCCGGTTTAATTCTCTTGAAACCATTTTGTCTGTTTTATGTAATTTTATTGGAACAAATAAGGTTTTGGTTTTCGTTTAAATACCTTGTATGGGACTAAACTCTGCGAGTTTATCGTCTTTAGAATTTCACATTGGGAAAAGACAATATTTACAAAACATAATATTTGGTACTACTATATCTTTCTTTAAGAATTAAAGAATAATTTTTAAATGCGTGGATGCTAGGTATTATACTTTTTGCAGATCGTTTTCAGAGATCCTAATCTCCCATTTTTGCCTTCAAACAGGTTGCGTGCCCACAAGGAATAATTAATCTAGAGCAATGGTAACGTAGCTCTTAGGTAGGGTCCTATACTGGCAATTTACTTGTACGTTATGAATGGAAATATAACACGCACTCGTGCCTCATTTTAGGAATAAATAATACGATAGTGTACTGTTTTAAGTTTGACGCGGTCATTATTGATAACTATATTTAGTAAATCACGGGATCTTACGTTTTATTTTTTGTTGAGTTCCCGATATTTTGGCAGTGTTTCAATAGTAGCAACAAACGAAGACGTCTGAAGGTAGACGAATATGTCTGCCCATAAAGGATTTATTGCTCATCAGTTTACCCGTGATCAGTTTACCCGTGATCATGGCCGTTGAAACACTGCCGAAATATCGGGAACTCAACAAAAAATAAAACTTGGTAAGATCCCGTAATTTACTAATTCTACTTATTAATACGACAGTGCCTAATCAGTAAATCGAAGTCTACGTTAATTCTACTTTTACTATTCTGTGAACAAAATATCTGAATTATCCTTCCAAAAAATATTGTTTTCAAACACAATCTAGACAACATTTTAATGTTACAAGTTACAATATAGGACAAATAACTAATCAATTTTCACATTTTATTACACATGCACATTAACGCTGTTCACTCAGAAGAACATTCGAGGTCGATACATCATTGGTGGGTCGCCGAAACTAGACTTGTCTTTCCCAAGCAGCGTCCTCACGATTAAGTTCCTAGGAGAAAAAGGGTTTCTCTTATAAAATAGCTTTTTCAGCATTGCGTTTCTCATGTTAGCGTCACCATTCGCTAATTCTTTTTGTGTTTTATGCGAAAACTTCAATGGGTCATTCTTAAAAGTCACGTTCTGTTTGGCCTGCAAATTCTTCCAGTTAAACAAGACAGGTTTGTCCATAGCAGTCTGGGTGGAGCAGTTTTTCTGAGGATCCTCTTCGCTTTGCGTTGTTGGCGGCTGCATTCTCTTAGTAAGCTTCTTAAAGAATGCCATTTTTCTGTCGCTTTGGGTCGCAATGTTTTTCACTTCTATTTCTTTGAGACACAACGGAACTTGTGTTTGCATTTGGGGGTAGTTGTGGAAAGAGTTTGGATAAGGAGCTGTAGGCTCCTGTGGTGAATAGTGATGATGATGGCGTAAATTTTCATGTTCTCTATGAGTACTGTGTATTTTATATGGTGATAATATGGGACTTTGATAACCAATGTAATTAGGGCCGCAACAATGCGAATAGTCATTGCAATGTTGATGGAACTGAGGGTTTTGATATTGTTGGGTAGCCGATGGTATAGGTGGCTGATGAAAGTATTCCTGTCCTTGCATCATGTAATTGGTCACCTCTTGCCTAAACGGTGACTTCTTCTTTACATCTACTTCTATTGTACTTTCGCTCTCACTTAATTCTTCTATTGCATCATTCTTCTTCTTTTTGAGAAACCCAAATGATCGCAACACATTTGCGAATTTGCTTCCTTTGCCCTATAAACAGTTTTTTTTAATAAATATATAAAACATAAATATCCATATTTATAAAAATATAAATATGTACATTATTTTTAGTAAATAATGGCAATAATCCTATTATTATATTGACGTTGACCTTAGTGGTCTAGCGATTTAGCACAGATTAGCGATTTAGCCCTACTTCCGATGGTCGCGGGTTCGATTCTTCGCACAGTAGAAACATTTGTATTCATAAGTACATATGATTGTCTGGGTGTTTTATATATATATATATTTAGAATTTATATGCAAAAAACTGTATTTATGTCAGTCATAGTCAGCTTGGCTTACCTTGGCTCTAGATGTCGCTGTTATTATTACTATTCATTTAAAAAATTAACCTTTTTTATTGTAGTTGGATCACTGCTGATCTCGGTCTCTAATACAGTATCCGTTGCTGTGGCTTCTAAACTAAGCTTCTCTAATACAGTGTCTGAATAGCTCGAGTTTGTTCGAGAGTAATACGTATCCGAGTGTGGGGAACCGATAGCTTCACAACTCTTGGAATAGCATTTAATTTTTGGCGTTCCAACCTTAACATCATGTTTAGACATTTTAGAGCTACCACCGACGCTTCTTGAAGTCAGCATTTTTGATACTGTATTCTCATTTCGAACTTTAATGCTTCTATCGCAATTGTCTTTTTTACGTCCACTTTTAGGACTTTGCGTAACGAGATTATAAATTTCTTTTATTAATTGATCAGTTTCGTTGTTAGCAGTGGTATTAAATGTATCGTTTGTAGTATTCTGGTTATTTTCATGAACTTCTTCTTTATTGTTTGTGCAATTAGCACACGTGTAACTTGGGCTTGGCACGACGTAGCCATTTTGCATGTAGTTCATAGGATATAGAGGTAGTAGTGGGTAACAACACGGATTCGTAAACGCTGGTATAAAAGGTGAAACTGGTGGTAAACTACTTGGTGACATGCTAAAGTTATTTATACCGATTTCACTGTTATTTTTTATCATACCAGCATTTATTTTACTTCCATTTTGGCAATCATTCAGTCGTTTCTCTCCAGATTTATTACTTATTTCAGATTTACCACATTGTGAGATAGATTCTTTCTTTATTTCCTGTAAAAAACTTTGAAGTATTTCTTTTATTTCACACAGAGCTTTGTCCGTTTTGTCAGCACATGAGTCCGATTCCTGTGACTTATTTAATGATATGTCGTTTGTAGTACCATTGCCTTGTTCATTGTTAGAAATTGGGGATTGTAGACTACTCATTGTATCCATACCTTGTTGTATTTGGTTGATTTTATCAGATTGATGAAATTTTTGTAATTGTTTCTGGTTGTTAGTTAATCCAATGGATTCATTACTGTCTGGAGTATCTCCATAGTCTTGTCGTCTTCTTCTATTCCTACGTTTATTGTAAGTTGCTTCATCTTCTATTTCGTTAGAGTACTGCGCTTTTAAATTTAATCGTGGTCTAAGAGTTCGCGGTGACGGAGGTACCTCCTTATAGTATTGAGAATCTTCTATGAATTTTCTCCTGGATTTTGGACTTGACTTTTCCTTGACTGGAATTAAATCGTAAAGTGTGGAATCATTATAATTATTAACATATCTTCTATGGTATTTATGTCGTGTATTTCTCTTCGAACTGTACAACCGCGTATCGCATATACTTCGCATATCATTGAGATCATTCTCGTGCACGTATTTAACCCTTCTTCGTCCATCGTAGCAGCAGGAACATAATTCTGAGCCTTCTAGAATATTTTCGTTTATAGTATATTCTTGATCACGGCAAACAGGAGCAGAGAATTGACTGATATCCGATTCTCGTTTACCAAATATTCTCGTTTGTTTATATTGCTTTCTTATAAGGTCTGCAATAAAGTCCCTATCCACTTCACGTTCATGTGTGTCTCTACGGCTTCTATCACGTTTAAGATCCTCATAAATGTACATAGATTTATGTGGTTTGATTCTTTTGTGTTGATCTTTTAACTTTTTTGGGATTTCATTAAAGAACTCGGGAGCATCGCGTTGTCTTTCATATTTGCTATTATACTTTCGATTTTGTTGGTCATTGTAAATATATCCATTACATTTCGGTTCAATGAGTGAATGATAACTGCTAGTTGAGTATGCTGTGACAAAGTTATCATATACCGATCTAGTTTTATGATGAAGTATATCTGGGTGGCATTCTTCCGTTGCGTTTGATCTATTGATTATTTTATCCCTATTCTTCCTTAGTTTTGATCTGGAATATTTATCACCCTGTGTTAAAAACTTCTTCGCGTTTACATTTACATTATTGTCATTGTGATCTAGTATCGATACGCTTTCACTGTCATCTGATTTTCTATATTGACTTTCGGATGTCTTATACAAAACTTTAGTTTCAACTCCATTTGAATTTCTTTCACAAGAAGCCTCAGCTTGTTCTTCTTTTGTTTCTGATATATTATTTCTAATTTCTGGAATGGATATGCTAGATTCTTGCCTGGAACTACTCTCAACTCTTATCAGTTGCTTGCTGACATTACTTAATTGTTTTTCTAAACCTACTATTTTGTGTTTCAAATCTGTTACATTAATAGCAATACTGGAATTTATTTTGATGTTTTGCTGCGAGGAATTGCCTGAAATACAAGAGAAAGATACTTTACAAAAAAGATAAAAGCCCATACTTTGAAATATTCAAACCATATCAATCAACCCAATACCAATTGAAATGACTTCAGATTTTTTGGTAACTGAATGGTAAATAAGCTTATGAAGATAAAGCCACCTGATGGTAAGTGATAAATCTTGGCTATAGACATAATTAGTATCATGGGCAAGTCTCGTAACGTTCAGAAATGGCAATGTATAAAGGGCGCCAAGCCTTCATTGCCAATTTTTAAGCTTAGTCCTTAGAAATAGGAATGCATAAGGCCTCTGTGCCCAGTAATTTCACTGACATTTCTCACACTTGTAACTGGAAAAAATCTGATAATTACAAAGCTAGTTGTCTAGCGACAGAAATAAATGAGGCCCCACATGCTGTGGTAATATCAAATAATACAATGAAACTAGGTATTTACTGCAACTGATTGCATTTTTTTATAAGGTCCTTAGCATTCCGAGGCTGTCAAGTGTCCTGGTCATATAAGTATATGGTATATATTATAATAATAATAATCTCAAGACAAATTCACACAGACCCAAGTTAAGCTAGCTAAAGCTTGTGTTATGGGTACTAGATAACTGATACAAATATATAGATTTTTTTCGTAAATATATACATATTATATATAGAAAACCCAGACCGATAGACAATTATACTTATGAATTTTTGAAATGTTTGTGCCGTGCGAGGAATCGAACCCGCGACCACCGGAAGTAAGGCAGTGTGTTAAACTACTAGACCACCGAGTCTATCAATACATATATATGTATATATTTAGCGAAAACAGTGAATGTCTTTTGAATTTTACAAACCTAGAGCACGCCATAGAAAGTCCTTTATCGCCCGGTACCGTCGTTTGGTTCGCGGAGAGATACGGCGACGAGGAGTACGCAGGTTCATTGCCTATCCTCCACCAACCACTACCTGCGTATGTATTTAACAGTAGCAATAAACTTTTAAACAATTGCTTTTAGCACACACTAGTCTTTGATTTCGTCTGCTTTTTTATATAAAATAGAAAATCCGTTATTCAAATAAACTTAAATTTAAGCACTTGAACACTTATTTTTTTTAATATACCAAATAATATTTGAGAAGCTCCTTCTATATCAGAAACTAGCTGTGACCGCGACTTCCTCCGCGTAGAATACTAGAATCTAGGCTAATTATAAAAATAAAAAAAAGGTTTTATCGTTTTAGCTTCAATATTGAGGAATTTATACTTCTATTTTATTTTACCGCATTAAGAGTAATTTTTTAATATGTTAGTATTTAATATGACATTCAAAGTTACAAACTTTGAATGTCATATTTTTTTATATTTAATCAACAGCGTCTATACATACAAATAAAATTGGAGTGTCTGTTTGTAATATTGAAATAACCGTATTTTACTACATACGGTACATAAACCAAAATAACATTTTTTACAATTTTTGTCTGTCTGTCTATCGGTCTGTTTATTCCGGCTAATCTCTTAAATGGCTGCACCGATTTTGACGGGGCTTTTTTTGGCAGGTAGCTCATGTAATAAGGAGTAACTTAGGCTACTTTTATTTTAGAAAAATAAAATAAAATTCGACGCGAAGTCGCGGGAACAGCAAGTTAAAAATAAGTTTCAAGTTTCTAGCTTTAAAAATGACGAATATACAAATTTTCATCTTCCCTTTGAACCCTATTTCCATACTAAAAAGTAGCGTAAAGTAGCGTAAATCGGTTCAGCAGTTTTAGCGTGAAAGTGCCACAGACAGACAGCCCTAGACAGAGCTACTGTCGTATTTATTTGGTTAAGAGATAAAGAAAAAAACATTCTGATTCTTATACTACCTTTATATCGATTGATGAGTGTATTATCAGGATTCTTCATGTGCTCCATTGTACAAAACGTTTTCCATTATTCTATAATTGGATATGTCCGAGAGAGTTGCGCTTATAGTTAATTAATTTTATTTTACAATATTAATAAATTAAACTAAATATCATTGACTTTTGAATTTTATTTGACTGTTGTGTTTAAATTTTTTTTCTTAACAATTAATATGTGCCAGTTATAAATCATATTATGATTTATATTAAAGTGGAATTGGTCACGATGGGCTAACTGACCTGATCTCGTACTCATCCTATGATCCTCCACTGATACCCCGCCAGCATATACCGTTAGAGCAGGAGGGTGCACCATTCCATTATCATCAATTAAAAAGACTTCTACAGTTAATAGTGTAAATACATAACTGTTTTTTTTAATAAATATGTGTATTTCTCTTTGTAAGTATTTATAAAAATGTACTCTATAATTATAATAGTAAATGTCTTTATTTGTTTCAAATAAAAACGAATACAATAGCTATAAAATTTAAAAGTAATAAATGAGACAAAACAGACTATAACTCAGAGGAGCAGTGAGTGAGCACTCCACCTTCTCTGCTATTCTGTTATTGATATGTAATGAATTCTATACAAGTACATATAATTCCTAAAGGGACCCCTTTTAATAATATATTTTAGTTATTGTATTATATTTTTTAAGCTTTTAAATATTAGGTTGTAGTTGTACAATTAAGTTATGTAAATGACTAAATAAACATTTTGTTAATATACGGCTGCATTTAGTAATTCAAAAATAGAATCATATTGACATAAGTCTGTCATGCAACGTCTGTGATGTTATGATCATTTTGGAAAATTTTTATTTTTTTGAACAAATTGTCGACATTAAATTATAAAATGATTTCGAAACTTTTACGGTCCGGTATCAAGTCTCATCCACGTATATTAGTGTACAAGAAACATGTAATGAGTCCACAAATGGTGTGCATACGCCCAATTTTCGGATTGATACCACCAAATCAATATGATATGCCGATGTCTAAGAAGTTTAATCTGGGTTATGTGATGAAAGTGCATTGGGAAATAGTACCTTTGCTTATTACTACAGCTTTCGCTCTAGGCGTTGTCTTCATGGCGATAGTTTGGGCTTGTAACAACAAGGTAAGTGTGATATATCATTACAAAGTATAAAAGAAAGTCGCTGTCGCTGTCTGTCCGTCCCTATGTATGCTTAAATCTTTAAAACTACGCAACGGATTTTGAAGCGGTTTTCTTTAATAGATAGAGTGATTCAAGAGGAAGGTTTATATGTATAATACATGTAAACCCGTGCGAAGCCAGGGTAGCTAGTAGGATATGTAGGTAGATAAAATATTAAATTGTAGGTAAAACTGTTTACTGTTTCTTTGTGTCTTAGTTTTTGTCATGTCATTAAACGCCAGTAAGCAAACATCAATTTTATTCCTCTACGCTATAGAACGTTTCAATATTTCTCAGTAACCTAGATCCTCGGTAAATTGTTTTTTTTTTCTAATAATGATTATGGAATGATGCACCCGCATGTGCTAACGGTATAAACAGGCGGGGCACCAGTGAAGGATGATAAACTGAACATGGGGATAGGTCTGTTAGCTCATGACTGGTGAATTATCAGGAATTTATCATGATGAATGAATTTATTATAGGGGGAACGTGTGGATGTCATGACATGGTAGACTGCTATCAATGTGACCATTAGTCCAAATTACTAATGATTCCTACCATTTGTAGATTGTTATTTATTGTAAGAATTAAGGATGATACAGAGATTAATCGAGAGAGTATCAAGAGAGATGGGAAGGGTTTAGACGCAAATGGGTTTGGGTTACTAACTTTTATAATATCCATAACACACGCTCTCTCTTAGCTTGGGACTAGATGGCGCTATGTGAATTGTCTTGAAATATTATTATTATTTATATGTATGTTAGGTAAAATTATAGATTTGTCCTTTCCCACCACTGCCCATCAATCGCTTTCTGTTCTTACCTAATGATTATCTGGTAATGAATGCCATATGGCATTAAGCCCGCCAAATTGTACAATTTTTAAGTGCAATAAAAGAAAAAATAAATATATCTCCCTTTTTACGAGGGCTAACATTCAAACGCACGGGTTTTAAGTAAAGGTTAAGGTACTTGGGATGACTAAAGAAATTTTCTTACAATACGGCACATGTTAAGAGTAACGGTTTTTTTATACCACGTAACGTGGCAAACAAGCATATGGTCCATCCGATGGTAAAAGTTACCGTAGCCTATGGACGCCTGAAACACCAGAGATGTCACAAGCTCGTTGACGACCCTTAAGAAACCCTACTATACTCTTCTTGATATATTTACTTCATCCTTTTTTTTATGGAAGAGGGAATATGTAACATCTAAATATTTTTTATCATTATTGTTAGGTGGACGTCGTGTTCACATCTCGAAGCCGCGAAAACATCTCGCGCACTATGGATCTTCGTAACCCATCTGTACACAAAATGCTCATCATCAACCAACGGTATGAACCCTGGAATGAAATGCAGGATGTTCTAGACAAGATGGTCACTGCTGAAAAGAGGGCGCTGGTGCGCACGCAGTCCTGTAGTCACGCCTAAATTAATGAAATTACAGGATAGGATATGACACCAAGATGTCATGTCCTATCCTGTAATTTCATCCTCGAATCTCATCATCTCTCATCCTCTCGAATGGCAACGCATGAGTGGTATCACGGATGTCACATGATAACGTGATGTCCATAGTGCTGTTCATGTCTTTATACATGGTTACCGTTTACCATGAGGCGGGCAGTAAGCTTATTTGCCATTTCAATTTGATAAAAATTTTGAAGTTTCATGAATCTTAATAATGTGATAATGTTATGGTGAGTTTGTAATCATTAATATGTTATTTATTACAGCATTTTTGTATTTGTAATATATAAATCTGTTCTGGTAATTGTTTTTGAATGATGTAATATCTGTTTGTGTTATGTTAATTTTTGTTTTGAAAATAAATATTGTTTTTTTTTCGATAAATGAACATTTCATTGCTATATAATTCACTATATAAAATGTACAATACATTTTATATAGTGCACATTTCCTAGAAACTTTACAAGAAATCTGCACTACATCTATATAGTCTTCTAGAAGATTGCTCGCGCAGTCCTGTAACCCTGATAAAAGGTAAAGAGAAGGAATAGAGTTTTTTAGCTGGTATGAGTCTGTCAGTATCCTCAACTCTAAGAGGATAATCCTAAAGTTAAAAAAAGATGACAGTAATATGCCTAACTGGTATGCCTTCATTTCAGGTGAAGGATTTAGTGAAGGCAGTAAAATGACAGTAAGGATGAATAACATTTTAGTTTTCTAGAATGGCAACACGTAACTGTTATTACAGATGTCACATCAGACGTGGTGCTTTTTTTCGAACTATTAGAATAGAATAGAATAGAAAATCATTTATTCAAATAAACTTACATTGAAGCACTTTTGAATAGTCATTACATTTTTTTAATCTACCGCTCGTTCGGAAAGCTGTCTCATCACAAGAAGAACGAGCAAGAAACTTGCGTGTTGCTCTTTTAAATAATTTTATTATTACTTTACATTTTTAAGTTTAAGTGTGTAAATACAATAAATATTCTAATGCTGTTTGCCATAACTGGCCTTTATAGCTTCTCCGAATAATAGGGGGTGAGCGCAGATGGCACAGAAATCCGCGGATGGACTTATGGAGCGGCTGAAGGCCAACTTGCGCATTTAGTTTGTGGCACCGCTAGGGGTCAGAACGTCTGCTCAGACTAATATCGATCCCCGTTTAATTGGTCGGGAGATCGGAGAAGTCCGTGGTGATGTACAGGTATAATTCATCCTAACCATTATTGAGATCAGGATGGACTGTACGTATTTAATTAACGCTGTGCACCTTCTAAGAAAAATCACTACAGTTGATTTTTCTTAACTTTTTTATTATTATAATGTCAGAGTGATATTGTGTGTGTCATATGTGGTTGAAACGGAAATATCGGGAATTCAATAAAAATAAAATGTGGTAAGATCCCGTAATTCCCTAATTATATGTGTCAAGTGGATTTTCAGCTTGTTTGATAATAAAATCACATAAAAAACTTGAAGTTAACATTAACTTTAAGAAAATTGAATTTCAAACGGAATAGACAAAAATATAAATATTATTATTATCACCATCAGGCGGATTAGCTTGTTGCTATTTCAATTACCAAAAAAAAAGAAAAAGTATGTGACGGAATAAAAACTCATTGCATATCGTTTCCAATATTTTTATTTTTAAATTAGTGGCAGTGAAGTTGTGTCGGGTACGTTGATTAGTGATACAAACAGAAACCGGTCTGCCTCAGTCGTTACAGTGTTGTTCCAATATAAAAATAACTATCCGATTACGGAACGAGTAATCGATTTCGTTTTTCGACAATGTAGAATCTAAACGTGGACTTGTCGCAAATTGAAGTCTCTGTGATATAACATAGAGTACATATTCAATCAAAATAAAATTAATAAGTATACCTCGTTATCTGAGTTCATAATTACCTACAATTGAATACGTATTTTTATAACACGAAAAGGATAATTTATACAATTTTTTTTTTTAATTTACGCAGAGATTCCTTATCGAATTATGAAAATAAAATAGCTATTGCCAGAGACTTCGATCATAGACAATAATGATTTACAACGAAACATTTTGTCGATGCACGATATTCATTTATTAATTCGTGTGATGTTCACAGATATTAGTCAACTCAAGTATTCATATGTGATGTACCTTTATATAACGACGTATCTATTTCCCATTAGTTAATATTATTATATAATAGTAAATAAAAATAGGTAGGTGTCTATATAACAATTATTTTGTGTTTATTCCAACAATGATTAATAAAAATTTTAAATACACATCATAACATACACAAAATCGCCAAGTCTTAATTTAATGAGCTTTATTAGATTTTGATTAAAAAATATAACTGTACCAAATCTTGAACTAAACTTTCTATTTGCACAATTGAACATAGACGGTGTTATACAAGCATATATACGTACATAAAGTTGACCAATTTCTGTGAATGTAGCACTCTTAGTGAGTAATATTTTTGGCACTAGAATATAACTTTTATTATGTATGTCATAAAATTTAATTTATTTCTTTCAATTCTCTAAATTGGAGCCGGTTTTATATAAGTATTTATTTTGGTTATTACTAATATTTATGCACTCGGTAGAAATTTTCTAAATCATATTTTAAACACAACGAATTATTCATCACGTTGTCTATGTCATTTAAAATGTCATTAAAAGAGCATTTAACACCAACATCAACAACAAATTGGTATATATTGTAAAGAATATTTTTTAGGAAATGCCTAATGAAAAAGTTTACGTCAATTTAAATATGTTATTTTGTTTATTATTTGTAAATTATTAGCACCTTATTTTTTACCGGAAAGTATTATTTGTATTTTTATGTTGGTAGTACAATGACTAAAAACGCGGAACGTGTAAAGCTTGAACCTATTACATTATCATAGTTAATTGTAGATAAATTGTATGAAATACATAATAAAAGTTGTAAATAGTTATATAAAATAATTTGGCACATAACATGTAAATTAAATTGCATTCTAAGTGCTATTAAACTGTAGCGGTTATGTTTCATCTAACATTCAATATTTTACGTATTTCCTTGTTCTTGCACTGGAACTATGAAACAAAACCGTTATAAAAACGATACTCCAAAACGCAAGTTACCATCGAAAAAACTGTATCGTTTACATCGTATTAGATATCTAAACGTAGTATTTAATATCAATAATGTACCTACGAGCAATGACATTGTAACGATGTAAATAACTAGATCCGGGCAAACGATTGTGTTGGTGATGGGACGAGCGAGCCCACGTCCCATTCCAAGGAATCGCAAAATAAACGGGCGGTGTATGAAAACGTACATTAAAACATCATTGCTGCAGGTTGGCAACTGTTCAATATTGTTACGACTGCGTTCAACAGTAGATGGCGTTACTTAATATTATGTCAGTCGTGTACATACACACGGTGCACCGCGAGGCAAAAACAGCCCGGGGCAGGGCTGCCAACTGCACGGACCCTCAGCAATTCATAAGTATATTTCAACTCTCATAATAGTTTTATGAGATTTTGACCTACGAAAATCGGCCAAAATAATATGATGCACGAGGTTAAAGAGCCAAGTTGAGCTAATGTACGTTTAATCAGTTTTTGTTCGTACGAGGCGTAGGTTGGCAACACTGACCCGGGGCGTCACTGTTGACTGGCCGGTGCAACAATATCTAAATTTGTACTCCGCGACTGAGAGATTCAAGCGCTGCAAACGTCATAGACACTTACTAGACAAATTGAAGATCATTGTTGATATAATAGCGGTTCGTAGAGAATCAAGCGGCTTGAATCAAGCACATGAGTTTAGTGTATGATTGAAAGATGTTTGGTTGATTGATATAAAATATCTATTAGGTCAATTCACGTATTATATTAAATGTACAGTCAGTTTCAAGCGGAACTCATGTGCTCAATTCAAACAGTTAAATTGTCTACGAACATCATACACCTTTATTCATAAAAACGCCAATTATAAATCCATTTTAGCTACTGAACTCTATTTTAACTTTTGTCCTTTTTCTTCAGTATATTTCTTTTATTATAATGAAAGTGACAAAACACTTTAATAGTCAAAATATACATTCACGACTATCATCATTGGGGTAGTAGAGAGTCATTAAGTGGAAAATAAACTATCGACATCGTATAAAAAATAATCTTTTTGGTGTCAGTTAAATTCGAATGGCCTTGGGTCCAAGTGGGTTCTCAACCTCATCACAGTTAAAATATATTTTTAATAAACAAAATGGTTTTATATTCGTTTTTATGAATACAGTTTTTGATAAAAACCTCAAGGAATTCGTTCATTTGTTTTGTTTTATTTATCCTTTTGGCATAGGCAAAGAGTCTAAGCTTATACAGCCATTAGTAATTCGTTTGTCACAACGGTTGTCAGTTGAATCTTCCAGTCGCGCCCGATACACTCACGGGCCTTAACCGCACGGCCACAATCCATTTTTTTTACTATTTACCTCATTATTACTCCTATACACATAAAAATATTAAAACGGAACGCTTTACCTAGATATTATTAGTGTGCGTGTCGGACCATAATACCATAGACTCACCATTAGCTGTACAAACGAATTGAAAACGTTTAAATCGAAGAAAGTAGGAATTTACGTAGATAGATATATTGATAGGTACAACACTCCATTTGCAAAATGTTTCCATAAATATTATAAATACATAGAACAAGAGTGACTTCACGTTAATTTATAATATTAGATCTTAATTCAGACTGTCTTAATTAAAGGAATTTAAACTGTGTCAATTTAGACAAGTTTACTTCTGTTGCTCCACAAATGTCACGGGTTCCCGGCCGGAACGGGGCCCAAACGACAAGGAGAGTTTGTATAAAGTCATATACGTCCTCTGTCATACTTATTTCACCGCCAAGTAGCTTGTTTCGTAATATTTGATTCGGTAGAAGGTTCAAAGATAAGGCAATGAACTTAGAGGACACAGATGCCTGACAAAGTATAAGTAGTGCTAAGGGTACTTGTTAAGTTGGATTAAAAAGGACTTGTATCCAGATCCGTAAACAATTAATAAAAAAAATATAATTATTGTTTGGTACGACTGATCCATCTAGTAGGCATGTAAATATAATTTGATTTAGTATAAAACGATAATTATATCGCTTTTCATATGTAAATGTTTCATTATAAGATTTATTAAGACAGCCTCATCGGAACTGATTGACAAATGTTTTGTCAATGAAATATGTACCCACGGTGCAAAGTCACTGATTTAGCAGGAAAAATTGCCAGGTGTTGTACCTAGTTCTGATAATGTTTTTATATTCGTTTTTGCGAATTATTTTTTCACAACTTCATACAATTTGATGGCATTGCGAATCGGCCTGGCGAGGCCACTTTATTGTATTTTATATAATAACGGAAATTTTACAGCTAATCTTAATAGCGAGAATAAATCGAGAACCGACCTTTAGAACAAGTCACAATATCAAAACTTAGAACCAAGACTTCATTAAATATAAAATTGTATGAAAAACATTACAATACAATGATATCCGGTTCATGAAAATGGAATCTTGACTAAATAAGTTTTATAATTATAAACAATTGTCATCTCATCTCATGTTATCGCCACTCAAGCATAACAGAATAATCTAAATGTATTTAAAATCTTGTACTTTCAACGAGAACTAGGTTATAAATCGAGGTGTCGAATGTTAAACGATATTAATATTTGACTAGAATTAAATATGAGGTAGTAGAGTTGAAATTTTCATGAACCGTCCTTGAACAATATAAGAAATGATAAACGAGTAAGCAAACTATACGTACATAGGTACTTAATTACGTAATATAAGTACACCAAAAGTGTTTCCTCAAATACAATCATAACTTCCACAGATAACTTCATAGACACAAATGAATAACGCATCACGCCACGCGCCACCAACGTACGCGCGAAAACGTCCAAAACTGAACTCTGCCTTACCATAGACAGCTGGCTGGCTGCCTGATGGGTGCTGGCAATCACGTGTTCAATAATAATAATTCAATAATAATAATCAATAATAATAATAGTTAATATTACACCTTAAATAACTTTACAATTTATGAAACCCCTGCGGGTATGTAAAACTTATTAGACTTCATTTATATGATACATTAATGTGGTAACCGCTCACATATTGGTACTATACAAAAATTAAAAACATTATACAATAATACTACAATACGATATAGCTAATAAATACAAGAATCAACTTACAACTACCAATACCTCATTTGGCATGTTCTTATTATGCGAATGTTCGGTATAATTGGTATTTTAGTTACAACCTTTTTTATAACATTCAATTTATTAATTAATATAATTTTATATATCTATTATATAAACGTACTCTCTCTGAAACAACGTCTTATGTTTGGAACTATTATCTGCTGGCGGGCCGCATACAGTCTGTCACTCTATAAACGTTACGAATCTTTCTCCATCGAATTTGGAAGAAAATGAGAGTTTGGAATGAAGCGTGTGTAAGCATGGTAACCACACTGTTGCAAAACTGTGCATCGGCCGTTGCAACAAGTTACTGTGTGTGTGTGCGTGCCAGTGCCAGTACCCAGCAGCTCGCCAGCTCCCTGTTCAGCAGTTCAACAACCCTCGGACATCTCGTTAGACAATCAGTTAACCACAACAGCATTCAAAATTATTTGCCACTCCACACTACTCACATAATTCCTCACGAGTACACATAACTGAATATATGTATGAGCAAAATCACTTGCCATCCTCAGTAATAACTAGGTATGCACTCACGCCATATACCACGTGTATAATATTAGACAGAAATTTGTATATTTATTGTATTTTTTGGAGTCTTACTCACGATATATTATGGTGTTATACGATAGACCTCGGCGACGAGGTCCGAAGTCATCCGCACTGCAATTACATAAAGGTAAATGCTCAAAACATTAGGCCAAATTGTACGCAACGTGACGATAATCTTAACAAAACTGTACCAGTTATCGGGAAGCGTGCAGGAGGGTCAAAGGAAACCCGGACGCTTCCGACTTCGTCCGCCGTGTGCGGTCGAATGGCGCGGGGGGCGCAGCGGCCGCGGCCCCCCTACTACACTATACTGTTATAATTATTGTAAATCGTCGCTAACACGTGTATAATTTATTATTTACCTAAGAACATTGACGATCTCGATGATAAATATTTCTGCTGATGCTGTGGCCGGTGTCTCTGGCTAGTATACAGTACGCTACGTCGTGCGCCGTCGGCGGGCGCGGTCGCGGGGACTCTGCATCGGATCACCGGCTCGTACACTTAAGTAATCACCTTAGAAATCGATAGGAAGTCAGTTTTACTTACAACAATTCAGCTATTTAATAACTAGGGTTATGCGGAGCGCCTCGCATCGCGAATTGACGTGACGGGTCGACGGCGCGAGGCGGGACCGCTATAAATTTCATATATAAGTCTCTAATCGTTCACTGTGTTGTGACATCCATTCTGAGCTCCTCACTGACGTTTTATCCATCCGGCTTTATCTCCATCGTGCGCTAAATAAGAATATAGGCCGATCTCTGACCGAGTCCGCCGACACCGGTGGTGGCAGCGGAACGCGAGATCGATGCGATTATACTACGAATCGGTGCGAGATCACTACACAGCCCCCGTGAACGGACGTATCCGATCATCTTTCCTCTTCTCCCTCGGCATTCTCTCGGACTCGACGAAACTACGGGCTCGAGTCCTCGCTCAGAGCGGGTGCTCGCGTGACCCCATCAGATCTGACAATAAGATATCGAATGTCATACTCCTTTAGACTAGTATTGGTTAGATCCGAGTCGGTTGGCGGGGCGCACGCGGCAGTACGTGCGGTTAGGGCGCGGGTGCGACGCGAGCGCAGCGCCCGCGGCTCAGCGCGCAGCGATGCGGCACAGGGCGTGGCGCACGGCGGCGGCGGCGGCGGGCACTGCGGCGCCGCACAGGCCCGATCAGAGTCTGTCTTCTTCCTCCTCCTCTTCACCCTCGTCGCCGGCCTCTTCGTTTTCCTCCCTGTAGCCAGGGTGCTCGCTGATCGCGTAATAGTTCCCGTTGTAGATGACGCCGAGCTCTCGCAGCGCGTCGCCTCTGATCGTCGCTTTAATAGTCCAATTGTAGCAGTCGTCCGATTCCGATTCGCGGTCTAGCCGCTCCACGTCCAGAATTTTTGAGCTGAGCCTCTCCAAGATTATGCCGATGTCTTTGATCGTGAGATGTCGTTTCTGGTCTACGCTGAGCTGGTCTATCAGAAGGAGAAATTTTTCCGAAGTGACCGCCTCGTCCTCGACTAATGTGTTTTCGGTCTCGCTCTCCGAGGAGTCGCGATCGCCGCGTCGAGCTGACTCTGCGTCGAGAAAGCGCACGTGGCCCTTAGGGCGACCCTGGGGCGAGGCTCGCGGCTGTGCATCTTGTATGGGAGAGGTGGCGACGCTTTTATGAACGGCGATCCGTCGGCCCTCCTCGTGCAGGGCGCAGCAGTGGAAGTCGCACTCGTCGGGCGGCGGGCGGGCCGGCGGCGCGGGCGCGGGAGACGCCGAGCCGGCGCGACACTCGGCAGTGTGGACGTGCACCGGGCCGGGCGGATGCTCGAGCGAGCCGGAGGCGCGCGATAGGCGGCCCCGGGGCTCGTCGTGGTTGACGACGGTGATGTGCGGCGGCGGCGGCTGCGGCCGCTCCAGCGAGGTCTGGATAACGAGCGACGGTCTCCTGTCGGGCTTGGCCTGCCGCGAAGGTGAGCGTGCTGACGGCGACGCCTGCGGCCGCTGATCCCAGTGCAGCACGACCGTGACGCGCCCCTTGTTGTCCATGATCTTCCATGAAGGCGTCTCATCGTGCAGTTCGAGTGCATGGATCGTTTCGCATACTATTTTTGGAATTGCCGATATCGCTGTAAACAGACGACAGTGACACGTTAAATTGAAATATGACATATGAATGTATAATAGTAATAACCAACGTGTTCAACTACACACAGATTTATACATTCCAAGACAAACAGAGCTTGTTTTATGGATACAAGAGAACTGATACCAATACTTATTATATACGTTTTTTAAATACGTATATAATGTATATAGAAAACATCCAGACCAATACAAACAATCATACTCATGAATACTAATGTTTGCACCGAATTGAACCCATGACTACCGGTAACTAAAGGTTTAGCTCACTAGACTATAAATTAGTATACGATTGCTTTGGTACGTACCAGCTTTGATGACGTCGACACCCGTGGGGTACCATCGTTCGCCCTGCCGCAGCAACAGCAGCACCGTATTGGGTGGTAAGGTCCGCCAGTAGTCGCCGTCTTCCACCTGCGTGCCGTCGCTCTCGAGTACCAGCCGCACCGGCTCGCTCGCCGCTACAGACAACTTCTCTTTACCTGCGACCAACATACCATCATTAACAATGATAAGAATGCAAGGCAAGTTAATCATATAAATATAGAGTTAGTTTTTAGAAATTATGCACAAGATGACGTGTAACCTAAGGAACCGTAACCTAAAGGAAAGGCCTTTATATATACGTTCTTACACGCTTAATAAAGAGCATTTTGGCAAAGAGAACGAAAATTCCCGCGTTCTTCAATCGTTCGTTCAATTATTATTATACAATTAAATGTGCAGTGTAATGAAACTTTTTGTAATAATTAAATATCATTACAAAATGGCGAACATATGACCATAGTCAGACGTCCGCCAAATGGCGGACATGGAATGGCGCCAAATTGCAAAATTGCAATGATAACTCTATAAAAATAAATCTATGGAATAAAAGTAGACTAAGCTGTATGGTCTAAGGATCTTTGCCTGTTCCATCATTGAAAAGGACTTGGACGAATATGGGAAAAAATCTATGGAATAAAAAAATAAATTTTAATAGATATTGAAATGACACGAAATATATGCGCAATCACGAGCGGAAAAGTAAACACAAAAAATAGTTAAATTCAGTCATGATTATTTTCCACGAGCTCTCCAGATCATACGTTAGAAAGACCATTGTTTGAGTAAAGGAGAGGGCTGTTTATATTCTCTCCAACTTATTTAATTGCTAGAATCTTTAAATATTAAGTTGTAGTCCGACATTAATATCTACGGAACGTACTGTACCAAGTAAAGATATGCGTGAGGTTGTCACGGCGAAGCGAGGGCGTATTTTATCTGTAGATACTACATACTCTACATATCGATAGCAGAAAACTGGAATTGTCGTAACTTAACCAACCCATATGCTGTACATCCACAGTATAATACAATTAAATAAATATTTACTACTGGTACGTGATGATGCGGCTTGAATGCTCAGATGGTAGGTGAGGTTGTCTTCAGCAGATTACGGGTGAGTAAATGATAGATTTCCCTTGATTTCTTGAATTTAATTGGTAAATACTATGATAGATTACAATTTTGGTGGCGTGAACAAAAGTACGTTAGATCGATCGGTTGATATTTTAAGTCTGTTACATTACGTTGCATATTTAAATTGGATGGGTGTGCGCTCCAATCAGAACGCTCCTTTGGTGTTGCGTTTTGTTTCTGCTTGTACGCGACAACTACATATAAATAATACTTTATTCTTTGTATGTTTATTGCCACAACCAGACACGATCATGAAACCGCATGCCGAATGTTAAATATAAAAGATCCCTATAGCCCAGAAGAAATTAAAAGTAAGAAAACCACAATAAATACGGTTATAGCACATATACAATATCACATCATCAGCCCACTGCAGTCCACTGCTGGACATAGGCCTCTCCCAAGGCACGCCACTGGGCACGATCTTCAGCCCTTCTCATCTAGTTACTACCAGCAACCCTACGTATGTCGTCGCTCCACCTAGCTGCGGGGCGTCCTACACTACGTTTGCCAATTCGCGGTCTCCACTCTAGAACACGTCTACTCCAGCGAGCATCGGTTCTACGACAGATATGACCAGCCCACTGCCACTACAACTTACAAATACGAAGAGCTATGTCGGTGACCCTAGTTCTCTGGCGAATTACTTCGTTACGGATTTGATCCCTCAGAGAAACTCCAAGCATAGCCCTTTCCATAGCTCGTTGACGACATATACAATATATCATCAGCGAATTAAAAAAATTAACCAGACATAAACTTTGAGTGACTGAAGGTCGGTGGTTGATAGTACTTTTATACTAACTAAGTATATCGCTGCATGCCGTGGGCCCAGTAAAAATGTAACAAAATTATTAATTTGAGTTTCACTCTTAATACTGGCGAGTGTACACCGATGGCGCAACCGCTGTATTGAAAGGAGATCCAATATACAACCACATAAATAAAAAAAAAATACACAGTTCACCATCATGATGATCATAATCATAATATGATGAAAAACACCTGCAGAAAGAAAAAAAAGTATTTTTTCCTATAGGATAATAATTATTGGCACAAAGAGGTACAAACACAGTAAAAGGTTGTCTTAATTTAAATGTGGATACTTTAAAGTTTATCAAAGAAAAGAGCTGTGAATAATTTAATACTGATTCTAAAGAAAAACGGTTTTAAGGGGTTGAAAGAGGGGGTAAAAGATTATATGGAAGTATCATTTTTAAAGCTAGAAGCTTTTTTTTTAGGCTGTTGATTAAATATAAATAAAAATGATATTTAAAGTTTGTAAAAACGTTACCCTTAAGGAGGTAATAAAATAAGGTATGAAAATTTGTATGGAAAATCGTCATTTTTGAAGTTAGTACGATAAAACTTTTTTCTTTGCCTCTTTTGGGTTAGAATTTTGAATATTTTTTCTTTATTTGGTCGAGGTCTATAACACGCGAAGTCGCGAGCATAGCTAGTATGATATAAATTATACTTACTCTAACCTCATATTTAATAATAATAATATATTTATTTGACAGAATACGGTATGTACAATGGTGGTAATCTATACATATAAATAAAATTGGAGTGTCTGTTTGTAATATTGAAATAACCGCATATAAATAAAATATAAATATAGTACATATACCAAAATATTTACAATTTTTGTCTGTCTCTCTGTTCGTTCCGGCTAATCTCTAAAATGACTGGACCGATTTTGATGGGACTTTTATTAACAGGTAGCTGATGTAATAAGGAGTAACTCGGGCTACTTTTATTTTAGACAAATAAAGTTAAATTTTACGCGGACGAAGTCACGAGTACAGCTAGTTATATATAGGTTTCATCATATTCTTCTGCTACCAGCGTACAAATTTTACTTCTATAAATTTTTTGTTTTTCAAAATTTTAAGATGTAATATTTGTACGCTGTAATTATTTAATTGTATTTGTAATTATTTAATCAAAATGGTTACATTTCAATCAAAACAAAGTAATATTGGAAAGATTCAAAAAGGGATCTAGGGCTTTCGAATGAGCGAGTTGGGGATGAGGTCGGGTGACCCAGGAATTAAACTGTGCAAGGGGGTCAGGGCGCAGCTGCGCGGCAAATCAGATTGACCTCCCGCTAACCAACTTACGGTAGAGCGCTCTCAGCTTTGGATACACAAACAATGAGTTTAAATTCTAAATAGCTAACAATTAACTGGATTTTAAGTTAATACGTTATACCAGACAGCATTGGTGGTATAGTGGTTTAGCGTACTGTCTTACTTCTGAAGGTCGCTGGTACAATTCTAGTACGATACAAACATATGCGTTAAGGATTATTTGTACTATTGGTCTAGGTGTTTTCTATATATATAATATACTAGCTGTGTCCGCGACTACGTCCGCGTGGAAATTAATAAAATGTTCCAAAAATAAATATTTTTTCTAAAATAAAAGTAGCTTAAGTTACTCCTTATTACTTCAGCTATATGTCAAAAAAAGTCCCGTCAAAATCGGTCCAGCCATTTCAGAAATTAGCGGAGCAAACAGACAGACAAAAATGGTAAATAATGTAATTTTGGTGTATGTACCGTATTTATATTCATATGTATGTAGTACAAAACGGTTATTTCAATATTACAAACAGACACTCCAATTTTATTTAAATGTATATATATATATATATATATATATATATACATATACGATACTGGTGAACGGGTCCTACTTGTGGGGACTGACTGGTCTGTCCAGGTTACGAGCACTGATTAGACTTTGATTTGAAATATCATATGCTGTTGGCCACTTTATTCTCCTAAATATGATTTTAAAAATGAATCTGTAATATTGTAAACATGTACAACATTTATTTTAAAAGAATACGAGCTGAGTTTCTTGTCAGTTCTTCTCATCTCGAAATCATTCCGGACTGACGGTAGATTTAATATATCATAAGAGTCTATAATAGACCTACATGAATAAAGATATTTTGAATACGATATGAGAGAAAAAATGTATCTAAAGATTTGTCTTGTCCAGTACCAATAACATAAGCTCAGCTTAGCTTGCAACTAGATGGCGTTGTGTGTTTTGTCCAGGAATATTATTCTTATTAAGAAGGCGGGTTTAGTAAGAAACACACGTTAATAAACATTTTTTTGTATAAGCTAGATTTGAACCCACGACCTGTTAATATCTCGACTTAATAAATTATGACGTTTTTCTCTTAAAATATATACATATAATAGAATAGAATAGAAAATCATTTATTCAAATAAACTTAATTTAAGCACTTTTGAATAGTCATAACAATTTTTTTTATCTACCGCTCGTTCGGAAAGCTGTCTCATCACAAGAAGAACGAGCAAGAAATATAAACTTGTGTGTTGCTCTTTTAAATAATCCTTGTAAGTTTACATTTACAAGTCGAAACGCGTGAATACAAACTACCAACCAGCACTAATTTTTTTGGGTCAAATATAAATACACTTAACTAGCTGACCCGCGCAACTACGTCCGCGTTTAATTTCATAAATTCATTCATTCATTCATTCGCGTAAATAGACTATCAAACATGAAAATAATTTTTCAATTCGAACCAGTTCCTGAGGTCAGCGCGTTCAGACAAACAAACTCTACAGTTATAATATTAGTATAGATATTGTATATATATATATATGGTTGGTGATGTTTATGGTTTCTATTTTAGTTTATGAAGAGACCTAAATGCTTTGTCAATATGTTATTGGGGTCAACAAGGGCACGAGGCGAGACACCGGCCAAACAACGATGGTTGCAGGTAACTCTACCCCTGACATAACTAACATACCTACTTGTGACAGACAATTATATACATACACATATTTTTATAATCTATATATATATATATATATAAATATATATATAAATAAAATTGGAGTGTCTGTTTGTAATATTGCAATAACCATTTTTTACAACATGCATATGAATACAAATACGATACATACACCAAATTAACATTTTTTACAATTTTAGTCTGTCTGTCTGTTTGTTCCGGATCTCTGAATTGGCTGGACCGATTTTGACGGAACTTTTTTTGACAGGTAGCTGATGTAATAAGGAGTAACTTAGGCTATTTTTATTTTAGAAAAGTAAAGTTAAATTCCACGCGGACGTAGTCGCGGGTGCAGCTAGTACATAATATATCTATGTTATTTTATTAATATTATAAAGCTAAATGAGTTTGTTTGTTTGAACGCGCTATAATCTCCGGAACTAATGGTTCGAATTTAAAAATTATTTTTGTGTTAGATAGTCCATTTGTCGAGGAAGGTTTTAATCTATATAACATTACTTTACTACCAAAAGGGGCTGCAATGAAAAATATTGCAAAAGGTGGGGAAATGAAACGCAGACGAAGTTGCGCGGGTCAGCTAGTTAAGTATATTTTAAAATACTCGCGTCGAAATGTTTGTTACAAAACTCCTCTGAAACGATTTTACTGATTTTTATGAAATTCTATGTGCACATCAGGTAGGTCTGTGACTCCGACACCATCGATTTCTCAAACCTTTCAATGATATGGATGACACACTCCAAAAACTTTTTTTTAATTTATTCGACATATTTTTTCATTGAAATTTTTTATTATGTAGCATTTTCGCCCTTCTACGATCAACCCCTATTTTTTAATAGCGATTTTAATTTATATTGCAAAACTCCAAAAATGTTTTTTTTTTTAATTTATTCGACATATTTTTTCATTGAAATTTTTTATTATGTAGCATTTTCGCCCTTATACGATCAACCCCTATTTTTTAATAGCGATTTTAATTTATATTGCAAAACAACATTTGCCAGGTCATCTAGTATTTTTATAATAATATCTATTGTGAGAGTAGTAGAGAGAGTAATAATATCTATACACATATTTTTATAATAATCTAAAAAAAAAATATACAAAGTTATCGTGTCGCAGTGTTTGTTACCAGACTGCTCCGAAACGGCATTACCAATTTTTATGAAATTTTATGTGCACATTAGGTAGGTATGAGAATCGGACGCTATCTAATTTTTCATACCCTTCAATGATATGGGTGATCCATCCCTCAATATATTTATTTTATTTAAATTTATTTATTCAGATAACAGAGATCCAATTTGTTAGTAACAATTGTACTTAGCCTATGTTAGTATATCTAAAATTACATATTATCATTTAAGGGCCCCCGTAACAATATGGGTCCAAAAACAAAGTATTGGGCTGTCAAATTTATTGCACAGCATTTTTAGAATGCTGTTACTGCTGCCCCGCAGTCTGTGCAATAGAGAAATATATTTTTAAACTTTTATCATTTCTTGTTTTTAAATGATTATGATTTAGCATCGAAAAATACATATTGTGGGGGTTTATAAGCCCACAGTTCCGTGATAATGCTATTGATTGATTGATGAGGGGTTTTTGTTAAATAAAACCGCCTTGGTTGAATGCTACTCGAACACTGATTTTTATTACTAAAATAAATATAATGAGGTGAAATGTATAGAAGTGAAATTGCATGTGTAGGCAATTGTGTATTGCACAGTAAGCAGGCATGTGCGGTTGCCCGTACACATATAATTTCAAATTTTCACCCTTTTACGATCAACCCCTGTTTTTATAAATATATTATTACTTCAATATATATATGGCAACATAACGTTTGCTGATTTAGTTAGTATATATATAATAAAGATATCCTATTTCCTTATATGTATTCAAAACGCGAAAGTTAAAAAGTAAGTATGTACATTGAAAATCCCATACAATAAAAATATCATATAGTGTGAAGGATTGAGACCAAGACGACGAGCAAAAGAAAAAGGCACCGGTGTGGTCGTAGAATATTGTATTGACTTATATTATATAAAAACAATATAATATTATAAAAATTATAGACAATAAAAAGGTTTATAAAACAATTTCCAACATATAGAATCATTTAGTATTGAAACATTGAGTAAGGCTCAAAGTATTGCTATGTTTTAAATCTAGACCTCACTAAATGTCCAGACATGTGGCGGCGTGGTGGGACTCGGCCCATTGGGCTCCCTAAAATATGGTCGAGCGCAGTGATGGCTCATCCGTCACGTGAACAAGTGCTATTAGGGACTGGTCTGCTCTAATCACTACGACTGATTTACTCTTATTTAGTTACTCGACCAGTTAGGTGTGTATTTAATATTTTTATTCTAATATGCTATTTAGTAAATCACGGGATCTTCATTATCATCAGCCCACTGCAGTCCATTGCTGGACATAAGCCTCTCCCAAGGCACGCCACTGGGCACGATCTTCAGCCCTTCTCATCCAGTTATTACCCGCAACCCTACGTATGCCGTCGCTCCACCTAGCTGCGGGGCGTCCTACACTACGTTTGCCAATTCGCGGTCTCCACTCTAGAACACGCCTACTCCAGCGAGCATCGGTTCTGCGACAGATATGACCAGCCCACTGCCACTTCAACTTACAAATACGAAGAGCTATGTCGATGACCTTAGTTCTCTGGCGAATTACTTCGTTACGGATTTGATCCCTCTGAGAAACTCCAAGCATAGCTCTTTCCATAGCTCGTTGAGCGACTTTGAGTTGGTGGACCAGTCGTACCGTCAGTGTCCACGTTTCGGCACCGTAAGTCATAACGGGTAGGACGCACTGGTTATAAACCTTGGTCTTAAGGGTTTGTGGTACGGGATCTTACCACATTTTATTTTTATTGAGTTCCCGATATTTAGGCAGTAAGTAGATCGGGAACTCAATAAAAATAAAACGTTGTAAGATCCCGTGATTTACTAATTACACGTATTATTTTTTTATGTTTGTATTCACACATATCAACTTAAAAATGTAAAGTTGCAACTAATTCATTAAAAGAGCAACACGCAAGTTTCTTTCTCCTTTCTCTTGTGATGAGACAGCTTTCCAAAGTGAGCGGTAGATTAAAAAAAATAAGTGATGACTATTCAAAACTGCTTCAATGTAATTTTATTTGAATAAATGAATTTCTATTCTATTCTAAGCTAAATTATACCCTCGTGTAAAAATAATACAATTCATAATAGAATGTTTCCCAACACGAAATGTGCTGAGTCTATTTTTAGACTGTATCAGTTCATTAGCCTTGTACCTTGTGCCATCAGCATTGTACCTGAGTTCTTTCAGATCAATATTCAGTCAGTCTGGAGGGCGTGAAGGTCAAAATTACAAACTTACCATTCATTGATCGAACGTAAGACGATACCTCTCTCATGAATGTGACGCCATCTTGACGCTTTGTTATTTTACTTTCTAAACTGGTAATCTGCCTTCATTTGCGACTTTGGCTGGATAGATTATTTGTTTATGAATTATTCATGGTGAATATCTAATTAGGTTAAGTTTAGGTTTATGTTAGTATTCACCAATATAATATATATTTTTTAATACAACAGTTATTTACCCTTTAATAACGTAGTAGGTACACTACAGGTAAAAGAAAATTAAAAATCGCTTACAAGTTTCCTGAGTTTATCCATTTACCCTTACTAATATTAGAAATGCGAAAATATCTCTGTCTGTCTGTCTGTCTGTCCCGCTTTCACGCCAATACTACTGAACCGATATAAATGAAATTTGGTACACAGATAGTCTAGATCCTGAGAAACGACATAGGCTACTTCTTGAAGCGGAATAAGGGTTTTAAGGGATTGAAAGAGGAGATGGAAGATTGTATGGAAGTATCGTCATTTTTAGAAGCCTGAACTTATTTTTTGAGCTTTTGATTAAATATAAGTAAATATGACATTCAAAGTTTGTAAAAACTTTATCCTTAAGAGGGTTTAATAAAATAGGGGATGAAAATTAGTTTGAAAATTTGTCATTTTTGTAGCTAGTACGATGACACTTTTTTGGGTTAGATTATGAAATATGTTTTGACCAAGGTGACTATTTCACGGGGACGAAGTCGCGGGCAGAGCTAGTAACATTATAAAGAGATAAAATTTGTATGTTTGTTCGACGAGAATTCCGATTCTGCTAATCCGATGATATGAACTCTTTCACTGTTAGAAAGGTATATTATCACCGAGTGCTATAAGCTAAAGTACATCACGCTATGACCAATAGGAGTGAAGTACCATGGCGTTAGTGAATATTTTGTAAGATTTTTGTAATTTTGTATAGTCAAAACAAATGTTTATTTTTAATATTTGTTTATGGTCTTCACTCTTATATATTTTGTCATTTTGTATTCTAGTAATAATAGTACGCACTTAATAAGTAATAATACGTACCTCTGTGTATCAATTCTTCGAAGCTAGTGACCACCAACCCTTTCCTCACATTCCGCGAACTGTCCCATATCTTGAAAGGCCTCTTTCCTCTAACCTCCTGGAATTGAAAACAAACTACAGTTATATGAAACGCACAATAAAAGGTAAATAAGTTAGCGCTACAGCTTAAACACTAAAGTCTCCAATCGGTATAAAAAAATCGGTAGTTACAATTTTTCGTGACTTAAAATTCGTTAATTTGATGGTAAATAATTACGGATATTCTACCTAAGAAATAGTTTGATTAATGATTTTAATACTATTAAAAATATCAAGAACTTTCCACGAAATATGTAACTTGATTTATTTACTCTAGATTTACAAAATTTATGACTAACCTAATGTATATGCCCTTAGCCTGCCGAATTCGACGAATTTTAAAATAACAATATTTTTTCGCTTCGCTTGGAAATGCAAAAGATCATAACCTATACAGCTATTCTCTTAGGTAATATACGACTATAATTATTGTATAATTTCTGATAATTATCAGTCTACAATACAGGCGTCTATTTTTTCACTTTGTTGTTTTTTTTCACTTTGTGAAACTTTAGCTTTTGCACTCTACTTCATCTGTGTTCATTAGAATAAAAAATAGCTTATATACTTCTATATGGTAAGGCTGTATGGTTTTATGATCTTTGCCTGTTCCATCATTAAAAAAGAGATCGACTATCTCTATGGTAAACATTACTATCAAATTGTATTAGATTTGTATGAGTTATTAATACGTCAAGAGGTATTAACAAACTCACCTTCATATGTAAATCGGTACCTTTACCGTGAGCATATAGGTACGTTTATAAGATTATTTTTGGTCGCATTCAACTTTAGTTAATATTATTGTCAAATGTATTAGTAGTAATAGTAGCAATATAATCTTGTAACTCAGAGCGTGCTGTGGTTACCTATAAATATGAGAACAATTAGTATAAGACCATTAGAATTGTATAGAATCCCGACAGATTTTTATTACTGTATCTTATATCTTATAAAGTGGCAAGAGCTCCGCCGACAAGAGCGTAGCTCTTAAATTATGAATGAATGAATCTTATGTTGGTAATCCTTAAAAATAAATAGAAATAGAAATATATATATATATATCTTTATTCAAATAAACTCATTACATGCACTTTTGAATAGTCATATTTTGATTCTACCACTCATTCGGAATGCTTAATAAAAACTACCTTTTTAAAAGTATTTTTATATAAATAATTACGTGTAACAAGTAAGAGGCATACACATTATTTATATTGTTAACTATGGATTCAAACTTAACACGAATAATTCAATGTAAGCTTTTTTAAATAAATGTATTTGACATTTAAATCTCAGATTTATTCAACTCTGATATTTTAGTTGTACTAAAATGTTAATGACGAGAGAGGATATAATACTCCTTTATTTACCATATTATTTTTAAATTTTCGTGTTTAATCAAGACCAGGTTAACAGTATATATATTAAACAAAGAAATCGACATAAAGCATTGATACGAAATGGAGTTTTTTTACAGGATTATAACTAATATTATAAAAGTGAATGTGAGTTTGTTTGTTGACGTTAACGTTCATAAAGTTTTATATATACATAATAATAATAAATAAGGATATAAGGACTATTTTTGTCCCGATCAATCATTCTCAAGCATATGAAGTCACGGTCAGTAGTTAGCTAGATATATATACATATGCAAAATTCTCGTGTCACAGTGTTTGCATCAAATGTAATCCGAAATGGCTTGATATCTGTCAAGCCATTTCGGATTAATGATGATCTTATGAAATTTCGTGTGAATATTCAGTAGGTCTGAGTATTGGACGTAAACTATTTTTAACTATAATTTTTTTATTGACAATTTGATTTTACATAATTATATAACTAACATAAATATCCCTGTCTCTAAATATTTACGCTTCGGCATTAAAAAATATAACTCTAAATTTCCATCAACCCCTATTTTTAAATAGCGATATTAGTACTTCAATAATTTTCTACTCTCGTGCTCTATAACCGATTAATTTATATAGCAAAACAATGTTTGCAAAACAAATCTTTCTATATGCATGTTTGTCACTTAACTCCTAAACGGCTGTGCGCATTTGGATGAAATTTTGTGTATATTTCAATGGGTTCCATAGTGGATTGAAATCACAATTGAACCTGGTAGGTGGTTACTTTTTAGGGCAAGACCACATCTCCCTGTTTAACTAGTACGTTAATATCATATTAATGTTTCAACTTCAATTTGTATTTTTTTTTGTCTATAGGTATAAAGGTATACATATAATAATAAATAACCCTGGACAATTATCACAGCGCCATCTAGTCCCACTGTAAGCAGAGCTTGTGTTATGGGTATAAATACATGGGTATAAAGACAACCGTTATAAATACATACATAACATCGAAATCATCCAGACCGATACAAACAGTCATACTCGTGAACACAAATTACAAATGTTTGCACCGTGCGAGGAATAGAAACCGCGACCATCGAATGTAAAGCAGTGTGCCGCTATCGCTGGACCACCGAGACTGTCTAATAATATTTTCTATTTATTGTTAACATTTGTATTTGATTTATTTTTACCTAATATTTGTTTATAGAGATATATACCCATGTTATATGTGTGGAATTTTGAAGTCACTATTACTAATTCTGCAAGTTTCTAAAAATATACTACTCTATTTTAAGCAATCTGTACATACCTAAACATTATTTATTTCAAACTAAAATAAAAATAGCTTAATAAAATAGTTACTCGTTAGAATATTAGCTATCTGCTGGTGAGTCCCGTCAAAATCGGTCCAGCCTTTTCAGACCAAGACAAACAGACATAAACTATCAGACAGCAAAAAAAAATAACTATTGTCTTTGAATTAAATTTGTATACCTTCATATGCATTCAGTGAAAAGTTAATTTGATATTATAGACATCCTCAATTTTATTTACTTGTATAGATATGTTTAATAGTTTACGTAGTAATATATACCTACATATATAAATATATCTATATACGTAGAATGATCGCTCTATAAATAGTAGAATTATTAAAGTTAAATTACGTAACATTTAGTTATATAACGATACTTTTCATAATTTAAATTGTATATAAGCACATTCAAATATATATAAAAAAAATCTGAGTTATCCTTCCTGTCTGTACGTCACAAGTGGTTGCACTAATTACTGCACTGGGATTTAAATATAACATATAAATTGCATGCTACGCCCTACAGGAGCTACGGCGTAGCGGCTACGCTTTCGTAGTGCGTAGCGGGCGTCCGTAGCGCCTGCACTAGCTGCAGCGGTGCAACGACCGTGTGACCTCCCCGCGCCCCGCCGCCTCACCCCCGCCGTGTCCGCGCCGCACACTGGCATGCCCGTGCCCCGTCCCCCCTGCACCTCACCCCTACACGCACTGTGCGTTGACCCACTAACATCGCTTGCACGATCTTTAATCTAGACTAGGTCTCCTGAACTTGTGAGCTATTAAAAGTTCTAAAGTACATATATAGAGAATCTCGAAAATGGTCTGATATTTCGAACGGCATTAGCGAACTACTGATAAAATTAATGTTCCAACCCGCCGTTAGTGCGTCCGGTGCAGCATTCCTATCGCCATCGAAATGTCGGTCGTAAAAACTCCATTACAAGCCACAAGTATGACGGCCCGTCGCGGGCGATTCCCAATTTTGGCGATATGAGATATACGACTTCCCCTAACGAGTTATCAGTACAGTAAACGGCACAAAACATACCTCCTGTATTTCCACTATCATGTTTCACCGATCGCTTCTGTTTATTTAAACGTTTCAAGCACTGCAACTGTGTAAAGGGTCGTACACAAGTTGATACGGCAAGGTGTTCCCGCTGGAGGGGATCTGGCGCACGTAAGTAGAGGTTATGCGAGATCACGTGAGCGGGGGGCGCGGTGCGCGCCGGCGGAGGGCCGCGGCGGCACTGGGCGCGAGTCGTGACCGGGTCGCGGCCCCGCCCCGCGCGCCCCGCACCCCCCGCCCCCCCCCCCCCCCCCCCCCCCCCCCCCCCCCCCCCCCCCCCCCCCCCCCCCCCCCCCCCGCCCCCCCGCGGCTCGGGCCCCCGCACTGCAGCTCGCCGTAATCTCATCCGATGCCATAAGATTTAGAACGAGTATACGTCGATGCACTTTCTTGCACGTACATATATCATTTTTTGGTAGTATTAATCTGATCAAAGAGGTTTTGGACAGTTCGATACTTTATATAGTTAATTCATTATGTAATTGAACAGTAAATTATTCTTAATTTAATAAGTTACGAGTGGCTATTCGTTTCGCTACTGATGCTACATTAAAATTCTGTAATCATGGAAACTATTTTTTTATATCACATTATATATATATATACATATTTTCATTTAATAAATTAAAAAATAATAATAATACAACATTTTCATATATTTCTTTTAATTGACTAACGAGAAAAATGTAAAGCTCGTATATAAACTCTTCGTAGCGCGTAGCACCGTAGCAACGTAGCACTACGATAGCGCCGTAGACGCTGTGCAGTTAAACTAGGTAATTGATGTCTACGAGAGTTTCGATAGCAAATGCCGTAGTTATTGCGGTGTTGCCTCGAAGTACTATTCGGGTAGTACTTTAGTAGTGATAGTACACATTCGATATTTAAATTGTACTAATTGTATTCGAATTTTAAATATACGAGTATCTAGTTAGCTTCGTAAATATACTAGTAGTCCTCTTTTAGAAACGGTGGTACTGCACATTCGATATTTAAACTGTTCTAATTGAATTTGATTTTTAAATATACGAGTATATAGTTGGCTGCGCAAAGATATTAAAGAAGTAGCCATCTTTTTAAAAACAGTAATAATAATGCACATTCCATATTTAAGTTGTACTAATTGAATTCGATTTTTAAATATACGAGTATGTAGATAGCTTCATAAAGATACTAGTAGCCGCTTTTAAAAACAGTGATAACGCTCATTCGATATTTAAATTTTTCTAATACATTTCGAATTTTAAATACCTATACGAGTATATAGATATCTTCATAAAGATATTAATAGCTCGCTTTTAAAAACAGTGAAAATGTCTATCCGATATTTAACCTATTCTAATTGAATTAGATTTTTAAATATACGAGTATGTAAATGCCTCCACAAAGATACTAGTAGCCTTTTTAAAAACAGTAATAATAATGCACTTTCTATATTTAAATTATATTAATTGAATTCGATTTTTAAATATACGAGGATGTAGATGGCTGCATGTAGTTGGCTTCGTAAATATACTAGTAGCCCGCTTTTAGAAACAGTGAAAATGCATATTCTATATTTAAATTATTGTAATTGAATTCAATTTTTAAATATACGAGTGTGTAGTTAGCTTCATAAAGGTAGCCAACATTTAAAAATTTGCACATTTGATGTTTAAATTGTTCTATTCTAATTCGATTTTTAAATATACGAGTACCTAGTCAGCTTCATAAAGACACTAATAGGCCGTCCCTACGGCCGTATGCGGGCCGCCTTATCCGACAGAATACACATTACGAACGAGAGGTGAGTAACGTGTCTTGAAATATAAATAATATAATCTAATTATCAGAAAACATAGCAAAAATCTCATCTAATAGGATGTTTACAATAATACCGAGATCAGGCCACGGAAAAACAGACTTTAATCGCATTATTATAAGTCATAAACTCACACCGAATTTTTTGTACACATATTTTGTTGACTGACCAATATTATTGTGTATCTACTTTTTTATGTTGGTTGTTTATATTATTTAGTATGACTTTAACGTAAAAAAAATGTTTATCTATCTATCTATAAGCTATTAACCAAGTCTCGACCATATAAGAAGCACCAGCTTTAGAAAAAGGGTAATAAATATCGGTCGACGCAGTAAAAAGTTTTGTAAAATAAAAATGCAATCAATTTGAAACCTTCATTTGAAGTCAATTGAAATTAAAATCCTGTACAAACGGTACCGCTGTAAGACCCTTCTATGCAGTTAATTTAATCTATGCAATAGAAAATCTTCAATTAATTTTTTTATTAGATATTAATATTTATTACTCTTTATTTGCAGCTGAAATATATAACAAACAAAATATATAGAGTATGAAGATACAAAAAGTGATCTTATAGCTTAAACGATCTCTTTCAGACAACCTTTGGTAAGAGATGAAAAGACCAAATGTGGTAAATGGCGTATGAATAGAATAAAAGAAACGTAAATAATAATAATAAAAAACAATAATTATTATTTTCTTCACAAGGCATTTACATGATTTACAGTGCATTTTTTATATTGCACTGAATAAAATATTTTCTTTCTTTCTTCCTTTCTTTCTTTCTTTCTTTTTTCTTTCTTTCTTTCTTGAGCCGTTTGAGCATGTAACTTAAAACCTAAAGTATTTGACACACATGCATATATACGTTTGTTTGTTCTTAACTAGCTATATATTGGCGCGTTCAAACAAACAAACTCTTCAGCTTTATAATATCTTATATATAAAATTCTCGTGTCACAGTTTTCGTTCCCATACACCTCCGAAACGGCTTGACCGATTCTCATGAAATTTTGTGAGCGTATTGAGTAGGTCTGAGAATCGGCCAACATCTATTTTTCATCCCCCTAAATGTTAAGGGTAGTCCACTCCTAAATTTTTATTTTTTATATTAAGGCAAAACAACGTTTGCCGGGACAACTAGTTAGTATATAAATTACTAGCTACTCTCCACGGCTTCGCTCGGGTGTACATCTATTATACATATAAACCATCCTCTAGAATCACTCTATCTATTAAAAAAAACCGCTTCATAATCAGCTGCGGAGTTTTAAAGATTTAAGCATATATAGGGACGGACAAACAGCGACAGCGACTTTTTTTTATACTATGTAATGAAGTTTGTGGTCAAAATGAGAATAGATTAATATTGTTTGTCTTTAATATTATTTGTCTATAATCTTACTGAATTTTAAATTAACTATGGTAAAATTTCGACTACTTGACGGCCACTAGTTTACTTAAAAATGTAGATGTATTTATAACATATAACTTATGTGTACGTTAAAATACTGACTAAAATAATATATAAACATGTACCTATTTAGTAAGTAGATAAGACAGAACTACGTGCCTGCAGATAGATCCCGACAGGAGTTTTGCAGGATAGTAGAATTATAATATGTAAAATTTGAAAAATAAAGCTTTTTACTCGTATATATATATATGACGACTTCGGTGGTCTAGCGGTCTAGCACACCGCTTTACGACCGAATCGATTCCTCGGTCGCCGGTTCGATTCCTCGCACGGCACAAACATTTGTATTCATGAGTATGATTGTTTGTATCGGTCTGGGTGTTTTCTATGTATAATGTGTTTATAAAAAAATATCTATGTATTTGTATCAGTTGTCTAGTACCCATAACACAACGTTTAGCTAGCTTAACTTGGGACTAGATGGCGCTGTGTGGATTATCCTGAGATTATTATTATTATTATTATTATCTATCTATCAATACAATGAAGAGTAAGGGAAAACAACGTTTTCGTATGGTACAGATAACTAAGTAATCAGAACGGATAGATCAAATATTAAATACGTTACTATGAACTATAGTGTCTAGAGAACTAATCAATTTCTATTAAACCCTGTAATTGAATTTCATGTTTAAACCCACGATCAGATACACGGAGCTATTTCACTTTGCCCACGTGAAATACTTACGCCTTCAACGTTTCGACTAATAAATCATTTGATCGTATTGTTTATGACACAATAATCTAGTTTAATACTCATTTTGATGTGAAATACAATTATACACCCCAATTGCATAGCGGTAGGCTTGGCGTTAATGAGGTGCCAGGTTGGATTCTCTGTAGAACCAAGTTATGAAATTATTTGATCTGATCTCGTTGTTTTGGGTGTCAAAATGTTAACCTATATTTGATCTCGGTGGTTTAGTGGTTTAGCACACCGATACCGATGGTACCGGGTTCAATTCCTCGAACAGTGTAAATAATTGTATTCCTAGTATGATTGTTAATAATAAGCATCTGTTATTACTATATATATTCTGTATGAATTTATAAATATATATATATATTTATCAGTTGTCCAGTACCCATAACACAAGTTCTGCTGAACTTCGGACTAGATAAAGAAACCTAGACTAGGTAAAGAAAATAACTAGAGATCGTGTTAACAGAGAATAGCTCTACCAAAAATGGCTAGACTCCTAAATTATGACTGTATGTAAAATAATCTAAATATATATATAACTCAAAGGTGACTGACATAGTGATCTATCAACGCACAGCCCAAACCACTGGTCGGATCGGGCTGAAATTTGACATGCAGGTAGATGTTATGACGATCATGATTATGATCAAAATTTTGATTAATTCTACCCCCAAGGGGATAAAATAGGGGATGAAAGTTTGTATGAAACTGTCAGTTTTAAACCGATCGGGCTGAGACTGCATGCATAAGAAAGGATTTTGAGAAATTCCACCCCTAAGGGGATAATTAACGCGAGCGCATCCGCGGGCAAAAGCTAGTATATGTATATATTTGTATAAATTTTTAAAACTTTATATTTTATGCTTTTATACGCAGTGACGTAAATTTTTAGAATTAGTCTGTTGTTATTTATGAAAGCTTGTCAGTGGCTTAGTATGACGTATATATTGATTTTATTTAAGATATACTTAAGTGGCCTTGGTTTTCCTTTAATAAATAAATAAATATTGACTTTTATCTTCAGATTGTTTATATTTACACATGTAAAATATACGAATATGA